TGAAAGGGGGGATGACTGTCCTCATCATTCACGCCTGCCTCGAGAATCCAAAGGAGGGATGTAGAGTTGCGATGGAACATCCGTATACATCCCCCTCAGATAGGTAGGTCAAGGAAGAAGAGACATATAGGGCTGATGAGGGTGGCCGGGTGATCGAGGTGAACCACGAATTAGCAACAAAGATGGGCTTCAAACCAGCCAAGAAGGGACTCACAAGAGCCGGATGTCAGATAATGCGCCCGATCAACCGATGGCTCTCATGATTAAACTTCGCCCTCCGAATAGAGTTTTGGAGACGGGACGACTGCCCACTCGCCCGTCCATCCGCGAGCTTCAGAGGACATGATATCCCGGATCGAGCCCCAGAATAAGGCTTTCTCTCGACCCTTTCCCCAAATCTGGCCTTAGAACTTGGGACAACCACTTAAAGTTCAAGGCTTCTTACCCTTTGCTGCAGTCATCGTTGGAGAGCAATCAAGGACTTAGCTGGCGACTTGACGGCAAGCGAATCGTGTATCAGCACGTGAAGCTGAGATGGTCAACTGGAATCCAAGAAACCTCCAATTATTCCATCATTCGAGAGTACCACGCAACGATAGTGGTTACTTGGTAGGAAAAGACGCAAAAAACAGCACCGTACAATACAATGCCCACAATGCCCGAATATGCCTAACAAAAGAAAAAAAAGAAAGAAAAAAAGAGGGAAGCTGCCCAGCTACACAAGCTTCAGACGAGCTAAACCGTCGACCGTGAGATCAAACCCCCTGGTTCGTCCAGAGTGCCAGGCTCCAGACATACGACTCAAGAGATATAGGACCACATAAATGTTTCGTTTGGTTCCGCGCATTCGAGATCCGTGGATGCTGGCTAGCGTTATGAGGCCATAGCCACTCTTTGGCCGTGACTACCTTTCCTCGGGATATGTTTGCCGACTATATGTGAGGTTGTCTATACTCACCGGAACGTTGACCGACGTGTTCCGGGGTCGATTCTCAACTAGGGCTTACTGATTTGGGGCCCGTCTCGTGAAAGGACTGGAGTCTGACGCACCTCAGACGTTGATAAATAGAAAATTGCTGCGCTATGTTCAAGCATCCGCCTCGTCAAAGACCGCTAGGTGAGCTTATTCACAGGTCTCCCCGACTTCATTGGACTTCCAACTCATTTTGCTGACGCGCAACCATCAGGCGGGAAGACCGTGCGGCTGCAAGTATCCCTGCTCGTATCCGTACGGAAGGAGGAGGGACCTAACATCATTTTCCTTGCTATGTAGATACGAACTCTCCCCGGGCCATTGCGAACGCGGCTGATGGGCCCACAGTGTTCTTGTTGTGCTGCTGGTTTCGAACCCAAAGGAGAGGATTGCCAAACGACCCAAGCGATTCTATGTGGGATATGTGATGCTCATTAGCGACGATCAAGTGCACCCCTGCGTGTTATGACAAGCAAAGGGAAACTTTCTTTTCAAGCAGTGTAAAGGGGCAATACACCACTACGGCAAGGCTCTTCCTTTCGATGTCAGGATGTGGTCGGGAGAAGGCAATGTATCCGCTGTTACCGTGGAATGCCGCGGACAGCGATAGCCGCTCAAACTACTCTTAGGTCCCTTGCAACCGTAAAGGTAGAATGATCTTTGGCCGAAGAAGTGATGGGACATGCGTGCTGATGCATTTGATGAGTTCTATCACTGCTTCTTGGGTGGTAGCAGAAATAGTTCAGAGAGCATGGTTTGGTTTAGTGTCGCACGACTGAAGAAATGCAATGCATGTCTCGTTTGATGTGGTTGAAAGGTTGAGACACCCTCGATGCGGAGTGCGATGTGGCTTTGGAGCCACAGGAAACCGAATTTCTCTAGAATGTGATATTGCAGCCGATCTTTCACACGACTCAGGATTTCTTAGTTCTGGAACCTAGGAAATTTGTTGATCGCCGTAGCTGTATCCGTATCCAGTCCAGATATACGAACTGGCGAGCGGTATTGCGTTTCCTGCTTGAGCTTTGCGTGGCTGGCAATTCTGCACCTCATCGAGGTCTCATTCTAGTATCCTAGTCGTCGAGCCCCGGTTTGACGGTGATCGGCATCGCTAGCGTCTCCATCTCATAGGGACAGCAAATATCACCCAGGTTGAACCCATGTTTACTTTGCGTGGAAGCAAACTATGCCATTTGGACACCTCTCCAAGAGCAACAGTTAGTCAAGAAGCAAGGCCGTCGGAGAGGCTGCAATTACTCGAGTGGTAGCACAAAGGATAGAACTGGTTGCGCGTTGGCGCGGATATCACGGTGGCGGGTGTTTCGCTCCTCCTGCATGTTGGGAGTTAAGTCACTGGTGATGACCTGCAGACCCCTTGTGACTGCATATCCGGGGGTCTGCATTCCGTAATGTCATTTCTCTACTCCGTACCGTGGCGAGGAGTCGAGGACTCGGATCTCGAGGAACTGGAAAACTGCAAAGTGACAGGTCGGCGCGGTCGCAGGTGGATTGCGAGGAGAGGAGCTCGAGCCTCGTCCCATGTTGCATTGGTGCCGACTAGCTTGGAGGGAACAGAAATTAGTTGGGGAGCACTGAGCGCAAAATGACAGAGGCACCTTTGGCAGGCAGCTGTCAATCAGACGTCTGCAGTTGCGGCCGTCGTGCCCCCACGAGTCCGAGTGTGAATCCAAAAGATTTGGCTGCGAGGTTTCGTCTGTTGTCTGTTCACACGGGTAGATCATCCCAGGAGACGAGCCCGATGTGGCCAGTGTTCGCATACGCTGCTTGCAATTCGATGCCTTGCCCTAAGCGAGTGAAGTGCCGCCTCATGCCTCGGAATGCCTCATGGCCTTTCGATCGATTTTGGCATATATTACCTATCGCCTGGTCCCCTCTCTTGCCGGTCGGTGAGAGATGTTGGCAAGTTCTGCGAGCGTCATGTTCAGCTCTTTATTGCGAGTGTTTTCTCCTGCTCTTATACAGAGATTGGTACGGAGTAGACAGGATTCAGATTCTACGACTCGGAATCTTGGAGCAGTACAGAGTAGCAGCGCTGCAGCATCGATGTTCCATGTTTGAGACAGGCACGAGTCCGAAGCCCGTGACCTCTTTGGCTTGGTTTGCAGCTGAAGTTGAGAAACGCTAAGACGACCGTCAGCGATGGTTTGGCCGAAGCTAGAGGTTGGCTTGGAATCGGTCGAGGAGCCATCCCCTATTTCAGCTGGGCCAACCAGCCACCTCGAACGGTGGAGCTGTGAGTGACATCGAAGACCCCTGGAGGCTTGTTGCCCGAGAGCCGCAAATCCCTGTCCTCACAGCTCATTTGTCCTGATTAAGGTGCTGGACTTCCCTGCGGCATCTCCACCAAAATGGTCTTGGCCTTTTTGTTCTCTCAACGGCAGGATTCGGGGCCTTTGGTCTGTCTGGTGTCCGTACCTGTGAGAGGGAGAGAGGGAGAACTTAGGTTGCAAGCATACAATATCTTTAGAGATGATGAGAATCAGTCGAAGTTGTCGCGGCTGAAGATCTGAATCACAAGTACGCAGTACGCCGTGAAGTAGAAGTAGGGTGCCAATATTCCGTACTCCTGACATTGCCTGTCCATGGGTCTCTAAACAAAATCTATGGCTGGCGGATGTCGAGGTTAAGCGGAGTGAGGGAAGAGGGCGGTGTGTTGAAGATTGGTGCCTCGACCCATTTCACTGCTCGGCAACGAAATCAGAGGGACAGGTTTACCGGAGAGGTGGCGGGAGCGCATACGGCCCGCCATAGGGATCCACGAAACCCATCTGCTGGCGGCTTCTGGATGGTTGTCTGCTGCGTTGAAGTGGTGCGTTGTGGATGCGGTTGATGTGTATGTTGCTTTTGGTGGCCGGGGTCGTCAGGCGAGGATCAAGGCTGAAGCCTGAAGCACATGGGCATCAGTCAGGACTCAGGACTCAGAAGCCGGGGCAGGCGGTGGAATTGTGACGAGGTATCCGTACAACGTGCTGTGCTTGCTGTATGCCAGGCATTCGAGAGGGTGGTATCCGTAGCATCTAGAAGCAGAAAGTTTGAGACGAGGTTAAACAGAGTTACGAGTGCGCGGTAGCATTTGCTATGCTGGATCGAAGTACGAAACACGCTTTGCTTTGCATCTTGAAGAGGTGTGACTGCGAGTGAGGTGCGAATAGATGTATCGTTAAGCGGGAGGTTCCGGTCTTAGCTGTTGACTCTTTCCGCAAGAATCTGTCGTAAATGGCAGGCCCCCGAAGAATATTGTCACCCAGTCGGCGAAAACAGAAGGGACATGATCAAATGGACGAACAAATACGTATTTGGAAGTATTCAAGGTACGCAGCATTATCCGTAGGCCAGTTGCGGTTTCCAGTAGAGTGGAATACCAGTGTACGGGTAGAGGTACCGGAGGGACATGAGAAGAAGAGGGTCCGAGCTGTTCAGGTCTTGAGGCCTGGCAGGTTGAAAGTGATGGGATGAGGTATCCATATCCACAGCCATGCCCGTCCGTTCGTACAGATACAGACGGGTATCTGGAGCACGCAACCTAGATACCCGGTACTGGATGATGCCAGATGGTAAGGTAAGGTAAGGTAAGGTAAAGTAAAGTTGCGGTGGCCGACGAGATACCTGAGGTACCTTGCTTTGCCGGGTCTGTTTCTCTCTCTCTCTCTCTCTCCCCGCAGGAGGGAGAGAAGATGACAGAAAGAGCAGAGGAAGAAGAGGAGCAGGAAGGAGGTGTGAGTGGAAAAAAAAAACATGTAGTCAGTCAGGTAAGGTATGTAGACGACGATCCATAACCAAACTTCCTCTTTCTTCTGATCATACTTCCATTTTTACCTTTCCCCTTTTTTAGCTTCTGTCCCATCTTCTCCTTGTCCCGTCCAGTCCCCGAATCGACTGCAACTTTCCTTCTCCCACTTGTCTATCCGACTGTCTGGATTGGGCCCAGACTTAACCTTTTGAGGCAAAAACCACACACCACACACCAGAAAACAAGACACCAGGCGAGGAAGCCGTTGCTTTCACACCCCTCCTTCCTGCTTCCTCGATCCGCATTCGCACTGGACTTGTTCACGACGCTCCTTCCTGCCGATTCTAATACTAATTTCGAGCTCCCGCTCACACAACGCTCGCTGCCATCTGCCATCTGCCATCTGCCTCCTCCGCTCCTTCTACCACCAGCCCCATCGCTCACTCATTTTCGTCCATTTCCACCCTTTCCCACACACAACTGAGTTGTCCATCGCATCGAGAACGCCGGGCGTCCACCACCAAACACTCCTTGGATTTCCTACTCTTCGACAACAGCGACAACTTCTAATAAAACACACGCACACGCACGCATCTGCTCTCCCATTTGCAATTCACGAATACCGCAAAGCTCCCACGCCGCTAATTCGCACACTCGCACACTACTCCCACGTATCACCCGACGAGCCAGTGAGACACTTCCCGCTAGACGCCGACGTGCATACGCCCATCCAAATCATCCGAACGAACACCTGATGGACGATCGGAACATACAACTTGTAGTACATCAACTGCTAATTCCTAATTAACGAGAGCAACGATCTACTCACACGGCCCGCGAAACTACCTACACACGACTTCACCAAGAGGAGAGCCAGCAAGACGTGACATAGGATAAAGGTTGCTTCGACATCTGGAAATTAGACGCACGCACGAACCGCTAGAGGCCCAGAGGGAACAGCAACAACGAACATCCCAGAGTCACAAAATCTGCAGCATCGCAGAACCACAAAAAAGAGGAACCGTTGGGAGACGAAAAAAAAAAAAAAGAAAAGAAATACCGATAACGGTTATCAGCAAACGAACACCTGCAGGCGCGCACACACCACTGATTGACCCGTGAGCCACAGAACGCGACTGGTTGCTCATTGGACGGGGTGGATTCCCATAGGAACAGGCCCTCGACTTTGGTGGACTGGGGTCAGTCAGAGACAAACAGCGCAAAGAGCTCACCCCGGCCCAGGGAAACTGACGAAAAAAAAAAAAGAGGGCGAGGACGAAAACAAAAGGAAGGGGAAGAAAAACAAAGGAGCCCGGCCAGACTCGCAGGCGCAGCGACCGAAGCGAATTGAAAGCGGACCCCGAACCTGGATTTCCTGACTGAGAGAGAGAGCAGAGGCACCACCCGACCCCTAACAGCCCCCCGACGCGAACATGGCCACGGCCACAGCAGCAGCACCGCCAGCACCAGCACTCGCACCCGCACCCGCAATAGCAGCACCAGTACCAACAGATGGTGGTTTCGAAGCTGCGGGCCATGCCCCGACTCTGAATCCCACACAGCTCTCTTCTGCTACGGTATCCGCATCCGCGTCCGCGTCCGCGTCTCCTTCATCCTCATTCTCTTCGCAAGGTGCTGTTGCATTCCATACTCCCTCACTTTCTGCGACATCTTCAGCAAATTCACCTTCTTCACCTTATCACGCACACCGGCTGAGCCACAACTCGTCCAAGCTTCCCGCTTTTCGATTCGCCGACTTACACAAGCAATACCAATCTCCACGCCTAGTGCTCCCCTCACTACTGCAGCACATCCCGCCGTCGCCTGTCTCGCCTAAATCGACTCCAACATCCAACGAGATTCACTCGGCACCTGCGATTGGCACTGCCACCGACACAATCACTTTCACCGACACAGACGCCCTCACTGACACTGACATTGGCATTGGCATAACCACCGACACTGACACCGCCTCTCCCACCACCCTGCCAACAACGTCAGACTTGCAGCTGCACCACCAGCAGCCACAACAACACATCGTCGACCCGGAAAACAACATCCCACCCCAAAACAACCACTCGACTTCACTTCGACTACACGATCGGCGCCCCTCCCATCGCCAATTGTCCCAGCTCTCACCCCGGATTTCGAGTCCTATTCACGAACTGCCCGAGTCGCCTCCAAAACTCAGCCCTCGTTCCCGCGCATCAACGTATCAGGTTGCTACCCAGTCCACCCCTGCAGCTTCAGCCACCTCACCAAGACGGCCCGCGTCTTATCCCGACCGCCCCGTCATCGTGCAGTCCATCTCATCCCACAGCAACGTCGCAGATCTCAAGACAACTGCCCCTCTCTCCCGACTGCAAACTCGACGTGCGGCTGCATACCGATCCCGCGAGTCGAATGCGACCGATACCGAGTCACCATCCGCAGATACCGATCACTTGCAAACCCCCGACACTCCCGACGACGTCGCTCAACCCCAAGGCGACAAAACAACAAAGGACTGGGCCAAGGGACAGCGTGAGCTGATACTGCCAAAGACTTTGGAGAACGCAAGTCCGACAGATGAAAAACGAAAGTCGATAGCCTCGCGACCCCCCGTATCCTTCAAAGCCACCACCGCTAGCACCCCGACCACCTCGGTGCGCGTGGCTCCCATCCGTTCCTTTCGCTCATCCGGGTCTCGTCGAAGTCTGGGACTCGACAGTAGCACCTCCACCATGCGGTCTTTTGACTTTGGCGACGACTACGCCGACTCCAATCAGCGCGACCGCACTCTGCGCGCCCTTGAAGGACGACGCGACGACAACGACTATTCGCAAATGACACCGCCGTTGTCAGCCGACGCCGACGACACGACCGGTGACGTCTTTATGAAAATCGCCAGACAGGAACCAACGCGCCGTGGCTCTAAAGAGGTTGCGCCAGCGGAGCAGCCAAGTGCCATAGTAAGTTTAGCCATCTTTCATGGGTTTGCGTTGTTGTTTCGGGAAATCTGTTAGCGCGATGCAAACGGCCGTGCCCTGCGATGGCTGGCGTCTGTTCGCCATGATATCAAGCCGTCTTCCCGTATCTTTTTGCTTGATCTTCCCGCTCTTCCCACATTTTCCCATTCAAATTCCCCGTTTGGATATGATAGTCCACCACCTCTCTAGCGCTACTTCATTTCCCACGCTCCGGTGACGCTAATCCTGGCGTACTGGACATGTTGATAGAGTTTCGCCATGGATGACCGTGAGCTTACTGACGATGAACAACAGGCCCGTGTCGCAAGATCTTCGCATCGCCGACCCCTCTCCGCTGCTGTTCCATTGTCTTATCATCATCCCGTCTCCCCACCCCAAATCAGTCGCCGTCTGTCCGATCAACAAGAAACTTCCAAGAAGAGGATACGCCAATCGTCAGAGGACGACAGCGCTGCTGACCCAATGGCTCGCGCGTTGGCGTACCGATCGCCTTTGACCCGAGACCGGCCTTCATCCGCGCATCCCGGCGAAGACCTTGGTCGCGCAAAGACATTCCATCAATCTTCGTCTCGCTCAACCGTCAACACACCCCGGTCCTTTACCTTTCAGGATCCGATGGGGGAGAACTCTCCATATGCACGGAGAAGGCCTTCTTTGACAGACAGCAACACCGGGTACTCTGCGCGCAGCTCGGCGTACAAACAATCCAACTTGTCGTATGGCCAAACGCGTACGTATAACTCTTCGCCATTGGTTCCTAAATCGATAGAGGCACCACGCACCGAAACGCACCAAGACGCGGCAACGACAGTCGAGGGAACCGAATCGACGGCGACAGCATCGACAAACGCACCGTCGACAGTTTGGGATGAATTGGATGATCTCAAGTCCCGCATCCATCGCCTGGAATTGACCGGCAAGTTACCCAAGACATCGGGCGCCGCAATGTCAAGAGCCTCAGACGAGCGCCCGCCGACCGCAACCAACACGACCATGTCCACCTCGCCGAAAAGAGCTTCCGAAAGCCAGCACCCCCACACCGACGCAATTAGCACGACGTCTTCACAACGCGAGGTCCAGCAACCCATCCTTCTTTCTGCTGTCAACAAGTCCAAGCCATTCCTTAGTGAAGAGGTGGCGAAGGCACTCGAGGTGGCAGCAACAGACGCCCTGGCACTGGCCAACATGATGGGGACGGCAGGTCAACCCGGGCCCATCTCCAGCGGTGCCAGCACAATTGGCGTCGGCACCAGCCTGACGGATCGTCAATTGCGACGCAAGGCTGACAGCATCTGCCGAAGCCTTACGGAGTTAGTCCTGGCATTGAGCGAAGAAGCGGCTGGCAACAAGACTCTCCAAGTCAACGTCCCTACACCAAAGGAAACGACGACACCAGTCACACCAACTATCAACAAGACCTTCACCGGCGGATCATCTGGCCAGCGACGTCCTAGCATAACGTCTGCCGAGCAGCAGACTCTCCCGAAGGCCAATGTTAACACGGTCAAGAGCCCGAGGGCCCTCTCAAAATACGAAGAGAGGCGCAACACCATGCTTAACCCGGTTTCGCTCCCCAGTCCCAGGTTTGCCCTTCCACCTGGCACCATTCCTAGTACTCCCGGCGACAGCAGCAAAATGGCGAACCGAAAGTCATCCTTGTTCATTGGCCGGTCGCGCCGCGCTGTTACCGAAGAGCCTGAGGATGGCCGCAGGTCTTCCATGCTGAGGACCCGACGAGCAGGCACAGAGGAGCCAGAGGATTCACGCGAAGCAGCAGGCCGCGAGAACGGACGTCAAACGTCACTTCTTCGCTCACGCAGAGGAACTGTAGGCGGCGAAGACGAAGATGAATCTAGATTCCGCGCCCCGTCCCGCGCTGCTACAGAGCTCACCACACCGGCCCGCGCAGTCTCCCATACCTACCTCTCAAACACCAACTCCAACGAACTATCATCACCAGCTTCTTCTGCCCTGCCTCGCAGACGGTTCGGAGCTTCCTCTATCACTTCTCGGCTGGTTGCGCCTTCCACACCATCGCTGGCGACGCGCCGATATCTGGAAAGAACTCCAGAACGCGAACAACCTTCCTCGGCTGAGAAAGCCACCGAAGAACGGCCGCAACAGGTTGTTGCGCAGCCGCGACACTTTTCTCTCAGTCACACTTCGTTGCTGAACCGGGCTAGCAGCATTAGCCGCAGACCGAATCGCGACAGCACGATAACGAATTCATCAACGGCTGCTCAGTCGGGCAGTTACCGATAACGTCTTTACGAATCACAGTCACACGGATGAATGTATCATAGATGTCTTATTCTCACGCTGGCGTCATTCTTGTTTTGCATATGGTAAAACCGCATGGGCTCGGCAGCGGTCACTCTGTACTTGTATGACAATCCACGAGGGAAGGCCGATTGATTTCTTGGGACTCGCCTTTCCCGTTAAAAAAATAGGCTGGAGTAGAGCATTTGTATATCGAGCAGTCCATAGGAAAAAAAAAGGTTAAAGACAGAAGCATAGGATGCTTCTGACTTGTTTGGTCAACTTTGTTTCTCAGCTAGAGATTACGTGATGTTGTAAGAGATGTGACGTTTTGCGCATAAGGTAGGATGGAAATCCCATGCAACTGTGAGTACACCTGGTACGCCTCAGCGTTGCGATTGAGTTTGGTCACATCGGCAGCGGACCAGCCATCAACGCGTCAGGGCCCAAATGCGTGGGCGTCCGAGGCCGCCATTGCATCCGTTGCATTGAGAGGTCGTTGGTTGAGCTGACAAGTTGACTCATCGGCGACGAGACCAGAAGGAAGTGGAAGTATGTTTGACAGGTGAAGGGGAGGGAGGGCCTGTTCATTGGATGAGCCACTCACCATCCAAAGGAGGGCTGTTTTTTAAGCGGGTCTTGGACCAAACCCAACTCCGACTTCACACATCGATTTGCCTTACCTGCATACCTTACACTGAAGTTTTATACATAAGACGTCTTACACCCTTTCTTCTCATCCAACGTCTTCACACATGCCAAGCCGCCTCTTTGGATCTTCTGTTTCTTCTTCTTCCAGACGAATTAAGCAGCTTGCTTCTCGTGGTTTCGGTTCAAAGAGACCGCTGAGTTTACACCTCTCAGCGACGTTTGCTACCCAGTCGCGGACCCCACTTGCACCACCTTCCTCGACCGCGAGAGGGACCACCAGAAATTACACCAGGTGGAAGACGACGTTTCAATCTCAGAGATTCGCCGGTTCGATTTTGTTTCCAGCTCACTTTAAATCATCGTGGGCCCAGAGAAACGGAGAAATGGCCGACCAATTCGAAGAGACTGCCCCCGCGGCCGGCGACAGTGCACAGCAACAGAAGAGAGGAGGAGGAGGGGGAGGACGCAGAGGCGGAAGGGGAGGCGGTGGTCGAGGAGGAGGCGGAGGAGGCCAGCCGAGGGAGGTGTTGGTTTCCAAGGCGCTTTCGAAGCTTTTGAGGCACCAGGCTGAGAACGCGGGTCTCAAGCTCGACGAGGGCGGGTATGCGCCCCTGGACAAGGTGGTGAGTCTTGAAGGATTCTAACCTCCCTTTTCATAAATGAGAGATGATGAAAATCAGGGTAGGACTTTGTCTTCTTGGAGGGTAGACATGATGGTCCTCCCGTCTCATGGTCAAACTCATCAACAGCTACTAACGAGAACACAAAAAGCTCGCATACGGCCCCATCAAGTCTCTCAAGGTAACCTTTTCCGACATCCAAGCCGCGGTAACGACGTCGGACAAGCAGCGCTTCGCACTCAAGCTCAACCCCACGGCGGCGGCGGAGACGAGCAAGGAGCTGTCGACGGAGCCCTCGGACTGGCTGATCCGCGCGAACCAGGGCCACAGCATCAAAGTCGAGTCGGCGGGCCTGCTGACCCCGATCACGCTCGAGGCGGGCAACGTGCCGGCGGTGGTGGTGCACGGGACGTATTTCGCGTTTTGGAAGCAGATTGAGGCGTCGGGCGGGTTGAAGAGGATGGGGCGGAACCACGTCCACTTCGCGACGGGGTTACCCGGCGACGAGAAGGGCGTCGTCAGCGGGATGAGGAAGGACGCCGAGGTGTTGGTGTATGTTGATGTCGAGAGGGCGTTGAGGGAGGAGGAGGGCATTAAGTGGTGGGTGAGTGAGAACGGGGTCGTGTTGACGGAGGGGGATGGGGAGGGGGTTGTGCCGTGCCGGTTGTTCAAGGAGGTTGTTGCGAGGGACGAGGGGAGCGGGGTTGGTGTGCTTTGGAGGGATGGGGAGAAGGTTGGGGAGTTGCCTGAGGGGTTGAGGATGAGGACGCCGCCTGGGAAGGGGAGAGGCGGGAGGGGTGGTGGTGGTGGGAGAAGGGGAGGGAAGGCTTGAGGTGGTGATGTTGAAAGCAAAAGAAAGACTTTGAGATATCACAGAGAGAATAGATGAGTTGGCCCACTAACCTCAACTTGATGGATCTCTGAATTTGCGAGCATAGAAGACGCTCTACTGCGGTCATACATGAAGGTGACTGCTTGTTTGAGTCAAACGTAGTGAAGCATATAAGCCATGATATAAGTAGTTGGCGGTCCGTTCACACTCCCCCCCTTACAAGTCTCATGAAAGCGAAGCGATTATTGCTGTGCTGTTGGCATATCTTTGGCCAGCGAACCTCGGCCCCCAATATATCTCTGCGTTCAAAGCTCTTCATATCTGACATGCCCCCTTTCCACAAAGGTAACTCTCAAGAATCCATCTACAAACTCACAAATACCACTCAAGTCTCCGTGGAACCATCCGAACCCTCGCCCCGATCCGCCACAATCACTTCCCCAGCAGAAGCTTAGCCGTCCTTTCCCTCTTCACGACCTCCCCCTCCAACCAAATCACAATCGCATCCGCCATCCTCTCCCTCGCAGCTTTCTTATGCAACACCCGCCGGACGGTGCCCAGATCGTCTGGGATCCGCGGGTCGCCGTCAAAGTCGGCGCGGCCGTCCCAGAAGTCCTCGAGTGCCGGGTCCGGCGTCAAGACGTACCGCGGCACGGGGAAGTGAAGTTGCGCGCAGAGGTCGCGGACGCGCTTCTCTGCTGATGTGGTTGCTGTTGCCGATTCTTGCCCTGGTGTTGCAGGTGTTGATACCCGTGCCGGCGTTGAGGTTGGCACGGGAGAGATGGCCGGCGTGGGAACCTGGGACTGCGCTGTGGCGGCGGCGGTGGTGGTGATGGGGACGCCGGCGCCGCCGAGGGAGGGTGTGCTTGCCGTGGATGTCGTCGTCGAGTCTTGGGCGGCAGCGGAGGTTGGTAATGTTGTCACGTTGAGGGGGAGAGTTGGTTTCGGCGCCTCGGAGGGTTTGGTGGATGTGGGAGGTGATGCTTGGTGACTGGGAAGACTACTGCTGATGCTGTTGCTTGCGGCAGTGCTGGGCGCCTGAGCTGGTGGCGATGGAGATGTCTTTGGGGGTTGATTCGTGTCCTGCTTCTTCCTTGACGCGGCGGCACTGCTTTCTGTTGGCGGCGAGCTCGGCGGGGATCTCTTGGAGGGTAGGACTGACCCGGACGAGGCGCCACGACTAGGAGAAGGAGAAGGAGCTGGAGCTGGAGTGGAAGCAGAAGCGGCGGCAGCGAGGGCAGCACTAGCAGCCGGGGCGAACGGCTTGGGAAACTTTGGCAGGTCGCCCGAGGGCATCATGTGCCCGTTGTCAATGAGCCAATCGCACGCTGCTTTGGCCGCCCACTGCTTCGCGTCCTTCTTGCCCGGAAAGGACGGGCCGGCGCCGCCGCCGGAGACGTCTTCGCCGGCGTCCATGCCGTAGCCCGGCTGGGGGAAGACGTCGCCGGTGCTGTCAAACGTTGCTGAGCAGGCCCAGCGGAGCTCTTTGGCCTTGCCTAGGCCTTGTTCCTGGCGGGCTTCGTCGGTGAAGGTCACTTTTTGGTTTCTGACCTGTTGGAAATCTGCAGTTTTTTTTTGGTTATTTGATTAGTATGGATTTGAGGAAATCAAATTAGATGAAGGTGGTTTAATGCTTCGGATCAAGAGGAATTCTGATGCTCTGTGGATAAAGGGAAAGAGGTTGCTTTCCCAGCCTCGAATAGAAACATGATCCGATGCGGAGAATGAGGGAATTGTAAAGAGAAGTGTATGGAGGATAAAGAAAAGTGCTTCAACTCACGATTCAACAGGCCGAGCCAGTTCGTTTTACCCAAATCCGGTTCCGGTCGCGGGGCCGGACGGAGGAGGATGGCGATGGCCGAGACCTCCTGATCCGTGAGCGGGGCGGGGTGGCCGTGTTCTGCCTCGAAAGCTTCCTTGCCGGCAATGTAGGCTCGGAGGGCCGACCAGTCTACGCGCTGGACGGCTGTGCCGTTTGATGACGGGTCTCCCGCCATTGCGTGGGTATGAGTGTGCGTTTCCGTATGTTAAAGTTGCTGCGGCTGTGGCTATGGTGCGCGCTATGGTCTTTGGTTTCACGGGTGACGATAGGTTATGAGTAGAAATGAGAGGATGTCTAATGTGGCATCTAAAGCTGAAGAACATGAATGAGAATCATGTTCTATTCCATTACATGCTCTCTTCTTGATGTATGAGAATGAGGAAACGGAGAGGTTGAGACGGGTGAAGGTTAACAACGTTGGTGGGGTCGCGTTTTCTGGCCGCTCTGTCCAGTGTGGCTGCTTCCCTTGGCTGGACCAACACGGTGTTCTGCAGGAGGCGGCCACTTCTGCGTGGTGACGCCCGTGACGCACCTGCAACGGAAGTCAAATCAACCTGACGAACGTGATTCGTCTTTGATCCGCCTATCATAGATGTTGTTTTTGAACATTATTGCAGCCTGGTCTTCAGCATACTTAATGTTAAGACTGCAGGCTTCGTATGACTTCAGATGATATTCAAACGACATGTATCAACTAACACTAGCGGCCGTAGAATACGCAATATGACGAGAGGTAAATGTGCTGGAGCTGATAGCATTATCAAAGTGCGGTTTCCATTGACGTGATCCCATAAAACTTTTAGGGGGTATACTATTGACTACCAAAACGCTCAACACCTTGCTTGCTTTTCCTTTTCCCAGCCTCACTCAAAGAAGCCAGTGCCGTCATCTTCCTCTTCCACCTTCGCGGGAGCCTTCCTCTCAGCCGCCCTGCGCTCCCTCCGGTTCATCGGCTGCTTGGGGTCCCTCTTCTTCTCGAACGTCTTCTTCGACCTGGCCACCCACGGGTCCTCCTCCTTGACTCTCTGCGGGCGCGTCTGTTGAGTCTGTCTCGCGGGCGGCTGCGGACGGGTCTGGCGCTTGGCGGGGCCGTCTGTCGGTGACCTGCGATCGCGCAGCCGGTACAGCGCTACCTCGCCTTCCGGCAGGACCTTTTCGATCGTTGCCCACATCTTGGGTCGCTCGGCGTGGAGGAACTGCAGGGCCTTGGGTTGCTTGGAGGGTTTCGCATCTGCATCTGCGTCCGCGTCCGCTTCCTCTTTCTGCTGCTGCTGCTCTTCCTCGACCTTGTCCTCGTCTCCCTCCTCGTTGGCGTTCTTGTCCTTGTTGGGGTACAGACTCTCGTAGCGCTCCATCAGGGGGAAGAAGCGGGCGTAGGCGACGTCGACTTCGGCCACGTGGGCCTCGGCCTCGAGGCGCTTCTTTTCTTCGGGGTCCTCGGATTGCTGGAGCTTCTTGCGGAGCTGCTTCAGTAGTCTCTCTGCCTTTTTCCGTTCTGCAAAGGAAAAAGAAGAAACGGGGTTAGCTGATGGACATTGATGCAAGGAATAACGAAGACGAACCAAAAAATCGAACCATGTGGTACTTCTGAATCATGTCGCCTCTCCTCTTCTTGAAGTTGTGCTCCTCGACTCTCTCCTGCAGCGCCTCCAGCTCTTGTTCCAGCTCATTGCGCTTCGTAGCGGGCAGTTGCTTGCCGCTCTGCAAGAGTCTTCTGATATCTCTCGAGCGCGTCTTGTTCCAGTTTGTTGTGCCCTCTTTCGCCCTAGACTTCTTCTTGGTGGTCTTGAACCGCTTATTCTCGTGCTCGCCGTCTTCCGAGCCCGAATGCTGCTGTTGCTCGTAGGTGTCGTCTGGGATTGTACCCTCCGCGGCGACCTCAGAATGCGCTCGTTTCGTGCCCATTTCTTCTGATTGTGTGGTGAAGATCCTGCGTGATTGATGTTTGATTTGTGGTGTTGCGAAGTGGTCGGTTGAGGTCGGCCAGAATGCTGTGTGGAGGATGAAGAACTGACGATGGCATCGCCAACTTCTCTCTCAAAAATTTGGCTCGTTATCGGCCCCAAGGAAGTTGCCGACCCCACCTGGGGTGCTTATCAGTCCCAAACGGGACTGGTAATGTGGCTGGTCTGTGCGCACCAACGACAGTTCCCAATTACAACAGCTCAATGATCTCGAAGCGAAGCGGTCCCGCCCAGAGCTCCAGCGACTTCAGATGATACCTGTATGAAAGCAACCCCTGGCACTGAACTTCTCTTTGCATACCTCATCTTCAAGATCATTTATTAATCGGTGTTGGGACCATAACAATCTCGGAACTTCTCAGGCAAAACAACATTGCCGCGCAGCTTGTAGCGAACCAGTTCATCCAGTACGGCTCACATCACTCACGGCCTTGTCAGCTCATGGATGAGCGCTCTTTCGACTTTCATTGTTGATATAGGTGTTTCTCTCGAGCTATTCGGATTAGAAAGGAGAAGGCCGAGTTCATTACGATATTCAGGCGCGTGCGGTCGCCATGGACCGCCCGGAGCCTGGACTGATCAAATGGTCGCAGATACCCGGTTTCGATAGCTTTATCCACATAAACCTGCAACATCGCGTCGTGCAGCTATATGAGCCCACCGGACTTGCACAGAGGAACCGTTTCGATTACACAAGGCTTTCAAAGCACGATGACTTCCCAACGCTCACTACCTATGACTGGTCGCCAACAGTCCCAGGTCTCCTGGCCGTCGGCACTCAAACGGGCGTCGTCAACTTGCTCAGGATGGACGACAACTCCAACGCCTACATCGAATTGAATCTTAAAATGACAAGAACATGTCAGGCGGTGGCATTCAACACCGAGGGTCTTCTTGCAGTTGGCTTGGACCGAGTGCGCATGGACCAGTGTCTACACATTTGGGACGTAAACAGGTTGTCGACGATGAATACGACCGCCAAAGGCTTTCCCAAGGATCTACACGCTTTCTCAGACCCAGCATATCGACTGGAACACAGCGTGTCAGTGTCGAGCGTCAAATTCTTTGAAGATAACCCGAAGACGCTGGTAGTCGGTATCAAAGCCCAAGGTCTACACATCCATGATCTGCGAGGTAAATAGCAACCGCACAAATTTATCGGGAGAAATCTGCTAATTTAATCTGACTGCAGAACCTGGCGCTGTTGTGACCTTTCAGACCAAGTGTAACAACAACCTGGCCATCGATTACGCTGACCAGAACTACTTCGCATCATCCGCACTGGATCAACCTGGCATCATGATCTGGGATAGACGAGCAACGTCTCGTCCAGTTGCCTCGCCATCTTATCTGGGCGCAGTTGACGAGGACGACCTTCCGTGGGGTGGAGCCTTGAGACTCGACAGAGTGGTTGAGATGGATGACGATTCCTCGTTGAGTGAAAGCAAGCACTCCATCGTCCGTTCATTGCGCTACTGTCGAGACCGACGGGGTCTCCTGGCTGTGCTGTCTCGATCCGGCCAGCTCAAGGTTTTGGAGACGAACAAGGAGATAACCCATCGCGACATGGCCCTTGAAGGTAGCCCAGAGCTTCTCGAGGTCCACAAATCCCACGACATGGATGTTCAATACGGCGATAGCGGCAGGAAGAATGACAGAATTGTCTCCTTTGACTGGGTGACGCTCGACTCTTCGGTCCTGCAGCCTCGTCTCCTCGTCTTGCGGGCCAATGGGACCTTTGAGATCCTCGAACAACCGTCGTATACCTCTGATTATCTGTATAAGCTGACACCTTGGCAACCACCGCATCGTGGACTAGAAGGTACGTGTGCCAGACTGTTTAGAGAGATGAAGACCACTCACACCATACAGAAGGAGGGCCTTACCACGAGATCATGGAATTTGAGCCGTCCCAGTCTTCTGACATGCTCGGTCCCTTGTTTGTTGAGGAAGCACTGTCCGACATTCCTATCTTTGGTCCCGACAAGGCCGATGTTCAGACTATCGTTGATCAGACATTGCAGTCCCAGTTCTCTGCAGCAGATCTCAATAGTAGGTTGACGGGCAATGATACCAGCTCCTCTTCGCCCATCGATAAGTCCAAGTCTACTGCAGAAAAGATGCGAGCTCTCAGAACGGAACTTAAGGAGAAGGCAAGGAAAGCAGATGCGAATGGCGCCGAGAGCTCCATCATGGAAGAATCAGTCAGCTCGCTCGCCCAGTTATCACTGTCTACCGATGGGCCGGTCTCGTGTCGCCACATGCATGAATCTCTTCTTTCGCTGCCCTTGAAGGCTCAGGACTTGTCGACGGAGGCACAGTGTCTCCTGGATCACGTAATGCTTCTTCGCGCGAAGGAGAAATACCTTTTCGATTGCAATGTCAATCGTGTCGTAGTAGCCGATGATCCGTGGTTGCGGTATATGTGGGATTGGATTTCAGGTGAGCAAATCGAATGCGCTAAGGTTATCATTGCTAATCGTGAGCAGACGCCGAAGACGCTGCAGCGGATGGAGGCATGAAGTTGTCGCCGCTCGACCTTAGTTATATGGGCGTCTGTACCATCTGGTGTGATGATTTGGGTCCGTAAAGAGTCCGCTGCTATCACCAAATCCGTGACTAACATGTCGCAGGCCGGAAGCCATCATCTAGACTCCCAGAGGCATCTCCGATCCCCGAAACGACGTTGTGGGAGAAGTGTATTGGAAGCATTTGTAAGAAGCGTCGACTACCAAAGTACGAAGGCATCCACACCAAGAAGCCTTTCCACAGACAGCTATGCCTAGATATCTGCGAATGGGGGGATACGGCGGCACATGAAGCCAGGGGAGCAGCGACACACGATCCCAGCCAAGACTATCCGACAACGGCACACACGATGGCAGCAGCTCGGGCTCTCTTCAAGGGCAACACGCAGGAGGCGATTGGAATTCTGAAGACGGCGAGCGTAACACACCCAGAGTTGTTATTTGTCTCTCTCGCCCTGCAACTCATCGGAAAGAGCAATCATCACCTTAACAAGGAGCAGCTTGATTTCGACGAGGCCGTGGCATCGAAAACGGACCCCTATCTAAGGGCAATCTCGTCACTAATTGCTACGGGAGACTGGTTCGCCATTGCAAACCAAAAGTCCCTGCCCCTGTCAGACCGGGCCTACGTTGCCGTACGGAACTTTAGCGACGAGCAGCTCACCAAGTGGCTCAACGAACAGGTCTCAATGGCCGTGAGTACGGGAGACATTGAGGGCATTGTTCTTACCGGCATAACGGACAGGCTGGTGGACATTTTCGCCAAATATGTTGAGAAGTTCAACGACTTCCAGACGGCGACGCTAGTCATGTCGATATGTGCGCCACGTTACATTGACGACTACCGCTGCCTGGCTTGGAGGAATGCGTACAGGACATATCTACAGCGGCACAAGGCCTTCCTCCAGAGGACCAAGTTCGAGGTGGAGAGCACGAAGAAGAGCAAGCGTGGTGGGCGCCCAACGATCAAGCCGCCCTCGCGCCAGATTGCGCTCCGGTGCGTGTACTGCGACGCGGAGACGACTCTCGCTGGACAGGGAGGAGTCGGGTCGGCACCGCCGCCTGGCGCGCCTGATTCACGTAATCCCCTTATGGCGACGAGCATAAATGCAGGAATCAGCTGTCCTAACTGCGGTCGGCATCTGCCGCGGTGCGTTGTGTGTCTTGAGGTGGTGGGCGTTCCGAGATCTGACCGACCGGAGCACAACGGTGAGCCGGAGAGGTGGATGGCAGCTAACTTCCCAACGTTTTGCTTGAAATGCGAACACGTTCTGCATCTGGACCATGCGAGGCAGTGGTTCACGAGGCACGTCGAGTGTCCGGTACCCGAGTGCCGTTGTCGATGCAATTTCAGGGCGAACCCAGAGCTGAACTACCACTGATTACTTACGAGTGGGCAGTCTGGTTGGTGAGATGGAGTCGGGATCAGGATTTGGTACACAGGATGGGGCGGATTGGGAGGAGGCAAGGGGAGGAGAGGAGAGGAGAGGAGAAGAGAGGGCGCATCATGAACAAGGGCCCAGACTGCAAGCATGACTGCTGACGGGCGACGGGCGGCCGACGACGATGTGCCCCGTGTTTTGCTGGGGTTGTTTCTTATTATGTCCCGTCGTGTGGTTGTGACGGAATACTTATGACATGATTATGTATCTGCATTCACGGACTCTTGCAGATGGATTCTGGACTCTTTGGCATTCTGCAACGGGCGCGGAAAGGGTGTTGCGGAGATTTGACCAGGCCCTGGTCAGCAGCATGCGTTGCCGCATAGCCTTCCTTCAACGGTGCGTGCGAGAGTGTGTGTGTCCTCCGTAAGGGAGTGTGTGTGAGTGAGAGAGAAAGAGTGTGTAGGTACACATCGAGTACTCCCGCAGCCCCCTTTCCATGCAATTACAGCCACAGACAATACCAATAGCGACACGATATTGGCGCTGGACTGCCTTGTACGGATTCGAATGCAGAATTGGGCTGGGACTCGGTGAGGCCTGGACTTGTCACATTCGGCGCCCGTGCTGCAGGTTGATCGATCACCTGCACATCTTCCAGGTTGCGGGGACTTTGACCGGTCGGTGGAATACTACGTTGGGATTCCCGGGTGATGCCCATTGCAGTGTCCCGGTCAGCGGCCTGTCCACACCCTGTTTTGATGATGTGTGATGTGTGTAGGTACTCCGTAGTGTGAGTCGTCTGCCCGACACGCTCGTCGATTCTCTTGACAACCCATAAGTGCGTGGTGCGTGGCAGGCAGGCATCCGTCCCCCCAAGCCTACCCAAGCCCTGAGCAGCCGCCGCCCATGGTTCCGAATCCAGTCACCCAGTATCCGTAGACCGGACTCGACAATGGTGTCGGGTGTAAAAGTGAGATGTGACCTGCCCCAAACGCGGGCTGACAGGGGCGGAACCGGGAGGAGAGTGCCTGAGCAGTAGTGAGGTGGAGAGATGGATGGATGGATGGATATCATTGAGGATCGTCACTTGTGATGGTGTTCGGATGCCATGAGGTGCTGAAGGATGTGGGCCCCACTTACCTAAGGCATCCTAGGTGGTTGTATTTCGTACCCGTGAGGTAAGCTAGAGAGGACTGGCGTAAGGTATCCAATGGCGTAGCTTCGCTAGGAAAGGTACTTGATTATCCGTACGATACCAAGGTAATCACGGCGCACCGAGAGTCCCCTTCCCAGGCACTCTAACCAGGTAAGGGTGGTAAGCAGGAGCGGGTAGGTATTCCCAATGTATTCCCAGGGCACTTTGGTCTGAGCAAGTAGGCTCTTTCCAGGTTTGGCCCTGTCTGCCCTGCCCTGCCTGCCCCGAGTGCCCTGCCCTGGTCCCTTCCTTCCCAGCCCGTGGCAGGTCACTCTTGCCGTCCCATTTGCCTCGGCAGGGTGACTGCGTTGGTTTGGGGGAACACAAAGCGCACGGGGAACTGGTCCGGGCTCTTTACGCACTCTTAGTTGAACGACATCTTCAACCAACCGCCACCAGACACCCTCTCTTTTCGTCCACCTTACGTCTCCTCCCGCACACATCCCACACACACACACACACACATACGGAAACTCATTCACACGCAAACACTCTCAGACGTACGCACACCCAACCTCTCCTACTCCTGTTACTCCTCCATCACATCCTGTCCCAATTTACCGAGACCTGGACCAGACACCGAACATCCATGACTCCATACGGATACTGACCTGCCCATAGCCACAGAACCCTGCCCGGTTCCGCCTCACGCCTCACGGTCCTCACCTTATCCTGGAACCAACAAGCACCACGCACACGTACACACACGAGACACACGACGACAAACACTACACGCCCGACCGACCCCATCGTTGCTTACCCGTTTTCTATCCCCATTTGGTCGGTCCTCTTCCAGGGATACAACTTGCGACGCTCCGCTTTGCTCTTTAGTCTCCAACATGTCATTGGAAGTAATCTACATCGCCCGCCATGGAGTAAGTATCCGTTTTCCCCTGCCCGTTTCTGTCCAGTCTCCTTTCGTATCCGGCTTCATCTCCGAAACCAACGTTCCAACAAGAACGATCATGGCTGAGAAGATGAGGGCTTGGGGGAAAGTTTCACTCATGAAGTCTTCTTCAACCTATTCATCGCCAAACCCACACACCCTGGTACTTGATAAGGATCCGCGGACAATTCTCTTGAAGTTGTCAGTTGATGCTAGCCCTGCTAGTTTTGAGCAAGAGACTTCATTCTGACAACGGCCTTGGCGTTCTTCAGTTCCGGTCCAACTGGCTTGTCGACCCTGCCACGGGAAGCTACACGGCCTCCATCCCGTCACCGACAGGTATACCTGCGGATCCGGAATTGACTGCCCATGGCGTCGACCAGGCCAAGGAGCTCGGCGCCCACCTCCTGACCGTTGAGCCTCCAATCGACGCAGTTTATTCCAGCCCCTACTATCGCTGTCTGCAAACTATCACGCCCTTTGTTACCCTCAACCAGGAAAACCTCAACCGCCTTCGGGAAAAAGACGTTGGCGCTAAAGCCGATGCTGTCACCATTCGTCCCGAACACGGCCTCTGCGAATGGTATGGCGCCGCTCCCTTCGAGCACCCGACTCCAGCCTCGACAGACGTCTTGAAGCCAATGTTCCCTCACATCGATGACACGTATCAGAGCCGCGTCTATCCCGCCCGCAACGGTGAGACTATCGCTCAATTGCACGACCGTGTCGCTGCTGGTGTTCAAGCCATCATTGAGCAATGCGACGCCCAGGGCCACCGTGCAGTTGTTCTGTGCTCCCACGCTGCCTCGATTATTGCTCTTGGCCGAGTCCTTACTGGCGAAATGCCCGAGAGTATTGATGCGGAAGATTTCCGAGCCTTCACCTGTGGATTAAGCATGTACCGGAGAAAATCTCCCTCTTCTTCAGCAAAAACTCAAGGAACCCATGGTAGGATTCGAACCCCTACGTCATCATCAGGCTATTGGGGCTCACGGTTGACAATGGAACCAACAGGCCCAATCGCGGATACCAAGTCGTGGAGGAATGGTCGGGGAGTCGCAGGCGGGTGGATATGTGAGCTCAACAGCGATTGTAGCTTTCTGAGCGGAGGAGAAGAGAGGGGATGGTAAGTACTCAGATGGACTTCCCGCTCCAACCCGCACCCACGCGCGCGCCCTGGCTGAGATCAATCCAATGGGACCTCGGCCGGCCCTCACCCTTGCTTTTGCCCGACACCCACCAAGGGGCCGCCCCTCCCTATCCTTTCTTTTCCCTACCCGTATTCCTCTTCCACCGCCCGAGAATCTTCGGATGCTGTCCTCGGAAGAATGCTGACTTGAGGAAACCATCTACAGGCGATTCTCTGGCGACGAGTCCTTTTCCACGGCCGAAAACTCTTCGCAGGCCGACGCTGGAGTGGCGCTCGGCGTGGTGGTGGAAGGAAAAGTGAAACCTGACAAGGTCTCTCCCCACAGAGCTGCAGGTCATCATCGTCTCTAGGAATTGGCTCATTGGCGGCGTGCTTCGTCATTTGCATTGCAGTTTTTCTTCTGTTCATTCTCAGAATTCTCCAAAGGACAGTTCCTCGACGGGTCGCTCAGAAGGGTCGAAGGCTGCAACAAAGTTCTAGGTCCTCCAGCCTGACTAAAACCGATCCGCACCATCCGTCCTTGCGGCCGATACACGATGGCAGCTAATGCCGGATAGACTTGCCTAGCTGCTGCGGGATGCATCATCTGCATGTCTCTGGCACGGGCTGGGTGCCATCAAATCTGCGAGCCAGTCAGCGCAGCGGCTAGCCCCGAATCCATGACAGAAAGACCCCTGTCACTTTCATCTTACAGCTGCCACACCATTTCATCGTTCCATCTCTTCAACTACAACTGCTCACCCATTGCTCTCCATTGAATGCCTTCAGCATACGAATTCGCGCCTGAAATCTCGCCGTAAGCACATGGCCCCTCCTAACCTTCACCGTCTGATCTTTTCCAACCGAGATCGGCCTCTTCAGCTGAAGAAATTCAATTTCGTATCTGAGGCAGCCATTGGTGCTCAATGTCTATCCCGTGTCATGAGCACATGCAAGACGCTTGACGTGCCTGTATCTTGCGTCTCGTCTCGCCTCGCCTCGCCTTGCCTCGCCGCTGCCGTTCACTAACAGGTAATCTGGTTTCGATCCCTTGACATCTTGGCTCCTGAAGGTTTGCGCGGGGTCTACTGGCGAGAGCTTGAATATCGGCTGATTCCTTATCACAGTGCAGCTCAACGTCGCGGATCCGTGTCCGCTTCCGTACCCGCCACCTCCAGGCTACGCAGCCTCGCTCGCTCATTGCTCGGTCCCTGCTTGGGCCCCGGGAAGTGGATATTCGCATACAGAATAATAGCAATAACGAAATGAGTATCAGATCTGGTACGACGCTTTGCTGAAGAAAACTGACCTTGGCAGACCGTGCCGCAGGCATACCTACAAAGCAATCTCTCTAAATTTGGCACAATTGTTTTTCTGTCACGATACGGTCAAAGGACGGACACGCAACAACATCAAACGCCCGCTTGCTATTGTCAAGCTCAGCTTTTCGGTCGATTTCGAATTACCATTCTCCTACTACGTAGAAGGTTTAGTCTAGCGTCTGCGTGGGTTCCGATCGGTGCCGGATGCATCTTCCGAATCGCTCACCTAGTGTCCTTGCCGAGACCCTAGCATCATCTTCGGATCTGGCTCGAGGTTGGCCTCCCTAGCGGTGTAGGTTCACACTATTTGACTCAGCTGGTCAACGAGGAGCGTACCTGTTGAGTCTAGCAAGTACTTCGTACACGGGGCGTACTGCCAGTGGCCACGGCAACTCTCAACTCCTTCACAACACCATCGATTTCGCCAAGCTGCAGTTCTTGAGGAGCTCATGATCATCTCGCATATGTCAAAAGAGCGGTGGACAAAGGCAGCTTTGCGTCAGCGCGAGATAGGAGGGTCGGACAGGGCTCACCGTCCTTGTGAAGAGCTCGGTCATGGACCAGGCCTCGAGGGTCTATTGCCATGTGTACGACTGGGGATGGCGATATTGTTTAGTCCGCATGTGCCTCTTGCAGGGAAAGGAAAGTACAGCCTTGGTTCGGCTGCAGAAGAGGTGATGATGGAGGGGTGTGTGACGTGCTTGAGAATTGCTAAACTCTCAGGGTGTTACCAAGGCGGCAGACAATGCTAACCAAGGAGAGGATTCTTAATCGGGCGGCATGCTTCTGTCGATCATGGCCCATAGGCAGCCGCGAGCTTGTCTGTTTCGGAATTTCAATGCGGGTATTGGCCTGACGAGGTTGATGGTCAGGTTCCAAAAGGAAACAGGAAAATAACAACTGCGGGTAGCCACACGTCCGCAGGGCGAATAGGTTGACGTGGTATTATTGTCAACAAAACACGCGCTGGGCTGGCAAAACCGTATGCAATGAACAGGAACGGGCAACCCAAAATATTTCGGCCGAATAGCTCCACGGAGCTCCTCTCATTAGCACCAGGGCTGATACGGATACTGGAGAGAATGCAAAGGTTTCGACGGATACACCGGGTACAACGGATAAAGGTTGCTAACACATATTTCGTGGCTTACGTTCCGTTCACGAGGCTTCTTTGCTCGTTCTCAGCAAATGATTTACATACAGGCATTTCGCGTGGGGTAGTACGAATGCTGCCATGAACCGGCAAGTGCATCTTCTAATTCCAGTACCATTCAAAATGAGCCAGCACCATAAGGGGCCTCCTGCAATCATATGTGGCACGTTGGGCGATTTACGGCGCAGAGTAGTAGGCTGTGAGATGAGCAAGCCAGCCCGATGCGACGATTCGCAGAACCAACTCCAACAAGTCAGAAACGTGCCCGCGATTCAAGGTGGTCCAACAAGAATCAAGCAATTACATGGGTTCGAGATGTATTTCTGGAGCACAAAGGGTCTTCTCATTAACGACTCGGCTGGTTCGAGTCGCAAAGTCGTCAGAGCTTTTGAGCGGTAAAAGGCAACTGCAAAGAGAAAAAGGAATGATAGATGCAGCGTGGCGAACCCTCCTGCATTTCACACTCGACAAGGCATCGTCGCGTGGCTTCAACAAAGGGAGGAAGATCCCTGAATTTGACGGCAGGCTTGAGTTGAGTCTAGTGAAGAGTCCAGACGAGACGAGACAGGCAGGGTAATGAGATACCTCTCTGGCTGTATGGAATAAGAAACCTGGGGTCCGTTGGTTGGCCAGACGGTGATCCGGCCGGCAGCAGGTTCGCAGATGAGTGGGCAGCAGAGCTGCAAGTCAACACAAGAAGACCGTTACGGCATTATGCTTACCATAGACCGAGTCTTGCGGAGAGTCCGGGTGGCAGCGGCTTCTCCACTCAAAGACAAGTGTCTTCGCCAGCCCAGCCGCCATCTGTGGCCATCGAAATCTGCGGCGGCCAGTGGTTTCTTATTCCTACCGACTCGAATCATGGTGAAGATCCAGATTGTTCATTATGGAACATGACTACGTACTTTGGGAGGGGCTCTTGACACCATTACACCCCTCCCCCCTGGTCAGCGCCAAACTAAGTGTACACAACCCTGCCAAACTGCCAACCTTTCCCGCCTCTTCACCAGACTTTGGCACCCTCGTCGGGCGGGCCCCCGCAAGAGAGTGAGCGGGTTGTCGAGACTGGACACGACGGCGGCCCCACAAACCGTCTTTCCTGACCCTAGGATGCGGCGGTAAGGCGGCTGCAGTCGACGACTACCGCGTGGCCATCCATGGGCGGCCATTTATCGATCCCTCCATCTCATCAGCGGGTACAACTCAGTGTGTGTCTCTCCCAAATCAGAAAGGTATCTCGAGCAACAACCTGAAAGATTACGATGAGCATTTCCTGCGAGATTTGAGGCGGGTATGTGAGTGTGTGTGTGGGGAGAGGCGGGTGGGTAAGCCAAAAGGACACTCAATTCTGCATCCCAGAATCACACCGACTTTGACTTGACGCCGAGGACTTGCCGTGAAGTGAGCAAGCCATTCTGCAAACACAACACATGGATGGCTGTTCGGTGAGGTAGGCATGGGCGGTATGTCATGGGTATGGGATTGGGGGGATGGTCGTTACAAAACAACAACGACAACGACAATGAGCCATGAACAACAATCAGAGCAAACACTGTTGGACACAGCCTGTCTCCAATTCTAGATGAGAGGGATGGAGGAGCGGAAGGATTATCTATTATTGCAATCATGGGTTCCAGAGTCCCGGGACCATGGACGACAATAGATGGTCCAACCGGTGCACGGCTGCCAAATTTTGAAGTCAGCTTTTGGGGGCCCCGAGTCGATCCAATGGCAGCCTCGTGTTGATCCAACAGTGAATGAGGATTGAAGTCACACGAAGCAAAGCAGACATGGCATATGCCTGGCGGTTCCTTGCTCACCTCACTCAGTCTTTACCGTCACGACAGTGTAAAGAGCGGGAGACTGCGAGAAGGTATCCCTACCCGACCCGACAGGGGCGGAGCCAGCGAAAAGAGGCACGGACGACGATGAAGTTGTGTTGTGTGCGGGTGTTTTTATCTCCACCTTATACCCACACCTCGAGTGTCCCGATCGAGTATCTAATCGTTCGTTCTTCGTCTCTGCTACGTCCGGAAGACAGTGGAACTCGCGGCTTGGCCCCCGAGCGACTACCACCTCACGCACCAGTTGTGACGCGCAGCTCGATCTAAGACTAGCGCCCCTGGAGGAGAATATCGACTGTGCAGCAGGTCCCGAATACCACCTGCACTCACTCGCATCCACACGGGGCTCGGGCTCGCCCTCGCTCGCTTGCCTCTCGCTTTGAGTCTAGGCTGCTGGCACGGCCTGGAGTGTCTAGGTTGCTAGCTGGGCTTGCAAGCTTGCACTGCACTGCGCTGCACTGGGAGAAGGGGGCCTCGGGCAGCGGCTGCACTACAGATGGCACTATTCCCCTTCATTACCCGGGCCCTCCACGGAAGACTGTAAGTAGCAGGTATGGATGGATACTGTGATGCACTCTCATCTCGACTATTGGGCTGCTTCGTCGACTGGAGCAACTTCCTCTCTCCCTTGCAAGCTGTGATCTCGCAAACCACCCCACCTGCTACTTGCGGGCGCTGCTGGTTCCTTCGATTCCCTCATTCACGCCTCCCCGTCTCACTCTCTCACTCTCTCCTCCTCTTGCTAGGTAGGTAGGTACTGCTGTCGCTACTTGCTTTCTATTGATGCTGCTGCCATCAGTTGCATGCCCGCGCTCCATCCTCGTCATTCCCAAACAGGCCACGACCCTGTTTGCTACATGCCTCCATTCAAAGGCGGTGGCGTAAGGAAGATGGTTCTCCTGCAACGGCATGCATTACACAATTGAGGGGGAGCACGGGAGGAAAGCCACACATTGACACACCCACAGCTAGGTCACTATGTACTTGGACGAGAAGCGCCCATCTCCTCTCACTCCAGGTCTCTCGCAGTCTCTCCCCCAGGTGACGAGCCAGGATCTTGACCCTGGATGAGGGGCGCTCGGCGCCAGCCAGAACTGACAGATTGGGCGACCTGCATGATACATGCCATGGATCTACACATTTGGTTGCGTCTGCACATTGCCTGCTTTAGCACCGAAGAAAAAATAAGAAACGGCTTTTCGCTGTCAGAAGCCTCCGAGCGGAGCCCCGATCTCCCTGGCCCTTGCTTGGAGCTATAGAGATAAACCTGGTCTTCAACTCAACCCCATCGAACCGGGGTCCTGGCTCTTTTCTTTCTCAACCGTGTGTGGAAACTTGAAAGAGAGAGAGAGAGAGGTCCCAGAGCAAAAAGAGATATAACAGAGACAGAGATCCATCGCGACCGGGAACTTGATAATCAGGGTCTGACCCGTTGTCGATGACTCGTCTTGTTTCTTCCTCCCGATCAACACACACCTTTTGCCCCCAAAGATCTCACACTTTTCAACGTTGTTGTTCCTTGATCAAGATCTCCGCAAGTGCTAGGCATCATTTCTGCCTTTCTTCTCTTTGCTGGCTTACACACTCTTGATCTGGATATCATCATCACTCCGGACCCCGACGTCTACTACCTACAACATTAAACAACATGTTTGTCAGGTTACAGGATCACCAGGACGGCATGGACAGACTGCCGCCTCCGCCAGCTATGAGTTACCACCAGAGCCGCACCGACGACGTACCAAGGGTGTTACCAAGCCTCTCATCATTCAGCTTCGACGACAGGATGGACGTGGACGCTCGTCACGATACGAAGCCGGGCCAGCGTCATGAGGTGGAAGTGGCAACAACCTTGGCCTCCATGGCATCATTCAACATCAAGTCACCTACTCTTCCTTCTCCCACTCAGAGCTTCACCTCAATCAAGTCGGATGGTAGGATAATTCTTTTCACTACAAGTGTCATCATTCAAGATGGGCTTTGAAGCTTACATCAACCTCCAGCCATGACGAGATCAACAAACTCTCAGTTCTCATCCCCTGAGCCGCGGTCACCAGATCTCCCTTCTGTCAACAGCCAACTTTCCTTCACCAAGGATAGCACGGCACAGATTACGCTCCCCCGCCTTCGTGAACTGGATCTGCGGCTCCCCGAGCCCGAGTTCGTCCCCAGCCCGAGCTTCATGCCGTCCGCTATGGCTGGAGGGCCTCGCCGAAGTAGTATCGACTCCCTCGGATCCTTCCAAGAACCCAGGATGGACCTCTCTTCACCAACAGCCTACCGAATCCCGATGCCACCGATGGCCTACCCGGACGCACTCCCCTCGCCCACCGTCAGCAACTCCCACCGCAACCCCCTCTCGCCACCCGGCCGCCGTCTCCAGCACAGGTTACCAGTGACTCTACGGACCGGCTGCAGCCCCAGCCGGAGACCTCGCCGATCGCCCACGGGGTCCCGCTGCAACGTCAAGTACACGATCCAGCAGGTCGACTTCATCGACTACTTCCGCGTCGACCACCACCTGTCCTGGAAGGAGGTCGAGGCCAAGTACGCCTCCGTCTTCCCCGAGGACGCCGCAAAGGGCCACAAGCGTGGGCCCCAAGGCTTGCAGGGCGTCTACTACCGCAAGAACAAGCAGATCCCCGCCACGGACCCCAACAACCTGCTCGTCTTTGACGAGGACGACAACCCAAAGACGTTCCAGTGCGACGTCCGCGAGCAAGGGAAGAAGATGAACAACTCGATTGGCCTGCTGGGCATGCACCCTGAGCGCGCCATCACGTATGCGTGGGTTTCGGAAGAGCACAAGCGGCAATACGACAAGCTTGGTAGGTCTTCGCTACTGTAAAGTGATGATGAGAGCAATGAATCTAACTTGTATATCAGGCCGCGCAAGACAAGCTCAGCTCGACGCTGCGGAGGCACGGAAGAAGAGGAGACGAGCAATTCAGAACAGCCGTCTTTGATTTTCTCCTTCTACCTTTTCTATCCCTCTATCTCAAGTTTGCACTTTACTTCTACTCATGATATCCACTTTTTTACTCTTCATCTTCCCGTCCCTATGGGAATCTATATACTACACACTTTGAGGAAAAGCTGCAAGAAGTAGCTCCCCTCACGACTTCGCCAAAAGAAAAAAAGGGAATACACAAAACATCACGCTACACGAAGCGTGTAATCATTCATCTATCCAAAAGCGCAAGAGACACACGCAAAAAAAAACTTGGTTTTCTCAGAAGTGTACGATGACGAAGATTTGAGTCTGATGACGGGGCAGGTGCGTTGAACACAAGCAACATGGGAGTTTCATTCATTTTTTCCATTTCCTTCACTTCTTGGTTTCCCCCCAACTTTCTCTGCAATCATGGTCACGGTACCAAAAAGGGAATGTTTGGCAGGGTTTTTTTTTCCCCCAACCATTGAGGGCGGCACAGCAACAAGCGCAGGATACGCCGGGAGCAAGAGAGGGAGTTTTTTCTGGGGGGTAGTCTTATGAAATGGGATGTTGCATGTGGTGTGAAATGGTGTGCATGGATCAAGATAGCATGGAACATGGGAACAATGGATCAAAGGGAACACGTTGATGACAAGGAGTTGAAAGAGAAAGCATTATGCATTTTTTTGTTGTGTTTGGTTTCCGCACCTAACAATCTGGGGGGGCTCGAAAAAAAGAAGATACCAGTTGGTTGTGGTGCGTTATGTGGGATGAGATGAGATGGGGATGGGAAAGCAAGGGGGGTGCGGGTTGAGGTAGTTCGGCGAAGACTTTGGAACTACCTATTTCTTTTCTTATTTTTTCTTATGCTGCTTTTGGTTCTTCACACATGGTACGTGGGGACTACGATATACGAAGTGTGTCCACAATGCATTTCACAATGGGATTATGAAACGTCAAAAGAGGGTGGGAATGGGTTGGTTGAGCAGACGAGGGGGGGGTTCCTGATTGCTCGTCTGGGGGCCACGCATAGAGGTATTGTTGGTTAGTCGGTTGGTTGGTTGGTTGGTTGGTTGGTTGGTTGGTTGGTTGGTTGGGGGTTTTCCTGGAATACGGAAATAAAGGGATTAGTAGATTTTAGAAATCACTACGAATCAAAACCACAAGTTCAAAAATAATCCACAGTTATCCTGCAGGTCTAGGATGGACGGTTTGTGCGTCCCTTCCATCATCCCATTCCAGGGCTCTGGAAACCCATTGTTTGGTTTGCACAAGGCAACACAACGGAAACGGGCCATCGGATCTTCTTCTTGACGGAATTCGCCTTATGGGGATCGAGGGAGATATTGATCATGGTTAGACTAGGCAGACGGAAAGAAAAAGAGTTGTACACCTTTGTGGGGGGTTTCGTAGCCTCTGAACGTTGGACCGTTGTTACCATTGTTCTTCTCCCGTCTGAAACCGGGTAATCACTGCCCTTGAGCCCAGGCGGATTAGGCGAAGTGTCCGAGGTCACCTATTGTCGAATCCCACAAACATTGCCCATTGACATGGAATTTGGACTTGCTCAAAATTCCTCATCCGACATTGCTTGCAGTATTGGGGCTGTGCTACCGAACCGCAAAGAGAATGCTGCGAGTATTGGCCTGCAGGGCATTCTAGAAACATTCGTCCGTAGTCTATGGCATGGTCCTTACGCAAGAGTATCTTTAGAACTTGGGTGTGGTTTGGGCGGTCTGTCTGTATCACAGCCTGCTTTGTCTCCTATGTCCATTGTTGGTAAGGTAAATTTACGTACGCGTGTCTGCGAGCTCGGTTGTATCGATTCTGACTGGGCTGACGGGCACGGCGCATGTTATGCGCAGCTGTCACCGGTTTGCCACAGCGGACAGTGTGACATGAGTTGACAAGGCTGTGATGCGTAAAGGCTGATGTACATTTGAAAGTTATGTATAGGTCGACTTCATGATGATCTCCAGCCAAAGATAGGGGCGCAGCAAAACCAAGCGCCCGTAAGGGGTGAAGCATTCTTTCTGCGGCGGCTAGTTCTCCCAACACAGGGACAGCGAACCGTCATGTCGGCCCTTCGTGAACAAGTTTGGCAGATAGTGACAAGCTGGGGGTGGCGTGGGTGACGAAAATGTAAGTAGAATCGATGCCAGATGGCGGTGATGATGAAGAATGTTGGAGATGGTGGCGTAGATGGATGTTAGCTTCGGTTCTGCCCCTATCAAACAACCTGGAACTGAGGTGTCCCAGACAGTTGGGACCGTCATGTTGGTGATTTCTCTGTACGAAAGAGACGTGACAGGGTATAGAGGTACTGTTCTAATCTGTCACTGAGTGTCCGAGTGAGGCTTGTTGGAAAGAGGGTGTGTAGGGAAGTCTCCTGTTTGTTTGCTGCAATGTTTGCTTGCCGTTGCTGTGCTCAGCCAGCTACAGGGAGTGTTGATTGCTGTTGATTGCTGGCCTCATGTGACAACTCCATACTCTTGATTGTTTTCTTGGAGAATTGCGTATTGCTATACAGAAACGCAACGGCGGGTGGGAGGGCGGATTCTTCACAGTGTGGTGCATATTCTCGAAGTTCACCCGTCGCACCTGAGGGATGCAGCGGGTGTGTTTGTCAGACGCCCCGAGGCGGTGGACATTCGGACTCGGATCTGCAGCGTCCCTTTCTTTGACGACGGTCTCCTTGTCCCCCCTTCCTTTCCCATCTCAATACCCTGGCTCCTTTCTTGCCTCTCTGTACTGCCTCGTGGACCTGCAGGGGCGGGTAGAGTATTGGTTGGTAAAGATGGTGACCCGCTGCATGTTTGCTCTCGACTACGGCAGGGCTGCGTATCTACAGCTAATATCCTGCAACCAACATGCGGTTTCGGGGTCAGAGGCCAATCTGGGCTAGTGGCCGTTGGCATGGGAGACTCCATCTCCAAAGTGTTCACTCAGTATCCGAAGTGTCGGGCGGCTTGCTTGCTTGCCTTGGCAGTTTCTCTATCCGCGAGGGACATCCTAATTCAGCGTGGAGGCTTCATCCAAGCGATATGCTGCAAAACAAGGTGCTGACAGTGCGTGTCTTCAACAAACATCGACGCTTGACCCAGTTTTGTTTTCGATGTTGAACCGGCGTGGTCTACAACCACGCCCCTCCCCACCGCCAAGACCGGAGAGACGGGAGTGGTGAACATTGAGCATTGTTCTGGGATGAAAGTGGGCCGGTTAGATGATGACCTTGTGACTTGTGTTGGACGTCGGTCCATGCAGTGTTTGTGAAGAAGTGGTCTTGGCTCGCCAGGCATGCGAGGATAACATGCCGCGAAAGGCGAAACGTCCGAGGCAAAAGTAGAGTCTGCGTTGGAACGTTGTGACAAAGTGGAGGCTGAAGATGACGGATTCACCTAGACTCGTCGTGGCATCGGGGGACGTTGTTGGTTCTGCAAAGGCGTGAAGAATTTATCCACACTGGGTTAGTTCCGGGGTGGAGTGATCCATCCAACGTCAACCGGGTAGGCGTGCCTAAACCAACGGGCTCCTTCCTCGGTTATCACTCCGATCCTTCGTCTCCATCAAAATGGAGGCAGGAACGACATCCTCGTCAGCACCGTTGGCACACATTTTACTCGTGCAGGAGGAAGCCGGGGAGTCAGGAGGTGCCTTGCTGATGCAAAGTTTTGGAGACCGGGCGAGTATCTGACTGTCCGCATCGTGATGAAGCATATATTTGACGCTTATCTCAAAGTATGTATTCCTGATAAGTGGATTCTGTAAGTGTACAATAAATGGGTATGTAACAATGGGGTTTCGACCTTTCGAGGGGATACGAGCAGAAATATTCTTAGACGTGATGATGGATGGCCTTTCCTTCTGATATCCAGTGAGAGGTATATGAGGCTGCCCGTTAAGTTACGGTAACGGCTGAGTACCTGAAGACATGTCGGTGCTGGCTCAAAATTTTCAAAAGCCTGAACGCTTCCTAGCCCTAGGAGACCGATGGGAAGAACCGTGACGACTTAGAAGTAATACAAAGAAGAAAAAGGAAGGGAAAGGAATGTGGGCTGGGGGATACTGACTCTAGAATTCACGCCCCTGCCCGGAATTGAACAGGGCGCCCCTCAGGCCAGCACGGCTTCATTGGAGTATTTGTTTTAGCTTCTCTGCGTCAGACTGTAAACCACCCGGCCAACTGGCCGAATGGGTGCTGGTGACAGGAAGGACGTTGGGATGGACTATATCGATATCATCGGCAGGTCGAGGAAGGTTCAGGCATGTATTCCATCGTTCAGAACGCCCCTTCCCATCACACTGTTACCTACCTACCCAAGGCAGCCGTTCGAGTCATAAAGGTACGACGAGCACCAAAATTTGACCATTGGGGGGGAGGGGGGCCGGTGGTTACCACAATCTGCCTGGTTGATGGTTCTGCGTTGGTGTAATTCCACGAAAAGTGAAAGAAATCTCAAGTGTGACGATATTGAGAATGTACATCTGTTGTCACCGTCAACTTAGACAGGACAGGCTGACTTATCCTACCAAACACCTAGTCGATATCATCATATCTCATAATCCAAAAGAATGGCATGTCTTCTCACTGGGAAAGTCTGGCGATAGTGCAATATTGTAACGGCCTTATTTCTCTCGATCTAATAAGAACGACGCATCTCTGCGCGAGCATAACATCGTAGTCATCGCATAGCTGGCTCCTGTAGCACTGCTCATCATCATTAATTCTTCATCTAATTCTCTACTCGTGATTGTCACGGAAAGGGAGACTTGGGCTTGTCCATGGGCTGTAGTCCGAATATGTCGTCAGACTTGATTGGCATAGTCTGATCCTCGGAGTCAGCGACGACCTCACCAAACAGAAAGGCGTTGCGCTCCCTGCTGATATTCCCAGACGGCTTCTTGCGGTGTGCACCTCCTGAGCTCGACTTGGGCAACTTGGGTGGTGAGGCGGACTGGGCGGACTGGTCTGGTTCTAGCATCCAAGAGAAGGAAGACTGGGCGAGGGTTGATCGTGTTGGAATAGGCGGTTGAGGTCGTTCCAATGGCTTCACGCGAGGTGTGTCAGCTTTTGGGCTTGAAACCAGAGCTGACGGATGTTCAGCAGGTTTGTCGGCGGGTGCCTCTTGTGTGATGTCCATGACGTCGGGAATGGCTGTTTTCGAGGTCGGGGTTTTTGTCTTTTCATGATCATCCAGAGACAATGTCGAAATGACGCCTGCCACGCTCTCTGCAGCAACCGCCGCCCCTAGCACAGCACTGTCGTTCGCGTCTATTTCCATCAGGGTCTCGGTATTCGCCTCCTCCGGTGGTGGGCTGGTGAAGCCCTCCAGATTTGGTACTTCAATCGTCGGGTCTTCCAAGTAAACCTTCACAAATTGCACCTTGGCAGCCGCTACCTCAACAAGCTCCAACGTCTTGACCTTGTCTTCTAGATTAGTAGAAGCCAACGACCTGAGACTTGTCACTGTCTCGTCTAACATGTTGGCCAGCAGTTTATTCCGTTGCTCAATGGCAGCGATGGCCTGGCCTGCCGAATCATCGCCAAGCAGTTGCCTTGCCATCCGAGGAGGATAGCGTACTTCGTTCAGCCCTTGCATGTTTCTCTTGATATCGCCCATGGCGTCTCGTACTGCTTGGTTGATGCCAAGTTTCTCGCCTCGCTCCAATACGCTTTTGGCGGCGCCTTGAAAAAGTGCTTCCACACCACCTTGCTGTTGGATAAACCTACTCGCAGACGGAATTGGTGACTGGCCACCCTTGGTCCGATTCCTGAAAGATGAGAAAGCTTGGCCCATTGGTGTCGTGGGCCTCGAACTGCTAGCAGATTGTGTTGTACTGGGCATTTTCCCGGTGTATTTCAAGAGGAGCGAAACGCCACCTGAGACATTGAGGTGTGTCTTCAGATACATCGCATCATCCACAAACGTATGCGGCCCGTGGGGTGCTTCTGGAGCGGGGTATTTGAGAAGTAGTTGCAAACAAACGGAGTAGTCCGCCTCGAGCACTGGCACTGATCAGCTTCAGTTACGTTGGGGCACACTGAGAAAGTACTCACAACTCCAGCGGATGCGAAGAAGCATAGCAACGCAAATTAGATCTATCAGACTGAGAGACGGATCGACCGCGAAGAGGGTATCCCACAGCACGAGCGTTTCATCAAATGGAAACTCCCGTCCAAAGAGAAGACGAATCCAACGGCTTCAATGTGTAAGTCGAAAGTCAAGGTGGCTAGATACGGTCCAACTCACATTAGGAAGATTTGTGGCAGAATTTCAATGTCTTTGAGATGGTTCGCCAGCTCAGGATCGACCTTGGCTAAACAAACCTCATGGATGTGCTTGCTCTTCTCGACAATGGCCGATGTTTCCACCCGGTCTTTGGAAGCAGACGCCATCGCTGCCCTTGAGATCGAGTCTTGGACTTCATAGAACGCCCTTGCCCTTTCCATGATCTTAGAGAATAAGGCAAAGGCGTCATGCTCAACGTACAGAGAGTCTAGCATGGCCAGCATCTTCGTGTTGACATTGGTGCCAATGGGTGAGATAGCCGCGGCATCAAGCGCGTCCTTATTAACAACAAAGAGGATGGGCGCAAGAAGTTCATGCATACCCTGACGATACCCACCACTATTGGGATGGAGCTTGCAATACACGAACAATGCGTCAATAATCATTGTCTGCGTCTGCTCCTCTTGATAGAATGGCTCATCTGGCAATCGGCGAACGTCTTGTGCAATCTCAGCCCTAATTATCTCGTCCTGTCGAACAGTATTCCACGGTGACTGGACAACATTTGAGTTAAAGATCTGCAACTGAGACACTGGCTTCATGCTACTCACCTTTGGATCGTCCGTCAACGGATCAACGGCGACTTGGGCCAGCTCCTCGGGGTGCTTGATAAACTTCAAGAAGTGATCTCGTTTTTCTAAATAAAAACTTCGCGATTCGGCAAGCCGAGGCACCCAGTCCGATGATGGAACGTCTGGCATCAGCAGGAATGCCTAAGAAGCTGTCAGCTCCAAGTTGAGATGAAATCAATTTCCAAGTTCACACCGACCTTCCAACAAATTGATCGGAGTCCCGAAATGCACGGGCTGGAAGGCCCGTTATATCTGACTGCATTTTGCAAGTCTGACAGATTCCTAGAATGTTTTAATGTCTCGGCCCATCGTTTCCTATGAGTTGGATCAGTCGGTGAACATGATGTCACAGCTGGGATGATGCGACTCGTACTCACTGGGCTTCATCGAGCGTCCTCATCTTATAGAGAAGAGGCAATGCTCCCCTGAGACCTGCAAAATACAATCAAACAGAAGCAGCGGGACTGGCACCCCAAGGCTTCGAGAATCCCAAAGCTTCACCGCGATAAGAAGAGATCAGGTTGGCGATGGATTGGGATGTAGTTCTTGTTGTGGTTGGAGGTGGCTGGAGAGGAACAAGGCGATGGCGGAAGCTTGGGCCAAGCCAAAGTACCACTCTTCGTACCTGATGAGGTAAGAGAGCCCAGAAACTGCGATGGAGGGGCAGCGACAGAATGCAGGGGTCGGTGGCCTAAGGTGGGGCTGCGGGGCACTGCGAAATCTGCGACCGCCTGCCCAATTAAAAAGTACCCCGCGATCGGTCCAAGTCATGTCAGTGCCAGTCGCCGGACAATTTTCGTCCATTTACTTTCTGAGAGTGACTATTTTATAGCGAAGTTTTTTCCTTCATTGTATAAGGCGTGAATATCCTCAAAATTACCACACACACAAATCTCAAAATGTCCGGACTTGACACGTACAAGACGCCCCTCGATGGCAGATATGCCAGCGAGGAGGCCAAGAAGCTGTTCTCCCAGCGCAACCGTCACTCCACCTGGAGACAGCTCTGGCTTTGGTTGGCCGAGAGTGAGTGAAGAAGTCTTTTTTGTAGCTTCCTGGCGAAACTCATTGCTGATCTTATTGCTATAGGCGAGAAGGAGCTTGGCATCGACGGAATCTCTGAAGAGGCTTTGGAGCAAATGAGAGCTCACCTGACATTGACCGATGAGGACTTCAAGGTGGCTGCCGTTGAGGAGAAGAGACGTCGTCATGACGTGGTGAGTAAATTCGTTCAATTTTGGGTAAATAGTTCCTATGATGTTAACCTGCTCTTCACAGATGGCTCGTAAGTGGTTTGGGCGTATGCTCTTATACGGATCATGATGAAATATTGACATATCCGGTCGCAGACGTTCACGCTTTCGGCCAAGTTGCGCCCGCCGCTGCCGGCATTATTCACCTTGGTAAGATTCCAGTAGAGTACCCGATGTGTGATATTCTCTTCGTACTAATATCATACATAGGGGCAACGAGCTGCTTCGTCACTGTAAGTTCCCTGATGTTCTCTTGCATCAAGGGAGCCGCCTCATTATTCCAAGGCCCCTTGAAACAAGTCGAAAAGTCTCTGAGGCTTCGAACTGTAACAAGGACTGACATGAACTACTCCAGGATAACGCAGAGCTCATCCTGATGAGGTAATGCAGGAAATGAGACTTCAGAGGTTGAAAACTAACACCCAGCAGAAATGCTATGGACCTTCTCTTGCCCAAGCTGGCTAAGGTCATTCACAACCTCTCCCAGTTCGCTCTTCAGCACAAGGAGTAAGTTAAGGCTCGGTAGAGCAGTTGGATCGGCACGAATCCTTGGACGATCCGTCTGCGAGGCCCTCCGTCTTAAGATAGTGACTAACCCAACCTACAGGCTCGCAACTCTGGGATTCACCCATTACCAGGCCGCACAGTGAGCCTCCGCCCTATTCCTGCACAAGTAACACACACTGAAATCGGTCCAGACTCATTACCGTGGGACGCCGCGCCGCACAATGGATCCAGGACTTGTGCATGGACTTGAAGAACATCGAGACCGCGCGCGAGCGTTTGGCCTTCCGCGGTGCGATGGGCACCACCGGAACCCAAGCTTCCTTCATGGAGATCTTCCAGGGTGACGGTGCCAAGATCGACAAGCTCAACGACCTTCTCTGTGAGAAGGCTGGCTTCCCCAAGACTTACGACATCTCAACCCAGACATACACCCGCAAGACCGATCTCGACGTCAGCAACGCCATTTGCGGCTTGGGCGCGACTGCCATGCACATCACCAATGACATTCGTCACCTCGCCCACTCCAAGGAGATGGAAGAGCCTTTTGGTGAGTAATTGATAGGCTCTCACCCCTGTATCTCTGCATATTTGGGGGACTTCTACGCTGGAAGTTCAAGAAAGGGGGTTAAGGCTTTTGCATGAATGTCGTGCTAACAATGTCTCCAGAGAAGGACCAAATCGGTTCTTCAGCAATGTATGTCTAATTCCTAACTTGCTCAAGAAATGATATGCTGACTTCACCACAGGGCGTACAAGAGGTAGAAACATCCCGCAATTCGTCTTCCCCCTATTTCGCCCTTACATGGGCTCAACAGATGGCACGCGTGTTCACACCGGATCCTCGCACAGGAGGCCTGGAGCAACGACCAAGACACACTTCAATGAGCTGACACCATTGCTAGAAACCCCATGCGCAGCGAGCGTATCTGCTCTCTCGGACGCAAGGTTGGTCGAGTACACAGCGTAGAAGAGTATTCATGCTGACGCTATCTAGCTGCGTTCTTTGCCTACCAACTTCGCGGACACGTACGCGGACCAGTGGTGTAAGTCTCTCAAGGCCCCAGGGCCCCCGACAAATATCTTAACATGCTAACACCAGATCAGTTGAGCGCACGCTCGACGACTCTGCTATTCGAAGAATAGATATCCCCGAGGTAAGTTCACCCCGCCTAAAAGTCTGAAGACGCGACACTAATCATCAGTAGATGTTCCTCTTGGCCGGTGAGTTTTGAGTGGCTCCTGACGCCACGGCAACCGCTCTGCTGGAGAAGACGTGCTAACATGCCTAGATGCCATCCTTCTCGGACTCGACAACGTCACGTCCGGTCTGGTAGGTCCTTCTGCTCGACCCTCTTACACTAGAGGACAACGCACTTGCCTATCTCAACTACTATGGAATCAACCGCTCACACTTTGCAGGTCATCTACCCCGAGGTCATCCGCGCCCACGTGATGGAAGAGCTCCCCTTCATGGTAAGCTACAAAACACCCCCTGAAAAGTATGTTAGTCGCGCACAGATCGGCCACTAACCCTATGGACAAAAGGCAACCGAGAATATCATCATGAAGATCGTCGCCAAGGGCGGCTCGCGCCAAGAAGCCCACGAGGAGATCCGCGTCCTGTCCCACCAGGCCGCCGACGTCGTCAAGAAGCAGGGCGGCAAGAACGACCTCATCGAGCGCATCAAGGCCACCGAGTACTTCAAGCCCGTCTGGGACTCCATCGACCAGCTGCTGGACCCCAACCTGTTCACCGGCCGTTCCGCGACCATGGTCCAGCGCTACTGCGGCGAGGGCGGTCCCGTCCAGGAGCAGATCAAGCCCTACGCTGAGTACATCAAGAACACCGGCGCTGCCGAGCTCAACGTCTAAGCTGAGGCGGGCTGTGTCATTGTAGTAGGTTTCCTTGGAAGGTGACCATGGCTGGCAATCAAGTCGGCTCTGAGTTTGGGGTTCGCTTGTTTTAGGTTGATATGAGAGGGGATGGAAAAAAAGCGCTTTGGTGGTCTGGCTGTTCATACGGCTGCCGCACGTGCTACCAAAAATCGTTTATGATTGTGTCTCGCAGGAGAAAAAAAAGGAAAATATAGACTGGGATTTACGGATCGTTGGTGACCAAGTGATCTTTATTATCAGTGTGACGCTATGCTTAAAACATGACAAGTATCACAAGGTAGTCAAGAAGCTGACAACATAAAAGGCACCAAGCAACACAAATCCACGGAAAATTCTATTCTTTCTCCCAGAACGACTACGCCCAACCCCACATATTGTCGATATTGTTACACCAGTCCGCCGGGATCCCGCAAAAGCTCTGGTCGGCGGCCGTTGGCGCCGCGAAGCACTTGTTACCGCCCGACTTGTTCCGGATGCACACGTACCCGACGGCCGTCGGGTTCGGCCACGCCTGCCGCAGCTGGCAGTCCGGGTTGAGCGTGATGGTCGTGCCCTTGTCGCGGGAGTACCACTGCCAGGTGTTGCAGCCGGGCGAGAAGCGGAACCCCGTGATGGCGTCTCCGCTGGCCGTCCTGTCGGCGCATTGTCCTCCTGCTTGGACGGAGACGGCCATGGCCGCTGCTGTGGCGGAGAGGAGTGAGGCGAGACGCATCTGTGTTGGGTGGTTTATGTGTTAGTTATTGGGTTTTTTTCCTTTGAGATGGTGCTGCTTTTTTCTTTTCTTTTCTTTTCATGTGTTCTTGCGTAGCAGGGTGGGTGGGAACTGACTGTGAAGTTGGGTCTGGTCTGCTTTATGGTAGGCCTTGGACTGAAACGGTTCTCAAGACTGGGTGGGAATCAGCGTAGAGGGGGCATCCGTCACACGAGAGCAGTTGCGCTTGCTGACAAGTATATATGTGCGCGAACGAGATTGGCACGATTGGTGTTCATCCCATGATTAAGACGAATAGTCGACTCTTGTTTAGAGTTGTAGGTCCTGAGTTGCCACAATTACCCTTGGACGGGGTCCCTAGAAATCAACTCGAAATACAAATCCTTCCTTGAGTCGCTCGCCGTATACTCGGAAATGACGATCCCCCCTGGCTTGAGTCGTGTAAGTGGTTGGAGCAGAGGCGTAGCCAAAAGCTTAATTGATCGGTTGCGCGCCGAATTTACCTTATCCACGCTCAAGTCGAAAGGTGAAAGAAACCGTGCTCACGTTTCCACTGCCCAACGTCATTAGAGAACAGCGTACCGGTTGGCTTGTTCGCGCGAATAAGTGGGAAATCGTCAAACCTACCACGCTAACCACGAGGTCACTTGTCAGCCTCAACAGCCAACCCACCGGCTGCCGAAGTGCCCGACGGAAGTCGAGATTGATCACTAAAGGCCGATGAAACCGCACTCGGAGGCTCCGTAGTCAAATTTCCCCCAGTGTGTGTAATTGATGAATCCAAGTATAGGCTCCCATGATGAAGCGAGTATTACAGCCCTGGGTCTAGTTTGGAAACTTGGTTGCCACTTTTTCTAAAGCTTGTTGTATTATGAACTTCAACTCTTCGAGTTGCGAGCGGCTCGTATCTTTTACAAGTGAGGATCAGCATTATAAGTGACAGGCTGAAGCGCTCAGCATCCACATCTATAACCCCGATGCCTTCCTTCCCCAGCTGAGCCCGCAAAACCTCTCTCCAGCTCACCACTCTCTTTAAAGGAAGCCCAACTCTCTCACACTCATTACATCTCAAAGAGATACACACACAGCAACTTCATTCTTTTTGCAATGAAGCGGCAACACGTCGCCCTGCCGGGCCTAAAGTCCCTGGCCGCCGCCATCCTCGTCGCCCGCGTCGCCGAGGGCGCCAAAACCTACTGCGCCGACCAAAACAACGTCGTCGTGGCGGACGCCAACTGCGACGGCACCAAGCCCGCAGACACCTTCTTCATGTTCTTCAGCGAAGAGGACTCCATCCCCGTCGGCAGTGCTGTCGACCCTCTCAAGACGGACCTGTACGACAGCGCCGACCCGATCGAGAGACAGAACGCCAGGTTCCCTTTCGAGGTCGACGAGGCCAAGTTTGAGACTAGAGATATGGAGCATAACGGGTTCGGAAGGCGAGCTTGTGGACGTACTGGCGGTGGTAGAGTCGGAGGCGGATATATCGGAAGACCCATTGGTGGTGGCTACTACGGTGGTTAAAAGTCTTGTTTTTGGAGATGAAGAGCGGAAAGATTTGAGGTACTCAGGACCGAAATTATACCACAAAATACTTGAGAATCTCACTGAATCCAGCTCCTATTTGTTGATTAGGGACCCCGGTCTCAACGATGCTTCACAAGACTTCCGTCAGTATGACTTCTGTCAGCTTCTGGTAGCTGTGAGACGCGACCTGACCACGATTCGAGCTTGAATCTCGGCCATGCAAAAGCCACTAACCCTTCGTGTCCAAATTAGATATTTGAAAGCGGTCAGTGATGAATGGGAAATTTGAGTATATGCATCAACGCCGTGTTTTTTTGTCGAATAGCGGTTCACCGTGGCTAGTACACGACGCAAGCACGACCAGGTTCCCAGAACACGATATTTCGAAGCTTCATTTGACCAGCCCATCATCAAAAGTAACACCTTGTCATCTTGTAGAACCCCATAGCAAAAGAATTCTAAAAAGAATAAAAGAGAGAGTCAAAACCAAGCTTTCCTACCCCCTGCAGGTCTCGCTTTCGCATCCCGTCGATCTCTTTCTCGTGCCGATCTCCAAAGCATAAGACGGCATGAAGCCCCTCACTAGACAATTACAATCAAAATCGAAATAGACGAGTTCTCAAGGCGATTTTCCTCATCATTTCTTGAACCGATGCGAATAAGGTAGATTGTTGGAGGATGTGGGTAAGGAGCAATCGCCTTGCCCCCCTCACCCCCTCAACATCCTAGGAATGGATCTGTTTATAAACTCGAGCCCCAGGCTCATTCAGATACCGAACTTCATGGAGCGATGAGTCTCTCCTTCATCACCGCACGTACGCCACGATTCCATCGTAAACAGCGCGCAGAAGGTGCGCCATGGGGTCGTCATTCCTACTGACCGACACTAAATTCCCTCCACACTTTACCCCAACTTCAACCTCCCGTCCTCCTTCCTCTTCCCAGGTTAGATGATATTCAAAGGTGAATACACCGCAGATATAAATCGATGCCGAGCAAGCCTCTTGTAATATAGAAAACCTCATCCTCCGTTCCTAGGGGGCTTACTATCGCTCGAATACCACCACTTGGCATGAGTGGATGGGCAGTAGCACCCAGGACACACAATGGCACGACGCATATAGGTCCGCTTGAACCGCCAGAACACATACTCGAGAACCGGGAGGATATATATATAGAGAGCGCGTATACTCGTGTCTAGGCCCCACGAAAAAGGATCAGATACAATGCGACAATTCGCACAAGCCGGCATCAAGCCACACAGCTACCACCACCACCATGCCTCCTCCAAGCTTCATCCACATCCTAAGGGAATCGATCCAGGAATCAGAATCATAATCAAAGCTTGACTGATAGATACACAGCACCCCACTCTCCCAAATACATCGACATCCACAAGATACCCATATCATGAACACAAAAAGCATACTTTGTATTTCCTATTCATAACGCCATTCTCTCCGTTACCCCAGTTCGGGCCCCCAAGCCATAGGTAGTATCTTTCTATAAGCTCTCTGTTCTTTGCGCTGAAATTTGTCCCCAGACCACACCGGAGCACCATGCAGACCCATGACCGAGGGGTGGGGTCGGTTGTCGTCGTTTTAACTTTACCCTCAGAGTCGTCACATGGACCCGGATCGAAAAACAACAACCAAAAAAAAGCTAAAAAGAAAATTTCGTCTTGTTGCGTCAAATGGCTCTCTCTCTAAGCACATCCGGCTCCGCCTCAGAACGAAAAGCCGTGCTGTTCAAGATTGCTCTTTAGGGTATCTTGACCAAATTTTGCTCCATGGCCGTACCGTACGGCCGGCCCCTTTCCACCCGTCTCTCATGTCTCTTCCCTCCATCATCAATTCGTTTGTGTCCTTCACTCCTCGTCAACCTCCTGGCACCAAGGGTGCGCGAGAACCTGGTTGATGTCATATCTCGCAGCCACATCCCGGTTGAGCATGCACCTCACCAGGTCAATGCTCTCATCGCTCATCGTCCATGGGACTCGAAGATCTCGGTCCATGATCTCGTCAATGCTGTAGAACGGGTTCTCCTTATAGATGATCGTGTAGAGCAAAATTCCGAGCGCCCAAACATCTTGCTCCTTGCCACCGTATGGCTTGCCAGCGAGTACCTCGGGAGCAGCGTAATCTAACCCGTCAGTTTCAATCACGATATAGTGGAAGCTATAAGACTTACCAATAGTGCCCACAAATACGTCAAAGGGGCCGTTCTTGATGTACGCTGCGCTTCCAAAGTCAATCAACTTGATGTTACCCTCGCCATCCAAGACCACATTCTCGTCCTTGATGTCTCTATGGACCACCAGTGCCTTGGTGTGCAGATGGCCAATAGCCTTGGCAACCTGGATGAAGATACTACGGCACTCAGCCTCCTCCATGTTGCTGCGGAGCTCAATATAGTCGAATAAATCCATGCCCGGTAATCCATGAGGAACCATCTCGATGTAGTAATTGACCTCGTCCTCGAAGAAGGATTCCATTTCGACAATATTGGGATGTTGCAGATCGGGCCGGCGCAGGTAGTCGAGAACGTGAATCTCCAGAGGCACTGTGCCGAGCTTGCGATCTCTCGTCCACGTGTCTACAAGAATACGTCGCTTGGTCACGTACTTGAGAACCACCTTCTTCTGCGTCTTCTTATCTTTGGCCAATTTGACCTGACCGTAAGCACCCTGGCCCATGTCTTCGAGGATCTGGAAGTCATCAATGGACTTTTTCTGCTGTGCTGGCTCAATAACCTTTGGCACGGATGGTTTTTCCTGCTTCTTGTCCGTGGGACGCTGTGAACCGGTCAACTTTGCAGCGGCCGTCATCGCGACTTCCTTGAGTTGTTTGGTGATGGCAGATGCCGTCGACGACGAAGACTCTCGAGGTTTTGGCTCGTCGGAATCCGAGCTAATCTCCAGTGGGGTGTGCGCCGGTGTCTGCCCAGGAGATGGCTGATGCAAGGGAGTCGTCGTTCCAGAGGCGGACGCCGACGTCACACCGAGCGTTGACCGGGCGGCGTGCATGTGCCTGGAGTAAGTAATCCAGAGAGCGAAGACCATTTCTGAGTGGGTGACAGAGAAAGAGTCGTCCTGGTTGTCCCCGTCCTTGTCTTCGTCCTCGTCCTCGATGACGGTTTCTTGGATTACGGTAGATTGTTTTGCGCTTCTGACCACCCGCATCTGCACGTCAACCTTGAGCTCTGACCCATCCCTGTGCTTTCCGGGTACCCCGTCCGGCCGCAAGAAACTCGCAGCCGCATCGGGGCGATTTTCCCGAAGACCCAGAATCGCCGACGCCCGGCGGAAGCTGTGCTCTGGCACCACAATCCCATCCTGCAGTTGAACACCGTCCTCTTCCGTCAGAATATGGAGAATCTTCTCAAAGTCGGGCACCAAAGAGTCAATGGCCATGCCGTCGGGCTTTTCGTAGCCAAACAGAGCGCCGCAGAAGACCGAATTTGAGCTTTGAATCTTCAGAGTCTCTGGGTCCACGACGATGATCCCTGCAATGTGCGGGAAGCTCGAGACGCGCAGCTCTGTCTTGCCCCGTACTTGCTCGACGCTGCAGGGAATGTTGACTTTGCTTGGGTTTGGGCATGTGAAAAACTTACGCCTCGCAATCTGCGCAAAGTCTACTTCGCCAGTGCGAGGGTCGATGCCTTGCCGAGGAATGCGTGGGATCAGCTTGCCGATATCCACGCCAGGTCTCAGTGACTCAAAGCCCCAAATTGGTGCTGTGGCTCCTGAAATCTTCTGGACAATGCCGTCGTCGTCCAGCTCAATCTGAGCTACATCTTCGTGGATTTCCTCAAGGACCCAAATGAGACCAATCCGCTTCTCTTTTACCCACAAACTGGCGGAGCCCGTCGCACCGTTTCGTTTCTGGATTGGAACCACGTCACCGCATAAAAGGACGCCTCTTGACCGACTGCTTTGGTGTCGTGAGCTTCCTCTGAGTTTGGGCGGACTGGGATCTCCACTGTGAACGGTTTGTGCCTTGCGAGTGACCACTTTCGGGGGCTGTGATCTGGAGTTTGGCTTGCTCAAGAGCTGTGCCGTAATTCCACCTCGTCCGCCCAGAAGTGACGTTGACGTTGTCGAAGCAGCCGAAGCCGTTGGCGCAGGCGTCGTTGTTTTCGGAATATCTTCCGCCTCTTTGATAGTGTCTTCAGGATCCATCTGCAGCAGTTTCTTCTCCAACCAATCTCTCCGCTCCTCTTGAACGACCTCCAAAATACCCATCCGCCGCACTTCTGCCTTTGTGACCCCGAAAACCAAGCAAGCAAGGTCGTTGGCCGCGATAATCGTCCATGGCGGTTTTGACTCTGTTGTGAAAATGGCCTGCGCTGCTGGGACCCACCGTGTCGAGTGTCCATGCACAGCCGGGCCAAGTGCACTTGGCATGTTTGCGGTTGTTGGGGAAGCTAGCATCTCTTGAGCTGCCAGATAGGGTTGTGCCATGGTGTCGATAAGCTGCTGATGAACCGAGACCGGTAGTGTATCTGTGAGCGTTCGCTTCAGGCTAAGTCTTCGAGATGGCGGCGGGGATGTCTTTGCAGTTGTTCCACTCTCGTTCGTCGGCGTCCTGCTCGAGTTTTCTGACTCACTGTCTCCCGTGGCGACTTTCTGATTTTCATCTTGCTGCTTTATTGACGGTCGGTCGTTCGGGGGGAATGTTGCAAATTGGGTCGCAGTGGGAGACTGACTGGGAGACTGAAAGGGTTCAGGGCTTGATGTTCGAGGAATGAAGTTCGCTTCAAAGAGATTCTCCCCCGAAACTTGCGGGGGGCCGGTTAAAGGACCGAGGATGGACTGATCCATGGATGGAAGGTTGCCCGCTCCGACAAGTTGTGCCCTAGCCAACAAGTCCAGCATGTTCTGAGTCTCGACGTCCCCAGAGGCCCTTGCCTGAGCGCTCGCAAGCGCAACGTTGGATGGTGAAACAGACCATCCCATCCGGTCTTTCATAAATTCTATGGATCGCTTGAGGACATTTTGCCGGTTATGTATATACTCCTCGGACTGGTGGGCGAAAGAGAAGGAATGTAATGACTCGGAGGGGAAGCGGGAGAGGTCTTCGGAGAAATTGGGTGACGATGGATGGGAGCTAAACGGCATGCCGGGAGGGTTCGCGAGCAGTGTTGTCATAGATGTTGACCTCGATAGACCGATGGAGGAGCTTCTGGAAGGGGCTGCGGAGGGAGCTCGCGAAGACGGTTGTTGTCGAATTCGTCGCAATCCGGAAAGACCGAGGCCATGGTCGTGGTCTGTTACAATGGAGGATCTATGACTGGAAAAAGGCCTGTCAGCACGATGATGCCTCAAATGACTATAGATTGCCATGTGATGGCCCAGTTGCCACCTGGTGACATCCTAAGTGGTGCAGCCGCACCCGTAAGTGACATCCTTCGAGCTTATCGCCAAGCAAAGCCACACTCAAATTGTTACTGCCTCCTTTGCCGGAACACCAATTCTCGGGTTGCTTTTGCACTCGACTCCCACTTGGAATTGGCCATTGGCAGTGGCTTGAGCCATGCCGTGATGTGCTCACGCGGACCAGGCGCATCCCAAACATCAAAGGCCCCTCTGTTTCGTTGCCCAGACGCTTGCCTTGGCATTCTTCAACGCCCGACTCTTCCATGAGCTCACAATAAGCTCAACAGCTTTGCCGTTCGAGGAATATCATGGTGTAATTATTGTGAAAGAACCAACCTTGGTGGCGCATGGTCGCTGCCATCTGCGACAGATCCGGCATCGAAGGAAAACCGCATTCGACCGCGGCCAGTGTTGTTGTCGTCGGTTATAACGGCGAGGTTTCCGGTGCTTCGGTTCTTGGGGAGTTGCAGCTGTGTTGTCGGGGTTCTGCTCCTTCCGCGAGGTTCTTCGTGATGTGAATCGGTGCCTGCGAGCCATGGAAAGGTATGAGTTAGAGAGGGAGGAACATTTCGTGGGTAGGAGGAGAGAGAGACGGGAGGCGGGCTCTGTGTTGGGTGGGCGAAGGACGTACCATTGTTGTGAGGTCCCCCATGCGTCTGTAGCATAGTTGAAGAAAGATAGGCAGTCGACTCGGGCAAATGTCAGGGTTAAGTAAATGCGGGCAAGAGGCGGATTCGACGATGCAGGCTCGGATTCGGCGGGGTCGAGGAGCGAGGTTCGTTCTGGGAGGTATCGGGGTGCGGTCTCGTCTGCTCTGGGACGTGGTGGTGGGAGAGAGCGAATGGCAGTACCGACGGTAGGTAGGTGTGTTGCTGGCCGAAAGGTAAGGTAGTTAAGGTATGGTGCTGCTGTACGACAGTGGCTGTTCCGGCTAAGGTGGGAGGTAAATGAGGTACGGATGGAACTGCTGCCCAGAAGATACCTCGGGCAGGTAAGGTGAAGCAGGGAGTCAATCAGTGGTGAGGTAAGTTAGGTAGATCGATCAGGCTCGGTGGGCAAGGTTTGCCACAAGGATGAGAGTGTGGGAGTTTTCGACGGGTGGGTGTGCAGTAAGGAACGTTTTTGTTTTTCTGCTTTGGTTGCTGGTGGTGCTGGCGTTGGCGCTGGTGCTGCAATGCTGGTGGTCCGACCAGAATAGAGCAAGGCGAACGAGGGAGGGAGGCTTTTCAGGAAGGATTGATGGAACGATCCAGCAACAAGCGGTCGGGAAGAGAGAGAGAGAGAGAGAGAGAGAGAGAGAGAGATTGTAGGTGAAGGTGAAGCTGAAGAAGCTGGTCCGTGTAGCAAGCAGCAAAGCAGTCGTGGTACCAGTCAGGTGCGGTACGGTAAGGTATCCGTAGAGCAGGCCAAATGCAAGCAAGTAAGAAGCAGCAGATCCGGCAATAACGTAGTCAGGTAGACAGACAGACGGAGCAGGAGCAGGAGCAGGAAGCAGAGACGCGGACCTGCTCTGGCGGTGGTCCAGTCCGGTCCAATTCAACTCACCGAACGGCCAGGAAAGGGAACGTGAGTCGTCTCGCCGTCCCGTGCTAGTGCCACCTCAGTGCCAGCGCGCACCAATACCAATGCCAATGCCAGTGTCAGTGCCGGTGTCAATGCCGCAACCGGATGTCCCTGCTCGGTGGTACTGAACTCTGGACTCTGGATTCTGGAGTGTTGTAGAACCGGTACGGATAGAGTGCAGAGTGCTAGGTGCTGCTGGGCTGCCTTTGGGTACAATCTGTTTTACCCTTTCTCTATGTGTCTCTTGGCTCTTCCCTTAATCACTCGAAATCCCACTCTGGTTCTGTGCCGTTGACAAGCGCAACAAGACAGAGAGTCAGGCAGAGGAGGACGGGCGGGCGGGAGGGGCGTAGAGAAGCGAGTGGTCGTCCGTCTTCAAGGCAAGGCGAGTGACTGGCTTTAACACCCACGTGCGGCTGGCCTCGTGAAAGAATCGTCTGCCGTAATCATACAAGATGACCTAAGACAACAAGCTGGAAAGGTGACAGAAAGCCCCGGGGGTTGGTTTTCTGTGGCGTCCACGGTCCTGGGCGGTTCGGTCAAAAGTCCACAATGTTGCGGCAGATGCTTGTCCGAAAAGTGAGGGGCGGTCCTTCGAATGCTTGGAAACTTCCCACTCGTCAAGCGAATCCAATGATGCCGGAGGGCCTTGTAGGTAACAGTGGGTGGTGGCACGTCACGGACGAGGGAGCGGCGTGGGCGGCGGAGCTGGCGGGCGATAAAGACGAGGGAAAGGACGACGGGACAGAGGGCAGCACAAGCTCGCTCGGTGCCAAAGTTGAGATGGTTCGCTTTAGGATGAGTATGTTTGATGAACAAGTAGAAGAGAAATAGGTTTAGGAAATGGGGACGAGGGGTGGAAAACCATAGAGACTGAGGGATAGGAAGAGAGGGCGGGGGAGGAAAAAAACACAAGTCCACTTTCTGCCTCCAGTCATCGAAAATTTTGAGATGCATCTGCGTACGGAGTACACAACTTTTGCTACCAAATCTGCGTATTTCTTTCTACTTTATCTTACACTGCACCGCCCGCCTTTGGCTTCAAGTAGCCTCGTGAAAACCCTTGTTCCCTCTCCAGAAAACACCTCCTCTCGAATCCCGAACCTCGCGCAGTCATTTGCAGCTTTGGTGGGCGCACAACATGAGTTGCAAGCTTGACTTACAGCGTCGAAAAGCAAACGCATCACTGATTGAGGGGGCTTAACGTGCGGCAGTGGCCCTGGGAAACATGGCCGCAAAGTGGGGGGACACGCCTGGAGCCCGTACCCTTCACATTCATCGAGCTGTAGCTCACACCTCACTTCATGCTGAAGCTCAATCTCATCTCACATTCACTCACTCACTCACTCACTCACTCACTCACTTTATCCACCACCTCACCTGAAGCAAACCTGGAGGGAACATGCACGTGAAGCAGCAAAGCTCTTCAGCTGGACTGGCGGTGGACCCACCACGTCAACATTGAGCGGCCCCAATCTCCCGGGGAGAACACCAGCGAAGAAAGGGACAGCATACCTTATCCCAGAATACGTCACACTGCCGCAGCCAAGGCCGGCAATCCAATGCCTGACTGAAGCCGCTGTTGAGCCATCATCACCTAGAGTGGCCCGCCGCCCAACGCTTCCCAAACATGCTTGATACTCATTGGGCAATGCCTCTTATCCGCAGACTCTCCACGTTCGACTTGTCCTACTCGCCATCCGAAACAAACGTTATCGACGCTCTTCTCCTGCCGAACCGCCGGAATTGAGACGAGAAAACGGATGAGCAGGGAAAAGATAAGCCAGCTAATAGCTGCCGACGATAAAAAACAAACATTCCGTCGTCCGCCCACCAACCACCAGAACAACGGGGCAAATCCCTGTTGATATCTTTTTCAAGGCGTAGCATGAGTGGCAACGCAACCTGCTAACTGCCCAGACCCAAGTTGTAATCTACCATGCTTTACATATCAAGCACAGAGCAGCGTGTTCTCCAATAGAGGTATCTGTGAACCTCTTCATCAACACCATCGATTCGAATCGCAAAAGCCGGAAATGAAAGAGCCAGGGCCGTTGTAAGCAACCTCATTAGAGCGACTGAGGAGTTGATGTACCTCCCTGACATTATCAGCTTTTGCTTACCCGCCTCTGAACAAAATCAGGAAGGAAAACATTGGCAAGCTGGCCATTTGGATCATGACGATTCTCGAGTCAATAAATAAGCGGCGCCTCGTCAGTGCCCTTCACCAAGTTATCTTTGGGTCTATGCTTGAGCCGTACTTCCTTCTTCACGGAAAGTCGGCTCAAGGTACGAACAGAGACAAGGCCATGGTCTTGACTGGTTAGATAATGTCATTGCGAACGCAGTATTGCTGGAATCGTGACGGCAATTCATTGTTCCTCTCGTTGCTTTAGGTAGGTTGTCGTCTCGCTGAATCATGATTGGCACGATAGCTAGGTGAGCAACACGGGCAATTTGATGACGAGAATTTCGGCGACATGGTCGCTTTCCAGGTTTGCCGGCAACCCGGCATTTGGCGTTCTCTTTAGCTGGAATCGAAGAAAATCAATCCCGTCAAGCTTGCTGTGACAGCACAGCGACTTTCTTTTGTCTCCTTCTCGGTTTCGCATGTACCACCAACGAGTCTACACAACCTTGACGACGCTGCGGGAGAGTCGGAAATCAAGTGAACGAGCTGGCATTATCTGCCAAGATATTAGCAGGGTTCGAGGTCGTTTCCCGTTGTAACCAAGTTACCGGAACATATTAGCCATGAGCTGCTCTACCTAAGTACCTAAGCTCTGGTACCTCTGGCGGTCGGTCCAGAACACATGCGTGTCTGTTATCTTATCGGAAGCTATCGGCAATTGCAAGGTAGGCACATAAGCAGCACGTGGTTTATATTGACCATCGCAGCTAGTAGTAAAGCTTTCCTTTCGTCCCGAGGCAAGGTAAGCTGAGAGAGTAAGTGCACGACCGATCTACGGCTCGGGTTCTGCATCAAAGCTGTGACACTCGCTATCCAGGTATGAGTGAGCGGACGCGATTTGTCTCTGTCGCATCCAAGATAGCGAAGCATCGTCCGTTTAGTTTGACAAATTCGCGATTTGCGTAGCCGAGAAACTGTCAATCTGCCTCAAAGTGTAGCTCTTGTACAGATCGGGCTTGAGACAGCCGGTCACCAGACTACATAACGGAGACCACTTGGTAAGGAGTCCATGAGCGGTAGAGTCGTATCTTGGGGAGGGTACCGAGACAAGAGAGCGGCATGAGAAGAGCATTCTCTCTGTACGAGAGCATGCTTTGCGATCTTCTTAGATAACCAGAGTTTGTGGCGAGGTGTCGCGTGGCTCACCGCTTGCTACGTTCTTATCTCGTACCCGGGTCGCATGATATGTCATGACGGTACGCAGAATTCCGATTTTCGGGTTGAGCTGCATCAGGCGACCAAGCGAATGTGTGTCTAGTGGTGCTAGAGCCGCTGCATTGACAAAACGGGGCCAGGGCGTGGAAAACTCGTGAACGTGTTCAGGATCGTAGTGTCAGATTGCCATGATGGATCTGAATGCAGATCTGCCAAAGAGTTGCGACCCTGCCAAGACTGCAAAATCGACCAGCTAGGAAGAAGACCATGTGCCTTCCAAACAAAGCGCGGCGATGTCAGCCTCGGCCAAGCTTCAGACGAACAGTGCTTGTCCCACCGACGGGTCAGGATCGGGACCGATCATGGCGGAAGATTTGCACCGCTTGCATCTTAAGCAGCTACCTACCAGCCTCACGGCTGTCTTGGAGCCCTCGAAAGAGCTGTGGCGAGGATCTTCAGAAAGAAAGGATCCTGAAGACGGATCCGATTATCACTGTGTCTCTCGTAAACGTGGAGCGGGAGTGCTAGCCCCGCCAAAACCTTCGAACTCGGGTTCCAGCGAATGTTCCCCGTCTAAGGTTGTTCGGATGCAGCCATGGCAAAGAGCGAGGGAGAGAGAAAAAGACGGGGTTCGGCCGCCAAAATGGCATTCTCCCCCGACAGGCAAAAGTCGGGTGCAAAAGTCGGGTCGAATGCCGTCTGCGGGGAGGCTGGGACACCAAAGACATGCTCCATGTCAGTGTTCACTGTTGGCACGAGGAAAGGTATCTCAAAGCAGCAACCGACCCAGGTGCTTGCCTCTTACCCAACCACATGTTCCTTGACCGAAATCGATCAGAAACAAAACGTCTTGCCAAATCTGAGCTTGGCATATCCGTACGTTGGTTGGCCTTGTATCTTGACGAGTCAGTTCGTTCCCGCCAGTTTCGCGTGTAGTTGTTTCCCTGAGTCGGACAATCGGCAACTTGTTCCCAACAACGACGACTTCAGATGGAGAAGAGACAAAAGTATCCGCAACGCAAGTGGTCCAAGAACGGACTGTGGGAATGCTCTGACGGGCTCGAGAGACGGCGCCGCGGCCGTGCAGACAGTAAGCGGAAAGACGCCTTGAACGCCCCGGCGAGGGCGATGGCGGTTGGAGAAGTGAGAGGCAAGTTCCTCCAATGAGCAATGATAGAAACGGCGGTGCCGTGCTGCAACTTGCTAGTCGGTTTGGATACACCACACCAAGTGCGTTCAAGAGTTCAAGGGTCCAGCCAACACTCTAGCGAGCTAGGGACAGTTGGGTACCGCTCAGGATTCGTGCTGCAGATCTGGTGTTCAGGTCCCTGCTTATTGTAGACCCTCAAGAGGCGGAGGACCCTGCAATATGTTGCTGAATGCAGCAGGACATGGTGTGTCTTTTTTCGGAGCATGAACGAGGTATGGTCGACGAGCCGTGTTGTGGCTGACGTACCATGACCTGGCGGTGATGATAAGGCAGATAGATTGCTTCTAGGAATATGTCTCGTCGGATTGCACGTCAGTTGACTGAAAGAATGGCGGGATAAGGGATGGTGATGGTGCCACGAAAAGGAAGAAGGTGACTTGGACAAGTGCTCATGTCATGCTCTCGCTCCCGTCTCTTGGGGGTCTTGGGGGGCAAGTGCGGTGTCAGTCAGCAGCGGTCTGAATGGCTGTGTAAAGTGGAGTCAGGATCTTCTGTGATCCATTTTTATTCACCAGCAGCCCGTAACGATTGGAGAGGGTAACATCGAGGAAGGAGAGGGCTTTCCTGTCTGCACTCCGGGCGGACCCCTCCTTCTTTCCCCCTCGTCCTTCCCCCACCTGCCCGCTCTTTGCGCCGGACCACGGGCCCCGCACGATGCACCATGTGGATACCTCACGGCAGAGGTATCTTTCTTGCGTTTCGGCCGCTACTGTCGACTTCTCTGAGTTCCCATGCCTTGCCTTTTTTTTTTTTTTTTTTTTTGCCTCCTCTGGTCTGGCCTGGCCCTCACTGTGCCTCTTTGCTCGTACTGGCGGTGGCTTCTGCTTCCAGACTCTTTTCCGCCGCCATGCCTTTCCCCCAGCTATACAGAGCTATTGGATCCGGCTAGAAAGGCAGGTGAGAATATCCCAGCCAGCTCCATCCGTTTCGGCGGGGACTTTGTTTCCCAAGTCTTGGCTCCAAGCAGCCGAAATTCCGAACAGCCTGCTGCTTGTGCATAGCAAAGCAAGGTAGAGAGACACGAGAACATCGCCAGTGGCCATCTTCAGACCCTTGGCCCTGGAGGCATTTACGGGCACTGTCGACCGTCAGACTGACCCGTTGGTGTGAGTGATGGGCATTATGTATGGCGAACCCGGGACCCATCGGTGTCCATCGATAAGGAGGGTCCTTGTTTCGCCGACACAAAGGGGATGGATGGTGGGATGAGATGGGATGGGATTGGGGGGTGTGAGGGCCGTTTTGTGCTTCCGTCCAGAGCGCGTTTTAAGCTCCTACTCACTCCCCTTACCCGGCCTTCGGTGCGGTCTACCACAGTATTGTGTCGGTCGTTCCATGTGTGAGTGGTTTTGTTTCCGCTCGACTCGACAACTTTTTTTCTTGTTCTTTCTCTTTTAGCCCCTCCATCGGCCGACCTCTTCTCCTCTTCCTCAACTGCCACCCTCTCACCATCCTCTCTATCTCTCTTGCTCTTCGCAGCCTTGTGCGTGTCCCAGACACATCCTGCTCGTGTGACCTTCCACACAGGAATCAGAGGCCATGATATCTTGAGTCTCCGGTGTGCCATGTGCTCCGCCCCAACCCGTAAGGTCCCCTTTCTCCAGCCTTCTGAGGCTCCACACCCCGCTACCTGCACCGGCTGACCTCCATTATCGATAGCCGGCTCACACCCGTTCAGATAGCAGATCTCCACCAAAAATCCCTGGACCCTGGCCACCCCTCCATCCTGACCCCCCTCTAAGAGAACCGAAAGCCTTCAAGACCATAACCTCTCCCCGATTACTCGCGCTTCATGTCTCATCCGTCTTCCTAGAGACTTGGCCTGTCTTTTCGTCTGTTTCTCTGTGTGCCTGCGATTCTCTCTTGCGACGCCGAATATGAAATAGGACCATCCGCCGACCGTCCCGAGCTTTTCTCAACTCACCGGGTCTAAGACGTGGACCACCGAGCTCAGCTTCACTGCCCCGCGCTACCTAACCTCGCCAACAAAGACAATACGGGGAGAAATTGCGCAACTCTGAGCAAACGGACTCAGTCGCAGTTTGACTGTGGCAAGAATTTACAGAATTATTCGACGCCTTCTGCTCCTTGTCTATAGGCGTTTTGTCCTAACCAGCTATCCCACTTGGTCAAGTCTTCACTATGGCTGACATCGAACTCCCCGCCGGTCCGGCTCCTATGGAAGTCGTTGATGAGCAAGGCCCAGGCCTTTCAAACCCATCAGGAAAAGCCAAAGGCCGACACCGCGTGCTCTGTGGTGTGCAACGAATGTCGTCCTCGCCTTCGTTGGCGAGGAGTGGCCGCACTAGATCACACAGCAATCCTCAACGTCCGAGGGGCAATGTTTCCTGCGTGAGCTTGGCAGGACCCTCAACCGCGGGGACCTCTTTCACTGGCGACTCTTACTTCCCCGCAGGCGCAACAGCATCAGGCTATGCCAGTGCCTCATCTTCCGTTCCAGGAACACCATCTAGCGAAATCATTCAGTTCGTAGGCATTGATGGCCGACTTGCTATTCGCCGGGTCGACAATGTCTTCCCTACTACGCAATCCCCGGGTGCCCAAACCATTGGACTCCCATCCGATTTAAGGACGACGAATAAAGCCCAGGTCGCCAACCCCGCGGTCCCCAAGCGTGGCTTCAACTTCTGGGAGAACATGCCCCACGAGATGCGCGTGCACATCTTCTCCTACCTATCACCCAAACAGCTGGTACGAGCTTCACGAGTTAGCAAGACTTTCCACAAGATCTGCTTCGATGGGCAACTTTGGACGTCTTTTGACGCCACGGAATTTTACCAGATCATCCCCGCCGAATCTCTTGCAAGAATCATCGTAGCCGCTGGGCCCTTCATCAAGGACCTCAACCTCAGGGGCTGCGTTCAGGTCGAACACTACAAGAGGGCCGAGGTCGTCGTCAAGGCCTGCAAGAACTTGGTGAACGCGACGCTCGAGGGATGCCGCAACTTCCAGCGCAACACGTTACACAGCCTGTTGAGAACGAACGATAAGCTCGCTCAGCTCAATTTGACTGGTTTGACAGCGGTTACCAACATGTCGTGCAAAATCATTGCCGAGTCATGTCCGCAGCTGGAGATGTTCAACGTGTCATGGTGCGTACATATGGACGCGAGAGGTATCAAGGCAGTGATCGAAGGGTGTCCGAGGTTGAAGGATTTGAGAGCGGGAGAGGTCAGAGGATTCGACAATCTCGAGGTCGCCGAAACGATATACAAGACGAACAGGCTGGAAAGACTGGTTCTGAACGGTTGTGCCGAGCTCAACGACCGCGCGCTCAAGGTCATGGTTCACGGCGAAGACCCCGAAATCGATATCCTCACGGACCGACCGATCGTTCCCCCGAGGAAATGGCGTCACCTCGACCTCAGCCGCTGCGCCCGTCTGACCTCACAGGGCGTCAAGGCTCTGGGATACAATGTCCCGGATCTCCAGGGCCTGCGCCTGTCCGGCTGCACCGCCCTCACGGACGCCGCGCTGGAGCCAATATTCGCATCGACTCCGCGCCTCACGCACATCGAGCTCGAAGACCTCTCCGACCTCACCAACGCCCTCTTGTCAGAACACCTGGCCAAGGCACCCTGCGCGCCGTGGCTGGAGCACCTCTCCATCAGCTACTGCGAGAACCTCGGCGACAGCGGCGTCCTCCCCATCGTCAAGAACTGCGTCAGCCTCCGGGCCATCGACCTCGACAACACCCGCATCAGCGACCTTGTCCTCGCCGAGGCGGCCTTTATGGTCAGCAACCGCTCCCAGAGCAACGCCGTCAAGCCGAAACCCAAGGTCGGCCTGCACATGGTCGTCTACGACTGCCAAAACGTCACCTGGACCGGCATCCGCGAGGTCCTCTTCCGCAATGCGCAGTCCAAGCCGTCCATGGCCGAGATTGGCAAATTCGCCTACGCGTCCGAGGCCATTGGCCTCAAGTGCTTCTACAAGTTCCAGATGACCGTCGACGAGCACATGAAGCGCGTGCTGCGCGGGGACCTCGCCGCCGCCAACCGCCTCGAGCACCGGTGGGCCGATTACATGCAGGCGAGCGAGGAAGCCGGGACCACGGGCGCCGGTCACCGCCGGCGCAGACGGAGGGCGAGAGAGGCGCAAATGTTGCATGCCGACGAGGAAGAGGGCGGCAACGGCGGTCGGAGGCGGGGTCGAACCGTCGGGGCGTGCACGATTATGTAGTGGGAGACAATTCTTCAGCTCGTGATCGTGTAAGTGAGACTTCAGGGTCTCACTTGGGGAAGAAGTCTTTCTTCCCAGCCACATTCTTTACGACGATTTCTTCGTCACATGGGTCACATACTTTGCTTGGCGTTCTGGAGCCATCACACACACATACACACACACAAGAGACAGCAAACACTCTCAACTCCCATTACTAGATCTGGGATGCAGCATCATCTTCAAGCCCGTGGAACGGAATTGAAACCCGGCGTCTCGCATCAGCAAAGGCGCTTTTATGCAGCACGTTCTGTCCTTTTTTTTCCCCCCCCCCCATTTTACAGCTGGAGTATTAGATGGGAATCTGGGTTCGGAGGAGACATTGGCCTATTTCAAGGGGTATTTGGATGTGGAATCGAGGAATTTACCTCTTGTACTTACGTGAAGGAGAAGCACTCTCTCTTAAATCCACTTCAAGGTTGGATAAATAGGCTACTTCAATTGCACACATCATCACATATTTCCTCAGTACAAATGTCATCGGACCCATAACCTCATTTAGCTTCTCACGCAGTAGTGTGAACATAGACCGAATATTGGAAGCTACACTCTTGGCATTATTCTCGAAAAAGTTCAGAGGCTAATCCACCCAGTAATTAGGTCGGACACTTTACATGTCGCCGTGCTTTTACATGTCGCCGTGCTGGCGAATGTAACGCCGAATCTTGTCCTGAAAGACGTCGTCCTCGTCCCGCCGCTCATCACCCTCCATGACGTACATATCGTCGTCGTCGTCCTCGTACGGATCGCGGGTGTCAAACTCCTCCTCGTCCGAAGCATTGGCGTTGCGGAACAAGTAGGCGTGGCGATCGTACTCGTCCTCGGAATCGACCTCGTCTTCAGGGTAATCCGCCGTGTAATGGTTCTCGGCTATGCGCGCAATCATGTCAGTAAATGAGTAACAGAGCTTCGTTCGGTTCATAGACTTACCGTTCTCGTCTTCATCATCGTCAAGATCCGAATCGTCGTCCTCGTTACCGTAAAACAGCTCCAAGTCTTCTTGCGAGTCAAACCTGAGCACACCAATCTGCTCGGGCGGAATCTCCGCCAGCACCGGCTTCGAAGGCGCGAGCTCGTACACCTCAATAACGTAGTCGTCGTCGCTCTCGTCCTCGTCGTCGCTCGCCTCCGTCATGGCTTCGTCGCCGCCGTTGAGCTTCTTGACCATTTCCGGGTGGCGCTCGGCAAAGCGTTTGGCTGGCGCCTTGGGCTTGAAGCGTGAAGGCGACGCAACGGCGGACGGTGAGCGCGGCGGCTGCTGCTGCTCCATAGCCTGGAGATTCAGCCCGATCTCGTGGAGAACCCACTGGTCCATGTCGGCCGCGATCTTGCTCATATCCTGCGTGGGAGCTGCGCCGGGCATGGGCTTGCGCTGCGGCTCTCCGCTAGGCGTCCCTGGCCCTGTCGTCGCCCCGGAGGCTGCTCGCGAGGGAGGGGGGCGTTTGGCAAGTGGCTTCTTAGGCGCCGGCTTATGGTCCTCCTTCATCTCGACATCAGCTGGCAGACCCTCCGCTGTCATCGTCGTCGGTGTGGTGCCGCCGGACGTCGTGGCGGCCCGGCGTGCGCTCTTCTTCTTCCCCCGCTCCACGAACACGGCTGTCCCGTAGCGTCCCCGCTTGGAGACACCACCGGCCTTGAGTATAGTGCTGCCCCCAGGCGAACTCATGGCCGATCTGGACATGTGGAATCGTCTCGGCTCGGTGGCGGGGTTCTGAGGGCGTTGCGGATCGGAGGCGGTCTGCGGCAGGGGCTTCTGTGCGTCGAGCTGGGTCCGTGGCGGCGCCGCCGCTGCCGCTGCCTTTCCTGTCGGAAGAGCATGGCTGCTCGAGTGAGGTGGGCGATGGGGGCTCGAGATCTCGTCACCGGGCTTCGACGTCTGGATGACCGGTATGGAGGGTTGCGATGGGTGCTGTGCTGCGGCGGCAGCGGCAGCAGATCTTGCGCTGGCTTTGGCGAGGCGCCTCTGGTAGACCCAGCTGCTACCGGCTAGATGTCGTTTGGATCCCGGCTCGAGTTCTATCTCCTATTAATTTGTCCGTCCGTTGATGGTAAAAAAGGAAGAGCGGTCATACGAAGGTAGGTGACCGGAGCATCTTCATCGCCCCGCTTCCTCTTGATGTGGATCAGTTGAGGAGGGGCAGACATGATGGGCTAAAGAGAATGATAGAAACTGCGAAAGCAGAAAAACGCAAGGAACGGGGGTGTTATCGAGATCGTGAATGATTTGTTGTGGATGCTGAGAAAGAGAACAAGCGCTCAAAAGTCACATCGACGGTCCCTGGATTAAACTGGATCCGTTGCGACGTTGCAATTCATGCAGTTCTGGTTGACGATGTTTTTTCTGGAAGGTGGATTTTTCTGGAAGCAGCCGCTAAGGCACACGGCAACCACATGTCGAACACAGTGACAGTGTGCTGGAGAGCTGCGATAAGAAATGCTTATCGCAGTATCACGTCATTGGCCAAGGATCTCACCGCTTTCGGCAGAAAATACGCCGGTGCTGAGGATGGGGAATTGGGAAGCCCCGCCATTTCCGATCACGGTTGAGTTTCCCACCTTTTTTGAGCAGCACAAGCGTCAAGGTTCTATGTAGATGCTGGATGAGATACGGCCAATTGAGCGTCTAAACTCATCCAGGGACGCTTCTCAAGCATCTTGAATGCTGTCATGTTGGTTTTCGTAAATTCTGAGATGACTGAGACATGGGGAGCTGGACCCTGCTCTTGCTGAGCTTGGTGACATTCGAAACCACTTCAGCATGTACCCTTCCTCGCTTTTCTGGCCTTTGGACAGGAGACGCTAGCTTTGAGATCTGCACGCGATCACCTCAGCCATCAAGCCTGCGGATGGATCTCAGGGTAGTGGTGCTGAGATAAGTTGTCTATGGTGTTGATCTGTACTGCGTAGATTCCGTCGGCTGCGACTTCGCTAATAAATAAACATTCGAGATGGAATTGCAGCTGATTGCCAGAGAAATACCCATTCCACGGAGCTTGTTTGGCATGATGGAGGTGGCTGTTAGCTCAATGTCTGAAGTTGCCGTCCCGGTCTGGGCCAGGCCCTCCAGTTCCAACTTCATCCACTGGGACCCACGATCAGCTTACCTTAGCCCAGCGGCTGTGGAGCTGCATGGCTCGTGCGGTGCTAGAAAGTCTCCGATACTTTGGAAACGGGAACAACTACAGCCAATAGCCATGTCCCAGCGACTCCCCTGGTCTCGGGATGCATCAGGGATGATGACGCACAAAGCATGCCGGCGCTGAGATGGAGCAGCAGGGCGGCCACTGACTGCGGTGCTGATAACCGCTACTTTATGCTGGGGCAATGATTTGCGGAAGCTTCAGGTCGCGCATTGAGCGTTGCGTCGGGAGCTAAACCGCCAACAAAACTTGGATCAAACGGGGGAGGAAGGGATAGTGTTGGTGAAAGAGAGGAAGCAGCAATCTCGTCTCATGCCTCAGCACAGGTCTTTACTTCTACCTTATGGTCCATTCTCGTCTCATCAGGGACCAGCAATCGCCATGTGCCATGCAAAATAGATGGCGCAATCCAGCTCAATTGCTGATAAGCCCGGGTCTTATTTCACATAGTGTCAGAAGCCATGGCAAACAAAGTACCCGACTGCCAGTTGCAAACCCCATTGCATTCAAACTCGGGCAAGTAAGGAAGCTGAAAGTGAGCAAGTGCTTTGCCTCAACTTTTCCCACCACATTAGAAGGCTTAGATAGCAATTAGCTTCCTCCATGACCTCGTCCTTCCCAACCTCTTTCCCAGTCTCCTTCCTCTCCGGCCGGCACACCCCAACCTTTGACATGGCACACACGACATACGGAATAATCATGCAATGAACCCCTCCTGTGCCGCAGCTTCCCTGTTCTGAGCTGCTGCACCTCCCACACACCTCACCCAGAACAAGGCAGCGGCTTCCTGATCTCTCTGCTATCTGAGCTCCCCTCACCCAGCTCGAAGCATCTGCACGTTACGTTTCTCCTCCCGCATCCGCAAGGCTTTGCTGCAGTAAGCTCTGCCCCCTTCTCCTCGTACTCTTCCAAACCCCAACCAGCTCGCTCCCTCAAAGCCGTTTCACTCGCACAAAATACGCAGCCCCCGAATCTTCCTCGTTGGCGTCGTTGCGTGAAACACTCCTCCGGAGACTCCACACTCCAAATTCCTCCCGTAGAATTGTCTGGCATCCTTTTGTGTTCCTCCATTTCTTTTTTTTCTCACCAAAAAGTCAATCCCATCACCTTGACGCCTACTTGCTTCCTACGACTAGCGCCGCATTTTAAGGTATCGCCCAGAGACAGCCGCATTCGTCAGCGTTGTTGCCCGTCTCAACCCGCCACCCTCGCTGTGGGTTCCAAGGGAACGGCTTCCTTTTCTGCCATTTTCATCGAGTTTTCCTTCCCAAAAGGTTTCTCTTACCTGTGCTGACTTGAGCCGTGATAGAAGGGCAGCCGACGAAGAGAATCCACCTTTTCAAACGCTCGTCCTTGTGCGATTGAGTTGGCCGAGTGACGACGAGAGTTGAGCTACCCAACTTCAACCTACTTCGCCGCGGAGGCCGTCGTCCACAATGGTTTCCGTGACCATCACCTACAAGCAGCCCGGGACGCAGCCTCCCATCTTTGTCGCCGGCTCCTTCTCGAATCCAAAATGGGAGCCCCAGGAGATGGACTTCACCACCGAAGATGGTGGAGAACACACGTTCTACAAGAACATTGAAGTTCGGCCAAACGCGCAGATCGAGTACAAGTTCCGTGTTGGTCTAGGGGACTGGTGGGTTCTTAACGAGACTGCAGCTATAGGTATGTTTGCCCCCAGGTTGCGCAGTGCTACGTTTTCAGCAAGCTCGTCTAACATGGAGGTAATCTATAGTCACCGACGGATCTGGCAATCGTAACAATCTCCTCACAGCACCTGCGTCCCAAGAGTTGAAGGAACTCAACGGTGTGAACGGCGACAGCCAAACTGCAAGCGAAAACGCCTCAACTTCCGAAGACTTGGACGCCTCAAAAGCTCCCAGAGAGCATACTGCTGCCCAATTTGAGCCGAAAATAAAGCTCCAAGATCGTCTGAAGGACGAGGAGCGGCAAAGACTCTCGTCGACCCCGATCGGCCAAGTTGCGGACACCGCCGCAGAGGTCGCTGATACCGCTGAGAAACTTGACGCCGAGGTCGACATGTCTAGACTTGCAGCGCTCCCCAAGGGTGTGGAGCACCTCAAGGATGAGGAGAGGAAGCGCCTGTCTTCGACACCGATTGAACAAGTTGCGAGCACTGCGGCTGAGGTTGCCGATTCTGCCCAGAAGCTGGACGCTGATGAGGTATGAGCCAAACAAGCGGCAGATTGGTAATTGTAGAGCTATCACTGACAGTATGATAGGATCTTAAGGAAGAGGACTCGGACGACTCTCCTGCACCATTGTTCGCTCACGAAGCTCTTGGACCCTACGAGCCTTCAGCTGATGACGAAGATGAAATTCCAAAGGACTACGACCATCATGGCACTGTGGAGTACGATGTCGACAAGTATGACCTCAATGATCCCACCCTCGAGCGGTGGCCCTCTAACAGGGACGGAATCATCGATGCCGTGCGCAAGGTCGAGACTGGGCGCAACGAGGATCAGACTGCTTTCTACGGCGCGCCTATTTCACCTATCAATGGAATACGCCGAGCTAGTGCTGATCAATACTTCGATGAAGCTGTCCTTTCGTCAGGCCCCTCTAGTCCAGCTTCCACCAAGAGGCTGGAGCTTCCGCGAAAGTCACACGGCTCCATGGTCTCGGACAGATCGCTCCTTTCTCTGGGATCAATTGCCGAAGAGGATAAGGAGACTCCGAATGCCGATGAGGCCAATCGCGAGAATGAGGGCTTGGTCAGAGTTCCGAGCCCCGCGGTACGGCCAACGCCGCATGCTTTTACACCACCTGGGAGTGACGATGACGAGGGAGTCGTTATGAAAGGCTCCAAGTCCAGGAAAAGCTCAGATTCGTCAAGCTCAGATTCACCTGCTGTCAACGTCCAGTCCAACGGCAAGCAGTCGAGGGATCTGTCGCCCAAGACTCGGCCCGCTGAGCCTGATAGCCCTGCCATTCGCGTCGAGCCGCCCCAAGACAGAGCAAGCTCCAGTGTCAGTCAGGATGGTGAACTGGCAGGGGCTTCTGCTTCGAGCCCCGGCGGCGAGGCAACGACCTCCGGCCGCGATGGTGGTCACAAAGGCCAGCTCAAAAAGCGCGGGCCTGCATCGACCGAGCGTCCTGGAACCCCTTCCTCAATACACAGCGTTACAGACAGCAAAGGAGGCTGGCTCCAGGCCTTCTTCCGCGTATTATTCGTAGACTGGATTGGTGGACTGTTTAGCCGGTTGTTCGGCAGCAAGAGAAAGGCGTAAGGTCATCTCTCTATTCCGGTTCGCATAGCACAGTGGATCGGTTGCTCGTGTTCTTCTCATCACCTTTTCCTTTGTTTGTCATTATTCCTCACAATATCTGACAGGTTGACTTTTGTCCGCAGGATGCTGGCCACGAGCACGGCTGCCATCGTTGTAGGAGTTGCATGGTGGAAGTTCGCCATGGGCGGCGACTTGACCTGGCTTGAAGCATTGATTTGATGGGTTACACAAAGATGGGAAGGGTGTGTGCGGGCTGAAATTGCAAAGTACCGGAGGTTGCGGTCAAAACAAAACAAACTTTTGATTTGTACAATTAGGTAATGGGTCGTGGAAAGTATCGTTATGGAGGACGAAGAATCGATAACCAACAGCGGAAGTGGTGGATGATAGCGGAAAGCAGAAGTTGCGTTGAGTGAGCATCAAAACAGACTTTGATATTCGATGATTTTGACGCCGAAACATCTTTTTTCTGTTCAGGGTGCCTCCCCGGGAACCATTGCTTGCTTGCCTGCTGGCTTACGGTATGTGACGTGCGTTTGTTTATACGGGATCAGTCAGAACACAGCCTGTCTCCTTAAATCACTCTCCAAATGGCACCGGCTCTCTGGGTATCTCTGCCGCGGCCGTCGTCTCCCTCCCTATTCATCTTCTTAATCCACTCGTTCTCCCTCTCTACCGCCGCGGCCTCAATGTCTTCCATGACGGCCAGCTCGTCGAGCATGTCCCTGACGAGACTGGTGCACCCGTCCAACATGCGCTTCAGGCTCGACGCTTGCGTAGTAGTAGTACCAGGGGCCGCGTCCTCGTCATCATCACCGCTGTATTCTAGCTCCCTGAGCTGCGCATCCCACCCCTCGAGACGCCTCACCAGCGCCGCGGCATCGTCTTTCCACCGCGCATCGAGACCGCCGCCGAAGCGGACGTCCGCCTTGTCGTCTAGGAGGGCGGAGGGGTCGGCGCAGTCTTCTGCGCGGGCGCGGGCGGCTTCGAGGTCGGCGAGGGTGGCAGCCCAGCGCTCAAAGGCGCGCACGAGACGGTGGTGTCTTCCGCCTGGGCTGTCGAGGGACCAGAGGGATGTGAGGAGGGCGTCTAGGCGCTGGATGCGGTCTTCCAGCGGCAGGGATGATGTGACTGTCTTGCCGCTTTTGCCGGCGGTTGCTGCCCACCTACTCAGGGCTGCGAGGTTACGGCGCTCCGCGGCGTCGGATTCGAGGGTCGCGAGACTCCTTGCCGAGGCCGCGAGGTCGGCGTGGCGGGCGGCGAGTTGGGAGCGGGCGCTGGCGTGCCACTGGGACGTGACCTGCGGCAGGTCGCGGTGGAGGAGGTGGAGCTGGAGGAGCTCTGTCTGGAGGCGGGAGGTCTCTGCCGTGAGGGCGACGTTGGCGGGGAGCTTTGAGGGGGACGGGGCGGCGAGGTAGGTTGCCGTCAGGGGTTTCGGGGCGAGGGACTTGGCGGGGGAGTAGTGTTGTTGCAGGGTCGAGAAGGCTGGGCGGAGGGCTGGTTTTGTGGTTCTGGGTGGTGAGGTTGGGGAGGGGTGTCGTTGTTGGGCTTGTTGGCGGGCGAGGTGTGGTGGTGCTGTTGTTGCTGTTTGGTGGGATGATGGTGGTTTTGAAGGTTGTTTTAGGGGTTGACGGGTTGGTGCTGTTGTTGTGCTGCCTGCTCGGGCTGTGCGTGTTGATGTGGTGGTTGTCGCGGAGGAGAGGGAGGATACGGATGGTTTCGAGGAGAGGCGGTCTGTTGCTGAGGGGGGGCGGGGCCTCGTGGTCGTGGATGATGTTGAGGATGGGAAGGAAGACGTGGGAGGTGCGCCGTACAGGGACGTCGGGCGTGATCTCGGTGCGGCGCCGGCGGTCCCGGCAGACGACGTCTGGCTTGGGGGTCGGAGGACGGTGCTGTTGTTCAGGGTCGCGACGCTCCTTGCGCGGGCGTGGCCCTTTGTCGGGCTCCCTGTCGCCGCAGCCGCCGTTGTTGTCGATGTCGTCGCTGGTGCGCCGGCGCGTCTTGAGGATGGTAGACCGCCCGAGGTAGTCGGTCTTGCTGTCGTGGGCGTGGACGGTCCGGAGCCAGCGCCGGTTCTACCTGCAGCAGCATTGGATGACGAGACGAGGCTGAGGTTGCTCGTCGAGGCGTTTGCGGGGTATCGCGTCCGCGTCAGTCCCGGTTCCCTCGTCGAAGACGTCCTCGTGAGGCCCGAGAGCGCGCTTGTCCTGCTTAAAGGGGCGCTTGTTGGTCCCGAGCTGGCTGATCCTCCTCCTCCTGCTCCGGCACCTGCTGCTACATCTCTTTGTCTCGTCGAAGTCGACGTTGTCGCGGACGCTGGTTGGCGCGTCGAAGAGCTTCTGCTCAGCAGCGACGATAAGGGGTTCGGCCTCTTCTTCTTGGGCGCCTCGGAGGCCGTTGTGCCCGCCGCCGCTGTGCTGCTCGCGACGCTGGCGCCGGAGACGGTGCGTGTTGTGGGACGTGTTGCGGCGAGGGACCGGGGCGCGGGGAGTCTGCTCGGGGATACGGGGCGGTGTGATGTGGACGCCGACGCTGACGGTGGTGCTGCTGCTCCGGCGGTGGTCGAGCTCGCGGGGCCTCTAGCTGCCGTGATTGAAGCCGAGGAGGATACGGAGGTTGTGGTCGTTGCAGGAGGGAGATCGGTCGAGGAGCCCTGCGTCGGCTTCCGCAGGGAGCGGGTGCGGGCTAGCGACGAGGACATGACTGCGCCGGGGTCTCTGGACGGTGTGTGGTGGTCATGCGGTTCTGGGAGGCGGTGGTTCTCTCCCGATGCTCGATGGTCCCGCTGGTCTCGGCGCGAGTCGCGATCGGGTTTCTAGGTCTCTGCGGGGACCCCGCGCTCGCGGTCGGTTGTTCGGTCAATTTGTGGGTTAGCGAAAGAGTCGCCAATGTGGGATCGATGCGGTTCGCAGAGAAATCGGTGGGTATCTTCGCTAAAGGGCCGCCGGGTTCGCGATGTTGATGTTGATATTCGACGTCAGGGGCCGCGCCGTACGGTTTCTTTGCGATGTGGGGGTTGCTAGGGGCCCGGGCGGCGGTGGGGGGCCGATGATGGGTGAGGATCAAGTTTGCCTTGAAATAGAGCGTTACTTACTTTTTTCTGTCAATGTAAGCTCTAAAAGAAGTATTGTAGTAACGGGCTCGTCTACCCACTGCCCTGCAGGACTCTAGGAGCTTTCTAGCGCCGGCGCTTGGGTCTCCTCGACTCCAACGTCGGCGGGCTGAGCCGAACAGTGGCACCCCGTCTGTTCGCGAATCTCAGCTGGTGTCTTTTTATTTCCTTCCTTCTTTTTTCTCCGATGAGACCCCTCCCTGCCAGTCCGTATGGATACTCCGTACTTCGTAACATCCCTCGCGTGTCCGCCAACGCGATGCAGCAATCTCCGGCACATCCGGTAAATAACTCAACCTGCCTGGTTTTTTCCCCCTCCTCTTGCTGAACGTCGTGCCCCGACACACATTTGCAGATGGGCGAGTCGAGGAAACAGTTCCCGCGCGCCTTTACTTGTCAAACGAAGCGTTGCGCTTCTCGTTGGTGTGTCCCTGAGTTCTGGGACGTATGTAGCACCACACTTCACCGCATATACGAGCTTGAAGATTTTTACTTTGAATCTCTTGGTTTTGAAAACAGTAGTCGGGTTTCAACTCCGGCTCTCTGAGAGCCCACCCTTCCAAAATCTGGAGTTAACCTGTCTTTCCCCATTTGCCTGTATTGTCCTTTCTCGTTATGAAGCTTCGTTTTCCGTATGCTCAGAGCTTGCATCAAGCAAGTAGTAGTAGTGATCCCTTCCAACAAACAAGAAAAAATGTGCGCGTGACCCTCTTCCACCCTTTTTCCTGGGGGCCACGACTTCCTATACACAAACATTGGTATCTTGGGGGCGAGAAGGGGTATCAACCAATCGACCTCTTTCTATCTAATCCCGCAATGCAGAAAGTTAACTCTTTCCCCTCGATGACGAAGATCCGTGGAAGTCCGGCCGCCGGGAAAAATATTGAAAAACCGCTTGGAAGTGAAATTGACCATGTGATTTCCCTATGCCAAGCAAACAAGAAGAGAATTGGAAAAATGTGAATTCGAAAGCAATCAGGCTGTAACTGATTGCTGGCTCTGTTGCTGTTGTTGAGCGTCTGTACGCTGCTCTTCCTTCTCGGGGGCCTCGATGCCAGCTGCCGTGGGAGGGCGCCCCTGGGAGCCGCCGCTCTGTGGGTTGCCCTCCAAGTGAGCCATAAGCTTCCGGAGGTCTCTGCGGTTGCTGTTGAAAATTTGCAGGCAGGAAGCGCACATGCGTACGTAGCAGAACTGGCACTTGTAACGATCCTCGGTATCGGCCTTGCCGCAAGTCTGGCAGGTTAGTGCGTAGTTGCGGTTGCGAGTTCGGTCCATGGTGCGGTGCTTGACGTAGCAGTCGAGCATGCTCTCTTTCAACGGCAGAGCCTTGTAGATCATGCCGGGGCTGGGAGGCTCGGAACCCTGCATGGGGAAGAACGACGCGCGAGGGTCGGCAGGCGGCAGGTCCTTGACCTTGAGCTCGCGGTACTCGACGGGTTCTTGGTTGGGGCGCTGATCTCTCGAGGCAGGTCGCATATCTCCCTGCGCGAATCCGGGTGCCGGCGCATACGGCACATACTCCCGCTGCGGCTGCTGCTGCTGCTTGTTGGGGGCGGCCCGAGGCGGCAGCTGGTTCTGAGGATCGGGACTAACGGGGCTGACTGCAAAGTCTCTCGTGATTGTCGGGGGAGCCTCATTGCTGGTGACAGGTCCATCTGCGCGCATTTGAGGCAAGCTTTGAGCGTTGTGTAAGTTGCGCGCCGTGACCGCTTTGCGGGGGATAGGAGGCTTGGACTCGTTCGATTGCTCGCGGCCAGGCTCGGGAGAGGAAGCGGGTGAGACGGGCGATACAATTGTTTCGACAACCGGCGTTTTGACGTCTTCCTTCTCATAGTCGGGAGTCGGCAGGCGTTGAGTTGGCGAGAGCGCAGTGTCGCTGTGAGACGTTCCCACGTTTGCGCCATTTTGACCATCGCGCAAATGATGGACTTTCTCTTTCAACCGCGAGACCTCTTGACCCATGTTGTTCGTCTGAGCCGCCGCTTGACTTTGAGAGGGAACTGGACGAATATTTCTGCCGGGAAGATTTGATGTGCTGCGAGGGGGAAATTGTTGCTGTTGGGCCGGAGGAGGAGTTGCTGTGTATGAGGATTGTGCGGTATTCGGCTGAGAAGAGGCAGCGGTTGACCCGTGGCTGACTGTTAGGTGTAGATCTGGCACCTCTATGTTACGATCAGATTTTACAGATCTCCTCCTCCATAGTGGTCGCTGTTGTTGCTGGGGCGATGCTGCCGATACATAGCTTGTCGGGCTGCCAGCAGTCGGGGCGGGTGCCGAGTTGACCGGAGCGGCGCCGGCCTGCTCATTATAGTAGGCCGGGTGAGGTGGTAGGCCCTTGTTGGATGTGAACTTTTGTGCGCCGTAGTGGTCATTGTCACCGGATGACAACGAGGTTGGCGTCAAAATCTTGTTTTCCCTTGTCGTCCCATACTGTTCAGAGTTATATGCCTGGCTCGAGTCTCTCTGACTTGCGCTTCCATCCGGCGACATGATGAGGGATTCCCCTGAGCTTCTTGAATAGGCCGAGAGCAGACTTCCGATGGAGTTCCTTTCGTCCTCGGGAGAATACTGCTCTTGCTGCTTCTGCTGGTTCGCCGGGGCGGAGGGCGGTGGTGCTTGCTTTGCAACTGGGCGGCGAGGTATATGTACCGGGGGCAACGCTTTTGTCTCGAGAGGAGGGAGGGGAGGGAGAGACTGGTTGAGGGGTTGCGGTGGTGGAAGCGGTTTGTCTGACATGGCGAATGTCTTCGTCTTCTTGGACGGGAGGGGAGGAAGGGGAGGTATCGAAGGGAGCTGCTTAGATTTGGGAAGAGATTCGGCCTTTGGAGACGGAGGGGTGGGTAGGGCTTTTGAGAAGCGGGATCTTCCCTTGCGACTGTGAGAACGGAGGAAGTCCATTTTGAACGAGGGCCCCCGGATGGCGGTGGGTTACCCTATAATTGGGATGACGGCGCAGTATCCGTACTGCGTACTCCGTTACCCCTTCCCCTTTGCTACCTTGCCTCACTTCTCTTTGGCTTGACTGCGGATGTGGTTTTTGGTCTGCTTAGACTCTCACCAATCGGCTGGCTAGAGGAAATCACCAAGGAGGCAGGGCCAGGGGGGATCAAGGCACCGGGAGCTGACCACGGAGGGCTGGTGGGACTCGAGAACGTGGGACGAAGGAGGGATGGCGACGGTCTGAACAGGTTGATTGGAGCGATGAAGTTCGAGGGGTGGGTTTGCCTTTGCCACGACGTTGAGTATTTTCAGTGCCGTAGTGTTGCGATGCTAGGAGAAACAAGCATCAAGGGTCTTGAGAATTGAGGAGTAGGGAGGAGTAGACGAGGATTCCGCGACGAGGACCGCAGCATATGCCTGTAGGATAAGGAGTACCTTGGTAAGGAGAAAGAAGAAACTTGAGAGGAGTGTCCAGGAGTTGGTTGGATAAGAATGTAACTTGACGGGGTGGCAGAAGCAGAACAATGAGTGAATGACACCGGAAGAGATGGGAGACGGAAGAGAGAGTACAGGGTAGGTAATAGATGAGGTGGTAAGGAAGTATACTGCGTGCTGCGTAGTGCGTAGTGCGTAGAGGGGGGGGAGGGGGGTGGAAGTTCGGCGTCAAGTTTAAAGCTGGCAGCCACGGAGAACCCTGCGACGGGGCCGGGTGTCTGGACATTGACCTTTTCTTCCCTCTCTCTATGGTTGGGAAGTTGGGAAAGTTGGGATGGGATTGACAAGGATGTCATCGATATGTTTAAGGTGGAAAAGTACCTTGTGGATTGCCCACCTCGCCAGCAATGCAAAAAGGCGCTGGACCTCAGATGCGTTAGTACCAAGAGGTTCGGATACGCGGCGTGCCTAACATGCGTGCGTGTCTACCATGGTATCTGCCTACCTACCTTTACTACCTTACCTTTACTAAGGTAAGCAGCAAAGGTCACCTCAATAATTGGACGGAAGACATGCCGGGTCAAGTACCTCGAGTGTGTTGTCAGCAGCCAAAAGCTACTTGGGTAACTAAGGTACCTTAGCTTAGGTAAAGTACCTCAAGGTAAAGCATCGCAATCCTTCCATTTACTTCGCGACAAAAGGCACTATTTTATTTTTGCTAGCGTGCCTGCCTGCCTGGACGACTATGTACAAGTACGGCACCGTGGCACCATAATGTCCGTCATTGGCTCCGTCAGACTGGATCCGGCCCCTCCCATCCCAAAGTGCGGAGCAATTGGCAGTTGCAACCCTCCTCAGCGTCCCAGCAGACATCGGCAGCCCTGCAATGAAAGCAGGCATTGCAAGCAGGATTCAGGAACAGAACAACACTTGCCGGGGTTGTTCGGGGCTGGGTTACGGTATCCTTTGGGGGCTGGCTTGTGCGTGCACACTGGCAATCTGGCAGCGCTGCTTGGCCGGCTGGGGCTGGTGGAGTGGCGGCTCGCAGGTGTCTTGACACGTCCCCATGTACCCCGCCACCAATTCCACTATGAACATCGACTTTGACAGCGCACCCATCGTACCTTAGGTAGGTAAGGTAACCACCTCACCAGCCCACCACCATCGGCACCTGCATCATCAACCTACCTTACCTCAACCCACGGGCAACGGAGGCCGAGACGGGGCCACCTCTTCAGGCTTCAGCTGTCAATGTCAATCCCTCCCATGCACAATCCGGGCTGTGCTTTCTCTCCAGACTCCAGAGTTCACTCACTACCTTACCTTACTCCGTACCGCTACTACGAGTCTACGACTACGAATCACTCAGCAACACAACAGCCAGCCACTCTTCTCTTACAATGGACCCCTTCCCGAACGCATCCATCCTCTCGAGCGAATACCTACAGTCTACATTCACGCAACCAAAAAGCCCACTGGCTTTCGCTTTCACGCACATGCGCATGCGCTTGCGGCTCCTGATTCAATCCCATCTTTAATCTTATCCTGCATGCCTCGGTCGCGGCAGCTTCGAGACATTAATCAGAGGACAAGACAGGCGTGCGTCCAACACACCACTCGACCACTACCCCTGCCCTCTTCGTCACCAATGAACCACTCGTCCCCCATTCCCATCTCGATTGTCAGTAGGCTGAAACAGCCCGCTGATGGAGGGGACTGCCAATATTCGTTCGACCCAGGCCCGCGTTTAATCACTACGGATCGTACATCCCAACGAGCGAGAATGCGTCCTGTTACGAGTTGACGGTACAAGATGGGCTCCTTCTCACTCCTGCGCTCTCAACTTCTGAAGGGTTCGCCAAATGACGCCATGGCCTCGTTCGTCAGCCGTCTACAGAGTCCAAATGGCGAGGCCACCCGAGTACCCAAGATGAGGTGCCTACAAGGCCCCTACGACAGGAATCCCATCTCCCTCATCCGATGATTTGTTCCGGCGTATCTGTACGACGAATCGTTTGCGGCGCGTATACGGATACGTCCTCCATGACCCTCGTGATGGATGGCACCCTACCTGCGCCTCAGCCGCCATGCCGCGTGTTGAGGCGACATGCACCTCGTTTCGCACTTGGCTCGAGTCGGTATCGGCATCGCTACCAGAACGCTCGATTTCTTCTGTGCTACCGTGGCTACCTACCTATCCATGCTATTATGTGCGCCATCACGAACGATTCCCTCAAAGAAACAGAGGATTGCTCTCAGGCTAAACTACCGGCGGGCCGCCGTTTCTGCCCGCAACGCCTGTTTGCGGAATCGAAATTAACTTACTAGCATCATGGCCTGTCCAGCGGGACGTGGGACCTCATGGAATGCACCGTTGCAGACTCGAAGCAGGGAGAACTGAGGTCACAAAAGTCACCAATCGCAGCCCACGCACCGTCTCGTTGAAGCTGAACAGAGGCCGCCGTCCAGCCACCCTCGACGTGGCAGAGGTTAAACCCGCATGATGTCTCGCCCGTGCGTAGACATAGCGCGACGCGCGCGATTAGACTATTACGATCTCGAGCTCTAGCCTTGCAATCTGTCAACTAACTGTGCCTTCTAGACCGTGTACGATCTTTGACAGCTGGTCTGCGTTCGCCGCTCGCGTTTCTAGGTCCGCCGCCATGAACGCCCATTCACAAGAAATCTTAGCGACCCGAGCCTGCCATATAGCGATCTGCATCAGGGAAGCCAACCAGACTTCAGAGCCTTACGGCTGCTGGGTCGAGGGCGGAGTCACATCTCACGTTCAAATCCCCGTCCGGCATCAGAGATATGTGGGTGCCTTGCGGCTCGCTAAGCCCAGGAGCCCGCGCTGCCCGCGTCCCCCCCTGACGAGGGATCTGTCTAGCAAAGATGACGTGAAATCCAAGTCTGATGAACATCGGATCAAACCCCCTGAGAGCTGCGCCTGGTGTCGAAAGAGTATACTACGGCTGCAAAACTGGCTTTATTACCGGAGCAGTGCCCCGGAGGGAACCCTACGTGAGTGCCTACACATTACAGCGCAATGCCCTTGTCGCTCGCATGAACAGCAGGTTTGAGCCATTTTGAGTTCCTCGGTCATCCGAGTCTCACACGCCTGCCCCTGGGATGACCTTGCAAGCACTTCAGACCGAGAGGTGCCGTGCCTCCGCCGGGCTTCCCCTGTGGCCTGTGCCCCCCCTTGAAAGCCAGAGGGCTTTTTTTGATGACGACAAATTGTCCAACTCCAGTCTCCCGCCTTGCAGACGCACAAAGTTGGGACGACATAAGGGATCTGATGCGCCATGGTCGCACTGCGTACCACTCTGCCATCCGTCGACCTTTGACTATTGAAAGCTTACATTCGCGAGGAGAGGTGTTGAATCGTGAGACGACATCGACTGGGACCTATTCAAAGATGTGGTACGGAGTACGGAGTACAGCACACGAGAATCGCCGACGCTGTTCCAAAGTACCTCCCACGCTGTTAGGTACTCCGCACTCAATGAGTCGATTCGAATAAGACAAGCGGCCGTTTGATTGAGGAGCGACATCCGCGGGCTTGGCACGAAAAAGGACGCATTGCAGCGGACCAACGACAAAGGCCTTGTTCCTGTTGGTCCAAGGCTAGCCCGCCCTCGAATGGTTCGCATCGCAGCATGCAGGTTACGTTCTTGCGGGAACCCGCATTGCGGAAAATATAGATTAACATTAAAATGACTTTTGGGGCAGCCTTTGTGGAAGGATGGAGCAGAGACGCGACGGTTTGTTTCACACCGGCAGGATTTTTAAGATGAGATTCGATCCGTCCCCATTCCACATTATGGTGAGCTCCCTCGGTCACACACCCACACTGTAGTTCATTGATCGCTCTGGTCCTGCTTACCTATTCTGCCGGCTGATTGATTTGGCTAACGAGGTGACTGGTCAGTTGATGTCCGGGAAGCTCGGGGCGATTCGGTCGAAGACCGGGCGATGTGAGGAGTTTTTCCCCCACGAGGGTATGGGTTTTGGGAGCAGTGAAGCGGGTGAACGGGTTGCCAAGCACACCAGGCCGATTTGATCTCCGACGCCGTTACATTTCCACCTTACCGGCTAACAACCCTGGTTCCGTCAAAGTCTGGCCCGGTGGCCGTGTCTTCGCATTCTTGTTTTTTTTGGTTCGCCGTTGTCGATGAAGGTTTCGCATCGAGGACTTGACTGCAGAAAGTCTCTGTTCCAGTACGACCCGGATCCAAATCAAATCACGAACTAGGGTTCAGACCAATATCTCTTTTGCTGTCTTGACTTTTGTTTTTAGGACTCGGGACGGGAGACAACTTGAGCCAAAATGCTCTTCAGTCTCCACTCTTGAAGAGACTTTTGCGATCACGTGCTTCACCGTGGGAGTGTCGTCAGAGGCGATAAGACCCAGCCTGGGCTTATCGGGCGGGCAACCATCCGATGAGGACCCCGACAGAAACGGAGCTTAACTGTATGCAGGAGGCAGATTAGCAATCCTCGTCGGCCGCAATGCGAAAGTCGGAGAGATAGCGGGGGAGAGATAGGGAAAATCAATTGACTTCATAAACGACCGGCAATTGGTATTGTCTTTGCTGTTCTTAGAGCGATTTCAACGTTTTGGCAAAAGGGGGGGAAAGACAGCAGAAGTCTCGCCAGTACTTTCCATCAGGTTCCCAAAGCACAGCAGCAGCACTAGTTTCGGCCGTTACTTCGTTTCCGCAAAGATGACCGGCTCCGTCAATGGCACCTCCGTTCCGACGGAGACGTCGCCGCTACTGCGCAACTCCGGCTCGGAGGCGGCCAATGGCAACGGCAACGGCACCGTCGACACCGGCGATCAGCAGAACGGCGCCACGGCCGCTGCCGCCGACACTGACACCGATGAAAATCGGGACGGCAACCCGGAGATGGCCAAGAAGATGCACTTTCTTCTTCCGGCCGTCGGCATCGGAGTAGGTTCCACTCCAGCCCGGGCTCTTCCTCGGCGCAAGGCCTTCGGCAGCGGCTCAGGTCGACCGCTCAGAATTCGGCAGGGACTAACTGGTGCTTTTTCTAGATCTATCTCTGCGCTGTCGACCAGCTGCTCACCGTGGCGACGTACGCCAAGATCGGGAGCGAGCTGCATGCGTTGAATTATACGAGCTGGCTCGCAACATCGTGAGTAACACGCCCTCCCTCACCCTCAGAGAAACTCATCTCATCCGGCTTCATGTCAGATGTAAGACAATGAAGAGTGAAGTACTAACATGATGCCCACAGCTACTACATCACCCTAACAAGCTTCCAACCCCTCTACGGCAAACTCAGCGACATCTTCGGCCGCAAAGAGTGCCTCCTCTTCGCCTACACAGTCTTCGCCCTCGGTTCCCTGGGCTGCGGCCTAGCCCAATCCTTCACCCAGCTCTGCGTCGCCCGCGCCATAGCCGGCATCGGCGGCGGCGGCATGAACAGCGTCGTCGCCATCCTCCTCAGCGACATCGTCCCGCTCCGCGACCGCGGCGTCTGGCAAGGGTACCTCAACATCATCTTCGCCGCCGGCACCTCCACCGGCGCGCCCCTCGGCGGCCTCCTCGCAGACTCGGTCGGCTGGCGCTGGTCCTTCACGGGCCAGGTCCCGCTCTGCGTGCTCGCGTTCTTGGCGGTGTACTTTGTCCTCGACGTGCCCAAGACGAACCACGCGCACTGGCGCGAAAAGGTGAAGCGCATCGACTTCCTCGGCGCCGCTACGCTCGTCGCCGCCGTCGTGGCCCTGCTCGTGGGCCTGGATTCGGGCTCTAACAACGGGTGGTCGAGCCGGCTCACCGTCGCCGCGCTCGCCGCCACGCCCGCGCTGTTCTCCGTCTTTGTTTACATCGAGATGCGCGTCGCCTCGCACCCTTTCGCACCGGGCCACATCATCTTTGACCGCTCCCTCTTCGCGTGCTACCTCGCAAACTTCTTCGGCATCGCGGGCCACATCGCCTCCATCTTCTTCATCCCGCTCTTCTTCCAGGCCGTGCAGGGCGCCTCGGCCACCCTCGCGGGCGCGGCGCTCGTGCCGGCCATGATCACCTCCGTCACGGCGAGCGTCAGCTCGGGCTACTTTATGAAGCGCAAGGGCCGGTACTACACCCTCACGGTGCTCGCCTACGGCCTCATGGTCGTCGCGGTAGCCCCCACGGTCGCGGCGCTGTACTTCCGCTCCTCGGCGGGCGTGGTGGGCGGCATGGCGCTGCTCGCGCTCGGCGGCGGCGCGGGCATCACGACGACGCTGGTGGCGCTGCTCGCCAACGCCGCGTCCCGGGACTCCGCGGTGGTGGTGGCGTGCTCGTACCTGTTCCGGAGCCTGGGGTCGAGCATCGGGATTAGTGTCTGCTCGTCTGTGCTGCAGCAGGTGCTGCGGACGCAGCTGGCGGCGCGGCTGCGGGACGGGGACGAGGCGAGGCGCGTCGAGGAGAGGGTCAGGGAGAGTTTGGATTACATTCGGGAGCTGCCGCCTGCTGTTGCCGGGGAAGTGAGGGCGAGTTATCAGGTTGCGACGTTGGGGGCCATGGTGCCTATGGCGGCGTTGCTTGTGCTTGCTTTTTTGAGTACGTTTTTTATCAAGGAGAAGGCTTTGGGGAAGAAGTAGGGCGTGAGGGGGAGGAGAGAGGGTTCTCACTCTTGAAGTAGAAGCTTCACTACGAGGCGTAGATCTGCGTTCTGGTGTAGTCTACGCATTCGCGAGGGTAGATGTTGTTGTAGTATAAACTGGATGGAGAGGTGCGGAACTTGCTATATCCGTACCGGCTGGACATACCTCCTATATGCAAGGTAATCAAAGAGTCGGCTTGTAAGCGCGTCCGTATCTTGGATATAGATACCTTATGTAGAGTCCTCGAGTCCAAGACTTGATCTCCAAAACTAGCAAATGGCCACGTACTTCCGGGTAAAGAACAGGGCTTGTATGCAGATAGCTGCGGCTTGAAGCCGGCACGGAGAGACGGGGGAGAACGGGCATACGGAGAGACAAAATCCAGAGTACGCTTTCTTGCCTTGACTTCCTTGATTTGTGTGTGGGGTTTGCGGCTGTGCCATTTTCCTCTTCTTCTCAAGGTGACTTGTACGGCTTTTGTATCTGTATAATATGAACACCGGGCCGGGTAAGGTGGCTGGGTAGTCATTGTGTAGGAGGAATCTGCTGGGAGACTCATTTGTACCGCATATAAGCCCCATTCAGAGGTATCTCGGACTCAATTCTGGAAAGGCAAACCCCGCGGGCTTTCGGGTTGGTCCGTGAGCACCTGCTTCTGGACGGGCGAGAAGCAGACGGACGATGATGTCGCTGGTTTCCAGTCAGCTCGCTGGCTAGCTGTCTGGACTGACGAGCCAGCAGGAGGTTGGGTTTTAGAGTCCCAGATGTTCTTCTCTTCTCATACCGAGACCCCGTATATAGTGTATTCTCGCGTGAATAGCTTCTGGGTGAGAGAAAGAGGACAGAGAAGGGTGATGTTGTTATATAGATTTCAAAGTCTATTAACTTCCTAGAAAAAGGTCTTTCTGTCAAATAGGATGTCACGCGCTAATAGCCTAGACTTCCAAATCACTAACCTCTCAAGACTAGGCTCTTGGGGGTCCTTGAGGCAGATAAGTCTGCTAACTGTTCCAAAGGGTTCTCAAACGCGCCCAATTCGTATATTAGTAAGTCAGTTGATCAATAGCTTAGGTTTGAGTGGTACGTTTTCTGCCTGGGCTAAGTAGTATAAGAACCCAATTTCCAATGCCCTTAAGGTAGTCAGCACCGCAAGGATGTTCTCGGTGATCTTATCGAAGAGATTTATAAGAAATTTGGGCTTCTTGTGACCGAAGCAGATACGCAGTGCCTTGTTAGTAGGGAAAGGGCGAAAGAGAGCGGTACTTCCCTCACACTCGTCGTCTCTAGATAGTAGTGTTTGGATTTGTATCACAAACGGATATGTAAAGAGATTTGAAGAGATTCAGATGTTGCTGTAACCTAGACTCGAAAACGGGTGTGCAAGATATATTCTGCAGCTGTGCTCATGAATCAGGTACCCAAAGCAATCCTGGACGACTGAGGTAAAGAACACATTACCTCGTCCAATTGAAGAATAGAGCAGAGGAGAAAGGGCTAACACAAGACACTTGTCAGCGAGAATGCCGGGGTATCTAAACCGAAGCAAAGACTGTCCTGCGCCTCAGGTAGGTTAGGTTCGGTCAGTATACGATCAATTCAACCGTTATGGGTTCATCTGGTCCATGCTTTTTAGCAGGATATGCTGCGGAGGAATACCTGGCCAGAAGGCAGTCAGTTCTATAGCCTCATAACGCCTTCGACGATGCTAGAGGTACCAACCTCAAGTAGCTAGAATCCTGAGCTCACATCTTCCACTTTGCAGCTTATTCTATGACAAGCTGAGTGGCATAGCCGGTCACGCAATGTAGCCCACAGAGACAGGTCTGCTCGAGCCAGAACGGAGGGGGACTTAATGTCTTGTGGTGTATGTCACGCCCTCCTTTCAAGCATGGGTAAATGAATAGCGAGGTGCCTTCTTTGAAAGGGAGCCCTGGTACGCTGATACGTCTCCACCTGTGGGTGCTTTGTGAATGAGGAAGCTGACCGAACCCAGACACAGTCAACCATGAGGATGCCTGAGTACTAGGACAAAGTCAAGAAGTCCACCTACATACAAAGAGTAAGTAACCAAGCAGTCAACATATTCAACGTGGGATTGTCTGATGGAACTCGGAGGCTCTTCTTGTATGATAATAAGCAAATACACGACGAAGGGAGGCAGGTGATCCCTGCAGAGTGAGTTGAAATTCAGGTGCTATACCTAGGTATACGCTATCACACATGCAAACGCACGATTTCAAGACTTCATACCAGATCTGAGGCATAGGCACATTTCTAGTATGTAGTAGATGCGGTGGCGTATTTCTAGGGTCCAGGGAAAGTGTAAGATCTAGGTAGGCATAGGTCAACGAAATTGACTATGGGTGTCCGGATTTCTCGTCCTGCTCTTGTGAGAAGTACAAAGGGATCCACCAGGCCGTCTTCGCCACCCTCATCTTCAACTGCTACTTCTTCAACTCCGTGCCGCCCCAGTATAGAGGAACACGAACCAGAAGACGAGAATCAGAACAGGTACCATTATAAAACATCAGCGAGGTGCGCATTTTCTCGCCTGTTCCTCTCAAATCTGGTTTCTGAAGTTATGCCTTGATGAACAGCCGCGAGGGACTCCTTCGGGTCAGTGTGAGAGTCAAACCAACGCGGCCATCGAAAAGAAACTCTGGGCACACGCGCACATGGACTATTAAGGCGCCATGGCTTCTCTGCAAGTCTTTCCTACTCATATAATTGATGAAGCCGGGCAACTCGACCGTCTTATTCCTGCTCCGTTATGCCAGGCCTCACTGCTCATCGAGGATGGAGAAGGAAGTGGCTAGCAAGAGGTGCGTAAATCATCAGAACAGCAGTGGCAACGGACAACGGACGAAAATGAAAAGTGTAATTTGATACCACACCTTCTCCATGAGATTTAAAGTCCCCAAGATCCGCAATAGAAAGGGAAATATCTAGTGTGAGTCTCGAATGTTCATCAGAATGACCGCCTTGGCCGGCAAGAAACGGAGACGCGTGATACGGGGGTCGGTCGTATCGTCTCAAAGTCAAATCGAAAAAAAAAAAAAAAACCTTATTACGAGGACTGAGTTTCTCAATTCTCATGCTGTGATTCGAATCCGTAGCCTGTCATCGCGTAGGCTTGTATTCATGTCACTGTTCCTTGTTGTTGGAGCTTTCCTCACGCCATCACCCAATTATTAGACGGACGCCTTCTGGCTGGCAACAGAAACACGGCTGAGGGGATCTAGACGACTTGGGCTCCTTTCTACTCATAAGGCAGGAACTGGATTTCCTTCTCACATACCTTGCTCGGCCCGAGACTTTGGGTAGGCAAGCTCGGTGAGGGCCTGAGGGGGGAAGATCTCTACCCTTTCCTCATCTTCCCCCACGTCAGCAGTGCATGACTGGAGAAAAAGTTCATATCCTCAGCCCTACATGGATCGTCATCGGCGGGGTGAGGTAATGTGGCGTCCTACTACCAAGGCAGACGCAGGCAGAAACGCGACTCTAATGCGGGATGCAGGGAAGGAAGGCAAAAACGCAGCGGCGACCGCTTGCCACACTCCGCATACCTACCTACTCGAGGCAAGCATCGGGAATGGTACCTAAAGCTGCACAAGTTTGGCACATCACGATACACTTCGATTACTCGTTTGATGGGGATATATGTCATTTTTGCATTCGCTTGGCCCCTTCTCCTTCGTGGGAGAGGAGACCCGTCGAGCTATCTACCGACATTTGTGCGTCACGGCGATTGAAAAACTGTAGCCGCCGATCCGTCTGGCAAAGTTTCCCTCCCAAAGTCTCTCGTCTCGTTCCTTTGTATCGTGAAATCATAAAGTCTGACGTGAGTGGATATCAAAAGTTCGAGGCCCAGCGAACAGATAGCAAATCCTGAAAAAGGGATGGTGGGAAAGAGTTCCAGGGGCAACCCAAGACGAGGTAGACTGGGCATGGACACCAGGTCTCTGAAGCTCGCGATCAAGCCAGCGATTGTCGGTACAGTCCTTTTTTTTTTTTCCTTCGTAATTTCCATCCCTTTGAGAGATGTGCCGTTCGTTGAGTCTCTGTCTATCTGGAACGAGCAATGTTTGTTCTTTTTTATTTCGCAATCGTCCTCCACATCATCAGATCTATCCACCGTCTCTCCTCACCGTGGTTCTTTGGTGTTTACAAGAACGAACGGCGGGGGAAGCTGACGCCCTCAACGGCGGCGTTATCGACGAACCAGCTGACGCGGTCGCCGGCGCCCTCGTTGACAAGGGCGCAGGGGAGTCCATCGCCGTGCTCAAAGATCCTCTTCATGATCTCCTTCTTGCCGCCACCAGTGGCGACAAAGGCAATCTTGACGCCGTGGTTCACGACGGGAAGAGTGAGAGTGATGCGCTTGGGCGGGGGCTTGGGGGAGTCCTCGATGGGAGCAACCCAGGCAGTCGTCTCGCGCAGCAGTTCGTGACCGGGGAACAGACTGCAGGTGTGCCCGTCGGGACCGGAGCCGAGGAGCAGCAAGTCGAAGATGGGGAGACGCACGCTGTCGCGGCTGGCAAAGCTGGTGACGAGAGTCTTTTCGTACTGATCGGCCAGCTCCTGAGTGTCGTTCAGGTAGGTGGTGTCGATGGGGTGGACGGTCGGGGCACCGAGGTCCTCGGGGATCTTGTCGAGCAGCTGGCTCTTGAGGAGAGCATAGTTGGAGTCCTCGTGGTCGAGGGGAACAGCGCGCTCGTCGGCGAAGAAGATTTCCCACTTTCCAAAGTGAACCTGGTCTTCGGGGCCGGTGGAGGGTGTGAGCAGTGCCTGGGCCAAAGTCTTGGGCAGCGAGCCGCCAGAGACGGCGACCTTGAAGGCACCGTGACGATTCAGACCTGCATTTTGTGCTTGGATGACGTAGGATCGCAGGGCGGGCGCGAGTTCGTCAACCGACGGGTAGGCGAAGAGGTTTGGCTGTTTGTTGCTCATGGTGGGGTAAAGTAAGCTGGAGGTAGGTTGGTGGAAGGCGGAAGGCGGGGGGCGGAGAAGTGTGATGTCGGAAGCGAGGTTTACGTTGCGAAGGGGGGCGAAGAGGAGGATGTGAAGGAAAACGGTCTGCTGTCGGTGCAGAATGAGGGGCGGTCCGAAATTGGAGAAGGTGCGCACAAACTCTGGCTTCTTGCTGCGGGATGTACTGCGTTTTGCTGGGCAGGGCAGATATGCTTGCGTGTTCCGTGTGGTTGGTTGAAAGTTGGAGGTTCAGACGAAGATGGAAGCTTTGAGAGAGCCGTCTGTCAGTCTGCACACGGGAGAGACGTAATAAGGACCGAGGGGATTAATAGCGTCGGTCTAAGAATCAAGCGGCGGGATGGGTCATGGATGTTTCCAGATGTTAAAGGGCCAAAAAAACACAAAAGATAGGTAGACCCAAAACCGATAGCGGGGCAGATGATTGAATATTTTGTATCTGTGTCACCTTTTTTTTTATCGGGGCAGAAAGTGCAGCTCACACAGTGAGGCCAGGTACGTATTCGTACACCTTAGGTACCTTACGTCTGGCACAGGTTGGAAGTCGAAAGACGCAAAGAGCACCTCACCTCAGTCCAGCAGCTTGGGCAGGCTGCAGTTGAGCAATTTGAGTGTGGCTCGACCCAATTATTCTCTGCCGGCTGTGCTCTGGAGCTTGGGTCCTGCAATCCAAACGATTTGTTTGGCTTAAAGGTCAATGAGGAGCCAGTGCTTGGTGCTTGATGGTTGGTGGTAATAGTCTCATGTGAGATAGCGTAGGACGAGGGCGGGCGGATGTATGCGGGCTGCAGGTAAATTTGCACCGTTTCACCATGGATTCGTGATCGATAACGGCGGGCAAAAGGCATCAGAGCACTGTTGCGGCACTTCACTACACTCTCTTCCTTATTCTTTACCCTACCCAAGTGCGTGTACTGTGTAAAATGGCGGGGTTGCCATGTTTCCAGTGGACCGGCTGTGAGGTGGTAATCTGTATCTCGAATGCCTTTTCCTAGCTTCATTGTTGACCTGCCGTAGAGTCCGGACTTTTAACAAGGATATCTTGAAAGCCTTGAGCTGTTGACTCGCCAGATAACGTCGGTAATGGCAGTCGTTACGATCCATGATATGCTTCATTCTTGACAATCAAGAGATGAAGAGTCCGTTTTGAATGCCACAAAGCTGGGTGCAATCAGCAGAGTCAGACTGAGTGATGAATGATTTGTCCGCAAAGCTAACTGTAGTTGTCGTTGGTCCGTTGGTGCTTCCGTAAGGTACACATTGATGATTTGCCGAAGCAGTTGCGCTGCCCTCAAGGGTCAAGGAACCATTGCAGTTCCGGGAATGGACACTCATTGTCCGGCATGGCGCTGATGCAGCACTACTGTCGTAGATCGAGTCGGCGTGTCGGGTGGCTGGTAGCTGGAGGATTTAGGGTGATGAGATGACTGAAAGTAGAACAAGTTTGGCGGGATGATTTTGTGGCGAACCGAGTCGTGAACCCACTGCAGTAAGAGAACAGCTGGTAGATCCAGCCAAGGAAGGACGACCACGATGGCTCACGGCCCCTGACCGAGCTGCCCGGCGGTCGGGAAGCAGCGCCGCTGCCTCAGAGCTAGAGCATGGAAGCATCTGAGATTGATTGCTCGGGTGCATTTTTGTACGCATCCCGTGGGGTCCATGGATTTCGATAAGAAACGGCAAAGTTGAAGCGCAACGGAAGGATGAGCGGAAAGAGGGATTTAGCCTAAGCACCAAGCACAAAAGGTGGAAGGATCCTTCCTGCCTTCCTACCTTTCCGCATTGCTGGTCTCAGCGTTGCTGCCGAATCTAATGTGAACTGAGGGAAGGCACCTATCCATAATAGCAGCCTTCCGTTCTTAGCTAAGGTACCTAGGGCAGCACTTGCCCGGAGTGAAGCACCGACTGGTAGTAAGGAAGGAGACAATACTAGGTAGATGGCAGGAATAATACTACAAGCTCCTTTTTGTTGATATCATGTTCAATTTGCGAAATGCAGCTCTTCTGCTTTGGAAAAGTCGACAAAGTCTGTCCGGGGTGGGCAATTCAGACTGCGAGCATCATTGCGAATGTCATGCATGTCGTCAACCCATGAAGAGCGAGCGCCGAGCACAATCTCTTCTCGCACTCCAACAACCTGCCGGAGGAAACGCTCCTGGAGCTATTGGCCCGCCCACATGCCCCCTCCTCAACCACCCACCTACCTAAAGCACTGCTGAGGCACTGGACCAAATGCAGCGAGACCACATACCTATCCAAGAAGCATGCCAACTATCAGCTTGTTCATATGCTTCCGAAGCAAACACCATTAGCTCCAAGTCACGCTTTCATACATACGAGTGTGCGGTTATGGTCGACTCAATGCTCAAAATTAATGCTCGCCTGACAGGAGTTGCTGTTCCAAATTCATTCGCTGTATCCGTATATACCTCAGAATAGACATGACTGACACCATTTGCAGTGTCAACTCTACACTTGTCCATCCAGCCAATCGTCCTTCTGCTGGTTCGTCGCATGTAATGCAGCGTTGCGGACAGACATCAGGAAACCGCCTGCCTCCCGTTGGACGTGGGATCGACACCACGATACACCTCAATGGACGAGACCACCGATTCATCCACGTTGTCACTCCCACGTTGCTATAGTGCTGCCAGCGTTTGGCATGTGCCGGCGAGTCTGGGGAAGACGCCTAGACCACTGGCCCGAACCGGCGCGCCTCCTGCGAACTACCGGCCGAATCCAATATCAGAATCAACTCTATTATGCTATTTCCACGTCAAAGGACGGCAGTCCGATCTTTTGATGCCTGGTGTCCTACAGATCGCGGGCCACCGGCAAATGCCTGATTTGCAGTGCGCCCTCAATTTCCAAAATGCACGAAATCGCAGTCCAAGTTCCGCGTCTCTGCTGCGTTACACAAGAAGATACACGAGGAATAATACTGTCGAGCATCGGTGCCTTATTCGCTATCCAAGAACACATTTCTTATGCCAAATCGACGATATACTTCGGTATCCACTATTGGTCTTTGCGTGCCTGTCTCAATATCGCCAGTGCGGGCACAGGTACAAAGGCTGATGAGTGACATCTCCACAAGTCGCTACCTCGAAAGCTTCGTCACCTCTCTTCTGCGTTATCACTCACGTCAGTAATAGCATTTGATTCATCTTGAAGAAACTTGACAGATTTTACGAGTCTTTACATGAACGAGTCCGGAGTGCGTCATTGTTCGCGGTGCGTTTGATAGACCCCTGCATGACTCGACAAAATCAACCACCAGGCGGTTGATAAACTCGGTGGATTAAACGATCACAGCCGGTGCAAACTTGACGGTGCATCAGGATGTTGCGCCGGGCATCGATGCATCTCGACAATGACGTCACTGCGACGAACTGACTCGAAAGTCGTCCATCTCCAATTCAAGGGAACCATCACGAACCGCCGGGCGGACGGGGGTTCAGCAGAAACCTGGTCCAGCTACTGCGGGGACGCTGTCGTCATAATGTTGACTCGAAAACCAAAAAAGGAGGGGTGTTGGCGGGTCGCAGCGCTTGAAGTGAAGCGCCGCTTTCTGAAACGGAATCCCGCGATATCATCATCCACAAACGGTCCGGATGTCAATTCAGCAAAATTACACGCGTGATGGCCCGCGGGGGGAGCAACGATCAAGACCAGGCAATCGCCGATGTATGTGTAAGAGGCGTCCGATTTACAGCAGTGCGCTGCAGGAAGTGGACATGATTCACGTCGGCGGTGTGCCCAAGGCCTCGAATCCACACTTGACGGCGCATGCTGTTGGTTCGTTCGCCGCGACCAGGCCGGAGCACGCGGAGCTATTCCCGTGTTTGATATACTACCTACATACGACAATGCCACAGCTGATATCGAGCGACAAACGGTGGGGACCGGGTTGCAGCAGATGCGACGAAAAGTGTCAATCAACAGGACCCTTAATCACGAATGGGACGGGAAGGCAGTATCCTCGGGGCGACCCAGTGCTAGGTAGGGTGCCAGGGCCCTTGCAAGTAAGCCTCATTCTGCGTTTTGCCCTGCTGCTCCAGCTATCCCTTGCTGCCCCAGATGGCGATCAGGCACTGGCAAGGACTTGTCGAAGAAACAAAGGACAGGAATAACTCCGGCACTGCGGTAAAAAATGGAGGCCCCTTTCCAGAATTCGTACAGAAAGGCAGGCAACTGGACAGAAAAGGCATCTGATCGGCCTAACGGGCGTCAAATGCTCCATCGGCCGCGTCTATTTCTTGTCGGTTGTGTCAGTACGAACAAGGCACGAATACCGTACTGCACAGGATTGCGCCGGCATGTGAATTGTTACGAGTGAAAAAAGGTTCATGCGGAAGAAACGAGAACCCATAAAAGACAAAAAAGTCAAAACGGAAATGACGGGATGAAAGCAACGGGGAGACTAGACACTGACGTCACTAGACATGCGGTTCCTTGAAGAGGGTTCCCAGGTCTCAAGCCAATTCGCGACAAGTCGCAATCCCCAGTATCCACGGCCCACGGAAGGAGAGCTCGGGCAAGCGCGTGGTACGTGAGGCTGACAGGGTCGAGTCCCCTTGTTGCTGAGTTGCAAAGCCAAGTGGTACGAAACCATGTTTTCACTGCCACTGCCCCGTCTCTACCGTCCATCGAAGGGTCATCTTACCAGGAACCATGGACCACGGACTTCAAGGCAAATCAAGGGTCGCAACCTATCCGTACATCTAACTTTCCCCCCCTTGGAGGACGCAGCATGGGTGTGCGATGGTCTCTCAGCCAGTCACGCCGTTGCGCCTGGCGGTTCAACGTCAAGACGTTCCGGGTTGAATGCGCTTGCGGTCTTGGGAGCGGTTGTCCGCAAGTCACAAAGACCAGGTAGGGCAGTTTTACCCCTCCACGCGAAGGACCCTGAAGTTCCAGTTTTCAAGGGTCCAGTCCAGAACCCCCCACTTGTCACCACGCACCAACGGACCCCAATCCGCGGCCAATATCCAATTGATGAGTTGCAAATTTCTTCCCCTTCCCTTTCGAGGTCAAGGTCGACGACGACTTGCGTCTGTGTTTAATTTCCATCTTGTTGCCCCCTTTTGAAAAACGGCATACTTGGACGGACCGGCCATCAGCCAAAAATAGGGTCTCCGTCTTACTGGGACCAAGCTAAACAAACCGGGCTAGTCACCTCCGGCTGCAACTGTCAAGACAGGCAGCAAACGCCAATCGAGGAGAATCAGAGAAAAGAGCAGCACAGGATCAAGCACGACTAAAACGAGAGAGGCATCAGGGCGCGCCATCACCCGCCAGACCAACACCATCGCCTCACCTTCATTTCCGTCTGATTGACGAATAAGGACGCCTTCCTTCCCTCCAGTCCTGCCATCTCATTCTCGCCTCTTTTCCTTCATCGGCCCTTTCCCCCTCTTCAAATCTACTTACTCTCGTTTCCCCCATTTTTCAAATCCGTTTTCCCCGGGCTCTTTCTTTACGCTATAATTCAACGACTTCCAACGGATACAGCCCGGGCAGGGTTGCCACAAAGTGGTCTGACCAGTTGTGGGCTTGCCCCGTTTCCTTTGCCAAAAAAAACCCCCCTCTCAGTCGAAAAAATAAAACAATTAAAAAAAAAAAGACCTCGAGACACAACCGCGCGCAGCCGTGTGCCGGGCTTTTTCCTCCTAGGGTTCAGGTTCATCTCACCGTTCCGTTCCCGAGACGGTGTTCCATTAAGGTACCACAACACGTCCGCTCGACTTGGACCTTGAGCCCAGCAATACCAGGATCGTTATTCTCCTCACTGACGTCAGTGTCACTTGCATCCAATTTCGATCTCGATTCCTGGGCGGCATCTTCCTTCTTTTGCCTTGTTTCCCTTCTTTTTATCAGCAGCCCTGCCTGCACCTTGTTGGATGCTAGCCCGGAACAGTGCTGCCCAAGCGCTTTGCTACTAGCTTCCTTTTCTTCACCATGTCGACAGCAAGCACCACAACCACGGGCAATGAGTCGCCCTTGGAGGATGAAAACACTCGACGCTCAGAAGGTCTACTCGAGCGTCGGCGACATCTCACAGAGACCTTGATCGACAACCCATACGACTTGATCACTTACCTCGAACGTGCTGTTGTCCACTCTGAATTGGGCTACCCCGACTTGGCCGCCGGCGATGCCTACAAAGCTCTTCTTTTGACCGACGACGTCCTCCACGAGGGCTCTGAGTATCATGAGCAAGCTATCGAGGCCCTTGGATCCCGCCCTCTGGACCCACTGCCTATTGTCCTGGACCATGGGATTCTGTCCAAGCTCGGAAGCGACTATCTGACAGACGAGGCTAGAGACCAAGCGAGCCTCGCCGCTCATGTGGCCAAGCTATCCTCTGTTCGCGCCTTTCAGATTCTTGCCCTCAGTCTTTTGTTGTGCGGGTGCCTGAAAAGCGCGCACGAGTTTTGCGACCGAGGTCTGCTGATCGCTCCCGAGAACGACGAACTCCTTCAAACGATGGGATACATCAAGCATGTGGCGAGTCGGCGATGTCGCAGAGACGACTTCAATGTCAACGTTCTTCCGGAATGGGGGCTTGTTCGGAGGGAAGTCTACCCCTGGAACACATACGAGCCTGACCGTTTTGCTCCCGAGTCCCTCGAGTTTCTGAACGCCGAACTAGCAAAGTCTGCACCCAAGTGTGCGGTCCAAGTGTCTAAGCTCCCAGTCCTTTTGGAGGCAGCCAGCGATATGGATGGCTACGATATCATACCCACATGCAATCAGCTGGGCCTCTTTGCGACGCAAGACATTGCGCCAGGAGAGGCCGTCTTGGAAGAATATTCGCTTTTGACCGCCAATAATCGCCTCAAGGAACCAGTCTGCGATGCGTGTAGTGCGGAACTGCCACCGTTGGGTAGCGAGCCAGCCGCTGTCAGCTGCGACGAATGTTACGACACAGTTTTCTGTAGCCAACACTGTCATGATATGGCGCAAGAACTCTACCACCCTGCTGTATGCGAGAAGGATGTCGACGCCATCGCCAAGGACCCTGAAGCTTCGGAAGCCGATGAGACACTACACCTGCTGCTTCTTGCACGTGTCTTGGCCATGTCCAATCACCAAGAGATACACCCCTTGGATGTGACACAGATCAAGTACATCTGGGGTGACTTTGTGCCTTCAGCATCGAACGATATCGAGATCTCACCGAGTGCGAATCCGCCGCCGGAATGGACGCTGCCATTCTCGTTCAAGTACAATATCGAGACACCCTTCCACATCCTCGAAAAGATGGACGTCGACATTTATAGCACTATTCAAGAACACGATTTGTGGGTTCTTAATACCCTCTACAGCAAATTCCGCGGAACGGCATCAGCCCGTAAGAACCCACGCGATGGTCGACCCGATGTCGCTGCAGTACACCCCCTTTGGTGCTTAGCCAACCACGACTGCAATCCGAACGTCACATGGGATTGGGGAGGACAGATGACACTTTGGGCGCGGAAGACAAAGGTCGTGGGCGGCGCTCCAGGAGGGCTCAAGGCTGGTGAAGAGGTCTTGAACCACTACTGCGACGTAACAATGCCCGTCGATCAACGAAGGGCTTGGGCAAAGGGAAGTCTCGGCGGATGGTGCATGTGCCAAAGATGCCGAGACGAAGCTGCTGCTGCTGCCGAGCCGCAAGCATACTGAACCTTGCTCATCATCGACCGCAAGATTGGAAGACCTACCAGAGACTTGACAGTCTACACTGCCTACTTTCGGCCGGCGATTTTTGAACGTCGGAAAACTTGCGATTAGCGAGCGATTTACGGGGAATTAGAGGAAACATACCATTAGAGATTATATCATTGGAGGGGTCGAAATTCGGGGTTGAGGCAACAGGAAGATCCATTTTTTTACGTCCGTTAGGTTAGGGATACCTACCTTACCTTAGGATATGCTTGTACACGAGTCCCCTGGTCATGGACTTGGGGGAGAGAGGGAGACATACACGACAAAATAATCGCGAAACGTCCTTTTTTATGCATACTACTGTGGACAATTTCTAGTTCACACACCTCCTACGGTTTATCGCCTCCGTCTTTCTTCTATCTGCGATACCACCAGGCCTACCCCTCGAGGCTATTCGCATGCTAAAAGCATTCGTCCACAGAGTTCTAGAGAAGCTCGAAAGTATATACTGGCATCTTTGAACACTGATGGATCCAGGCCTTGAGCTCTTATGAGTTTTCCTGTATACCTCTTGGTATAAGTCAACTCGGCCCTGATGGTCTCGGGTTGCTACAACGTGTAAGACAGGCTACAGGCCACAGACGAAGATGTCTATTTAATCTGCGTCTCAATGGTTTGATTGATGTGCGAAGAGCGCACAGTGATACACACGGCGCTACATGTATCATTTGGGTAATACACGAATGGCGACTTCTTTGGAGAGGCTGAGGCTGAAGTTGCCGGGAGCGATGTCCCCAAAATGTCGCAGTATCGCAGTCAAGCCAAGTACCCTGAGTCGACTTCCTCTAGGTTAGCCACGCAACTACTCGACGCCAATATTCTATTCTCCTTAAAGCGTATCAGGAGCAGGCGGTAAGAAAAATGTTGAATAGACTTTGAAAAATCGATGTCGTTGGCTTTGATGCTGGGAACCGGCGCTGCAGTTGGGCAGGGCGAGGCGAACGTGCAGGGCAGACAACAGAACGATGCCGCATGCAAGATGACGCCAGAATCAAATACCGATGACAAGGCAAATGTTTGTCTAGTCTCAGACATGTAATATTGGATGTCACAGCACGACGCAACCCATGGTGATGATGCAGTATAAAGAATCATTTCGAAAATTGCAGTCTTCCATTGATGACGTCATTGAAGATTTATCAAGCTGGAAACAAAGGCCCCCCAGGTCTGTTCCTTTAAAGTTGAGGAACTTATACTGACTAATAACAGGGTGTCCCTCGGAATGGGTTCCGTGTGCCGGAAGGATCGGAACGACACAATTGAGGTAGACCACCCCATGGACCATCTAGGTGGCACACACACCCAACACCTCATCAAGCCTTATGGAGGAAACCTACTCTCCCAAGCCCATTGCTTTTCTCCCCTTCTGAACAGATCCGCCGTTCCAATTGAGGTACTACTCATTGCGAGTCGCACCGTTTCATTTGAACGGGCACCGCGTGTCGAGGCAGACGCCGATGCTGGGCGTGTAGCCCGCGCAGTTGAGGTCCGCGGCGCAGCCGACTGAGGGCCCGCCGTAGCAGCAGCAGCACTCTGCCTTTGTGGGGGCGCGCTTGTCGAGGGGGGTGCTCTCGGTTCCGCCTGGGGTGGCGGCTGCTGCTGTGACGGCGGCGGCGAGGGCGAGGGCGAAGAGAGATTTGAGTTGCATTTTAATTCTTTGGGCGGGAAAAGTGTTTGGAGAAGTGGGATTTAGGCTTCTGTGTGGATGGGGTATGGTGCCTTTGTCTTTGGGATTGACGTGCTTCGCTGAAAGAATTGGTGATGCTTTATGTAGGTTTGGCATTCAAAGGTATGTGGCATTTCTGCTGGGAGGTTCGAGGCGTTGAAGAGAGAGGATGTTATCTACATTCCTATTATGGAGTTATTCACCGATAGGATTCGTTAAATCTCGAGTGATCACTGTCTTAATTGACAGTATCGGGGGGCACCAGGAGCTGACAAGAAGCGGGGGAGGGGGTTGAGTAAGGCAACGAGTGAAATCGTCGATTCTCAGAAACCCCTCTGTCTTACACGAAAGACTTACAGCGTTTTCAAACTCTCGTGTCTCGAGTAAGCGAGCTGAAGGAGCCGGGCGTCGAAGGATTTGCGGCACAGCAATCTTATGATCGCGGAGCTTTATAGATATCTCTAGAAAGGCCTTATCTGAGCTGACGATCTGGAAGGTGCCAAGAAGGAAGGAATTGAGTCTAATGCAGGTTGAGTTCAGGGTTGAATACTCGATGGAGAAGGTGATTGTATTGAATTCTCGTCTCTTGATTCTTTGTGGCGATTTTGTTTACGTGAAGGATGTGCTTGATTTAAGTGGATCTGCATCCTCTTGTCGTTCAGGTCAATCGAATGCAAGATATGATGGAAAGGACCGTGAATCGCAAGAATACATGGTATGGCGGGAGCACAGTGACTAGGCATTCGGTTTGGGGACTTTTCTTGACACTTGCTTTATCTAAAGCTACAGAAGGACGAACCGCTGCTACTTCTGCTACTTTGAAGATATTCCTCTAAAATCCACAAGGCAGAAGTCGGCTGGGCTCGAGTGGCCCGCTAAGTTGGAAATTAGCATCGCGATGTAGACGTGAAGTTGAGAAAACTGGTGTCATGTGACCCGAGTATACAAATCGGAGGAATCAGAGTGGATTTATAGTCCCGATTGAGCAGCGAAACTTATAGGCTTGAAGTCTGGGATTTGGGACGGCGGCGACGGAGGAAATGCCCGCCTCCGCGGGACCGCTGGAGAGTGACTTCGCTCTAGTGTCTCAGTCTGAGATTGGAGACGGGGCCTCGTCCGCCTCCGCGGCTCAGCAAACTGATTGGCTCAATGAACACGGAGCCCGCTCCGGACCTCTCTGGAGTCCGGGAGAGGGGACTTTGATCCCAAGAAAGAAGCCGAGTTGACTCAGTTGACTCAGTTGAGAGCCGAGGCGGCGGCAGGCAGCGGAGGGGCAGCCCGCCTCCGCGGGATAGAGATAGCCTAAGCCAAGGGTCTCGGACTAACTCGAATCTTGGATACGGGGATAGTGAGAAACAGTGGTCTTTGGGTCACTGTACGAGGTCCTGGAGTCGCTGATTGGAACAAGAACGAACAACGTGCTAAGAACGTTTGGTTCAACGTAGACAAACCCCTAACGGAGCTTTATCCGGCTCCGAAATGGCGGCGATTTTGTCGACTTTTTTTTGGCGGCCTGTGTAACGTATCACGCTGGCAGGCAACGCAGGTCCGTCCCACCCTCATGCCGGTCCTTTTCCTCCGCGATGCGCGCGATGCGTGTTCGGGGTTAGTTACCACGAAGGCTGGCTGGCGGGGCATGGTCCGTCGCCGCCGAAGCAGCTTTGACGTACAATCTGATGATCATTCAGTTGCTTGGGAACAGAAATGGTAACGACGGAGCGGTGCCCGGCTCCGCGAAGAAATCATATCGACTTTGACGTCTGTTTCTATATAAGGGCGTCTATTGCGCTCGAGATGGCGCGAAATTCGCCTAGCCCAGAGGGCTTGGGTAAGCAGAAGACGGACGGGCTCTGCTGTTACCCCCTTCCTTCACTTCCAGCTGATCCTCCTGTCTGGCTTCCTTCTTCCATACGCAGCCAAGCTTGTTGCTGTAAATTCGAGGCAACTGCTTTTCTGCCAAAGTCGAGAATCCCGATCCTTGGGTTTTGGATGCAGATATCAGCTCCATGAAGACTACAAGCCGGCTTGCTTTGGTATCTTTGTTTTCTTTTCGGATCAGCAACGGTGGGCAGCGACCCTGTTTCGAGCGATGCCTTAGATGTTGTCCCACTATCGGTCCAGTGATCGGGACCCAGGAAACAAGCGTTGAGTGTGAACAGCGCACAACTAAAATAAAATTCCTTGCCTAGAGCTCGTCGTGGATCTCAAGCTTCTCTTCTCCAGTCTCCTTGGTTGCCTCCTTGGTCTCCTCGGTCTCTACCACCTTGGAACCGTCTCCCCCCTTCACTGGGACCTCCTCCATGACCTGCTCCACAATCTCCTCATCCGCAGTCGGCTCACCCACCTGCCAGGCATCGGCGTTACCTTCAGAGATATCGGCGATGTGCTGCGCGACCGCGTCTACCGTGATCTTGCCACCCTTGAACGGGAACGCCAAGCCCACAGCCGGATTATAGACCGCCACGCCCTCGGTAGCATCCGCCGGCAGGCCAAAGAGCGACGGCATATCGGGGTACTCGCCGAGGTCGACCGTCACGAAGGTGATGTACTCGTGGTACTGCTTCGCCATGGGTTTCACGGCCGATGTCCAAGAGTCCAGGTTCTCTTCGACCGTCGAGAAGAAGTAGGTCAACGACTTGCCGGACTGTGAACCATTCCACACGTCAGTAGTTTGCCTCTCGAACCTGGCATGAGAAAACGTCTGCAAGACTGCAAAGGGGGTGCTAAAACTGACGCTCAAATACTCGGCCTCGTTCCTCCTCGTCAACCGCGGCACGAGCTGCGACGCGCACTTTTTCAGCATCTTCTCCATCGAGTCGACCTCGTCCAGCTCGGACGTCATGTGGAACGCCCCGTCGGCGTTGTTATAGCACGCGATCCGCCCGGGCGCCTCGTCAATCGTCGTCAGCCCAAAGGCGTAGCGGTCGCGGTAGCGCCCGGCCATCTCGGCAAAGCGCTCGCGCAGACTGGTCTCGGACTCGGCCATGTGCGCTATCAGCACCACGTCGTCGTCCTTGTTGAAGGATTTCGCGGCCTTGCTGTCGAGAGGGACGATGGCGGGGCGGAGCATGCGGCGGACGAAGGCGGTGATTCTGCGGAAAAGAGAGACGCGGGCGGCTTAGCTGGAGGTTCTTTGTGAGGTGATGAAGGAGGGGGCCGATGGTAGACTCACTCAGAGGCCTTCCTGGGGCCGCGGTAGTGGTGCTTCGTGCCGTCTTGGCGGTAGAGGCGGATGGCGGGGTAGGAAGCGACGTCGTGTTCGGAGCAGAGCGAGGCCGAAGTCGAGCAATCTACTGAGAGGGCGGTCGGGACGGCATCTTCGACGGCGGACCAGTGCTTTTCGAGGGCTGTGCTGGCGTCGCTGTTGTCCCTGTTAACGAATGTTGCTGTATAGGTGCGGAGCGTCGTACGTTGAGGGCTTTGGTAAGGTCAGCGCTTTGCTAGTATGTTACGGCAGCATGGAGGTTGGGGGAGTATTCGCAGGGGAATCAGCTCAGGGGCCAGTGACTCAGCTTACCTCGATAACTGTACATGGCGTCAGCATGCTGTCAGAGAGGTCTCGTGAGACTGGTACAACTTACACGCTACTAGGCTATGCTCGTTCGCCTTGAGGGCATCACGGACTTCGGTTTCGGTCTTGTGCTGCCAACCCATGCCCGCGCCAGTGAGCGCGAGCAATGGCAAGAGAGTCTTCAGAGACATGATGAGGGGGGTGATGAGACCAGGATGTGCCCTGCGCTATGTGATTGGCACCCGTCAAGTGAGTGGTGGTGGGGGTGGAAAAAGAAGCTTAAAAAGAAGCAAGATCCGAAGAGAAGGATGAAAGATTGGCGCGAAAAAGAGGACAGCAAGCTCCGGATCGGGGGAGGTAGCTCCCCCTTGTAAGGTATTGAATTGGGTTTTTGACTCGCCGTGGCCCTCGTGGCGGGGTGCCCCCTGACGGGGGACGGGTGGCCGTCTGATTGGTGCAAGATCGGAGGGTGCGGCCGAGACTCCTGAAACGGCGGGCGGGCAGGGATATTGATGAGCGGCCGTTTGATCGCCGGAGCGAGTGGGGTCGGTGGGGCCGTGGGAGCGGTGACATTCGAGTTGAAGATTCGCGAGGATCGTAACATCACATTTTGAAGAAGGAGAGATTGATATTGAGCGAATCAGCGGCTACTCAATCTGGATGTTCATTTCTGGAAAGTCAGAAGAAAAATGTCGAGTCGCTTGAATCGGACATGACTGCCCTGCCAGCAGTGCCCGCGTACCCATCAATGCCAAGCTCCTTTTTCTAGCAGACCGAAGTGCGCCGACCTGGACAATCGCAGCTCTTCAAGATATTAAAGGCACCACAGCGTCAGATCTTCATTTTGAAACGAATCTGCTCTCTTCTCGTAGATACGATGAAGCTACCTAAAGTGCTCTGATAGATCAGGTGTTTCTTGATAATATCGATATCCAGAGGCTAGGATGCAAATTCACACAGCTTACGGAATAGTGCCGAGCCTGTACGCTATTTGGCGCCATTGAAGGGTAAGATTTCCAGCCTTGTGCTTGATTGAATTGAAAGGAGACTTTCTGTCACACCCTTTTGACAAAACATGCTTTGGCCCGCAGGGCAGAAGAGAATAAAGATCCAAGGGAGCAAGGGAGTGAGCATCTTGGTACCATAGTAGCACAACGACCATGTGGTCCCAATGCGGTCAATCAACGGTCAAAGCAAAAACAAAATCCAGATTTTGGCTCACGTTATCAATTCAGTCTGCCGTCTCTATATAAGAGGCCTCTGCCCCTTCTGCATATGGACAGATCTCAGCAGTCGATTGGAATTCCAACACTACAGCTTCCGTTTCGGTATCGACAGGCCATGACTATCTCGCCATCCAAAACTATTCAAGATGCTCCTTCTACTCAGAATTGCAATCTGTGCCCTGGCAACTGCTCCTTTGATAGCTGCGGCTCCGACTGATGTTCGATCACCTATTCCGCCACTCTCATCCCCCCCTTTCACCTTCGAGCAATGGGCTGATGATATTATCAACAACCCCACGGCCCAGCACCTATCTGCTAAAGAGGCAGCCAAAGCTTCAATTAGATCTCGGAACATCATCGGTGAGATCTTCAATTGCCCATGACTTCGTCCAATTTTGTGGTATGGGACCAAGAAAAGTGATGATCCATCTGCTAACATCCGACTCTCCGCAACAGGCTGGCAATCTACTTCCCCTCACAACACTTCTTGGTCTGAAGAGTCCAATGGAAGTCAATCGAATAAGCGCGATAACGTCTTCCTCAAGTCCAAGACTTCTGAAAGTGCCAAGATCATTGATATCAACACCGTTCGATGCAACAGCTTCCCCACAAATATGGCGCCGGTACGTCTTTGTGTCTCTCAACTCTATCCGAGTATGTCACAGGAGGATTCATCTAGCTGACAGTCTCCATTCTATCTTATTGTACTGCAGATTGAGAACGCTGCCTGGTGCATTCAGTGGCTTGCAAACCAAGATGACAACAAGTGCATTGTTAAGGAAAAGGAGTTAACAGGGTTCTGCCGCTCAAATGGTGAAACTTTCATTCTCGGATGGAGGAAGAACAAGGAATCTCTGCACCAGTCAACTTGGTAAACGCTCGCTCCCGCCCTCAACTTAGGCCTCCTCGCTCCTCAAAGCTGCTTTGACTAACAAGATACGCCCGATTCATAGTCAGGAAATCGCAAGAACCGCGGGAAGGATCATGGATTACTGCACAAGCAGCGGATTCGTACAAGGAGATACAACTGCATGGAATGATACGGCTACGGGAGTTATGATTCGGACGTTTCAGTCGGGTGCTATTGACAAGAACATCAAGCTTGAGATGTGATTGGGTTTCGAAACAGCTGCCTACGAGCCTAAAGCGTTTCCTTATGATCTTTTCTTCTGCCCAGAGATGGAAATTGACCTACTTTTGTTATCCACCTTTATAGTTTCGTTCGAGTGAAACCTAATCAGATTGCAAAGACTTAGTAGTAACCGTAGGCACTCAACCCAACCATTTACAAAGTACATCTTGACAAACTTTTACACCTCAATCGCTGAGTCGCTCCTTGAAATACAGGTTATACGATCTATTCCTCAACACTAAATGCATTCATGAATGAAAACTTTTATCTAGTATGGGAAACTGAGATTTTGCCCGCCTCATTTGCAAATCGCTAAGAATCTAGACTCAAAACTGGCAACTGTCTGGCTATAGAGTCTATGAGATCGATAACTATTCATGAAGTGTTTCACCATAGGAAGTGGAAAGTCTCACAATTTGAATCTTTAGGCACTGAAGTTCCAGCTTCACTTTGATTGTATTTGCCCTCGCCTTTGTGGCGCAGGAGTCTAGAGGAGTATGCCAATAGGCAGACCCTCAATTGTAGTATGCAACAAGACGAACTGATAAGCATAGACGCACGGGCCCATCACCCCTTTAGCTACTTCCCCGTTCGCCAGGGTCCTCAACGTCAACCCGAACATCAAACGCAGCATTGCGCCCATGATGAGTTCACGGCCCTTCACCTGCACAGAGTGCACGCAGACATTTACGAGAAATGTAGGTATCCTTAAACCTCCAATCAATGACGGTGACTAAGACACGTCAAAGGAAAACTTGGAACGACATAAACGCTCAAGTATGTGTCAGCCCCGAAATTTCAAAGTTGCGAAGCTCACACTCGCCAGGACATGGTAGCGACAGCCGTCGGCCCTTCAGATGCGAAAATTGCAAAGCTAGGTTTACTAGAAAGGATGTGTGCAAGAGACACGCCGAAAGATGTAGAGGCACATTCAGCCGTGTGTTGACGATCACCGGTATTCAGAACGGAGCGGAGCAACCGGCACCAGCCATTGAAGAAACTGTTCTTTCACCAGACGACCAGGATGATTCGCCCTTTTCAACTTCTCAGGAAGGCATTATCGCTGGAGTCGGAGATGGCACCATCTACCCAGATAGCCCGCCAGAAGCTGCAGAAGTGCCCGACCCGGAGGAGCTTCTAGTGACGGAGTAGGTTGTCCAAAGATACGGTCTCATTTCACAACTGACTAGTATCTCAGGATTATGACGAGCGGAACAGAAACTTACGTATCAACGTATTTCGAGAATTTCCATCCGTCATTCCCACTTGTGCATCGACAAAGCCTAGGAAATGAGTTACCCAAGTTATCGAAGCAGATTATCGTTTCAATTGGCATGCTATATGCTTCTAGGAATGTGTCTGAGGAGGAAATGGCATCTTTGATGCGGAAGAGCCAAACACTATGGAAACATGGCCATGATGAACTTTGGCGAATTGTAAGTCTGAAATACGATATCAAGTCAAGCATTGACCGTATCGATACTTTGCTCACCTATGCTAGGTTGAGGCGGATTGGAGAGAAATCCGCAGGACATGGGTTATGCAAGCGTGGCTCCTGCATATAATCTATGGGGCCTTCACTGGCAATGCATCTGACTTCGACAAATCAAAGAAGATGTTGCGATGGATTGTAGACGTAAGATGTCCATATTAACAGGTGCTGGTTGTTTTCCCATTAATCTGACCTGAGTAGGCCGCCCGAGACCTCGGTCTCCTCCGTCAAAACGTTTTCCAGTCAACATCCAGGTTCAGAGACTCGGAAGAACAGACATTACACGATCACTGGATGTCATATGTTGAGTCGGAGTCCATGAAGCTATCCATGTACACTCTACTATTTCTCGACTTTCATATTTTCTCCCCTTGCAACATTCGCCCGCTTACCACTCCCACCGAGCTGGATTGGGAGCTGCCCCTTGCTTCATCATTATGGGAAGCGGACACATCGTTAGCATGGGCCCAACGGCTCGGAGACGAACCCCGAACCGTCGGACTGACCCGGTCTCACGACACTCCTGGCATGACTTGCCCAACAACAAAATCACTAAACCTTGCCATGCAATCATTGATGACGGATACACCGAGCCCGCAACTTTTAGCGGCGCTACGTGCTTCGCCGATGGCAACGCTCTTCGTTCTCACCAGTCTCGACTCACTCGTCAGGGATTTTACCCGTTGCTACTACCAACTCCCACCGGCTTTGGCCGACCCAAACGCGTACCACATTCTCACTCAATCTCAAAACAGACAGGTCAGTGCAGCTTTACGATACGTCTCTGAGATCATCACAACGCAAATCGCTGCGGCAGATAGCTCGAACTGGCACATCTTGAACTTTGCTGAGCGTATCGCGCTATCTGTTAAGCTTGCGCTCTGCAAACCCGATGATCTTCTGATTGGTGGTATCGTGGAGAATAGCGTCGTTGCTGGCCTCACCACCGCGACACATCTCACCATGGGACTTCAAGTTGGAGCTCGCAGATCGTTGCAAAACCTCCTCAGGTACAACTCCGGCGATGACGGGATGTTGGTCTTCCTTGATGACTTGATGGACGTGCTGTCAAGTGTGACAAGTATCGAGAGGCAAGATCCGTTGCGAGAAGCGCCGTGGGCGACGGTGGCTACATACAAGATCCTCCTGGCAATATGGAGATTACTGCGATGGGCAACAGCAGAGATGCGACGGAAGTCAGGTACCCAGCCGACCGTCCGCACTCGATTTGAGGCTTCTACCATTGTCTTCAATTCCATCCTTGAAGTCTTGCAGCGACAAGAGGACATCGATGGCCAAACTCGGCGCCTCTCGGTTCGGGAGTCTACCGCATTAGGCATGGCGTCGGAGGCGAGCGAGGTACGCTTCATGGAAACCGTATTACAATTCTGGAAGGGCAGACCTGTTTGGGCAATGGGGTCCTTCATGACAACGGTGCTCGAGGAGGTCATCTCGGCTGGTGGTATGGCTTATGAGTAAGGGTGTGTGGACTAGCGCGCGGCGAGTAGGCCGCTGCCCCAGACTAGGGTTGCTGCGGAGCTCCGCCGCAGCCACCACTTATCTCGAACTGTATATCTACACTTTCAAGAGGCACTTGAATTGTCACCTGGAGTAGTCTGTGACATCCCGAATTTCCCGAATCGTTTCAATCTTCCAAAGGGGCTTACCGCCGGCTATTTTCTACACCAAGTCGACGTCGATTGTGTCCTCGTCAAACAGACGCCAAGAAGATCATGGCTGCACAGGAGAATTTTGGATGGGTATTACTTCTCCTACTATAGTCATCATTCCCTTGTTCACTCACACATGACTCTAGTTTGGTCTGGGGTCAATGGGAATTGGCATGGCACTCAATCTGCAGAAACACCTCGCATCTAGGGGTCTACCGCCTCTTCGGTACAGCAACCGGACGCTTTCGCGAGGTGAATCTCTGCGGGAAGCTGGGGGACTTCCTGAACGAGACTTCGAGACTTTGGTCCTAAAGTCATCCGTCATATTTACAATGGTAGTTTCTGATCATGCTTGTAATTTTGTAGCATTTTCCGCATTTGCTTATTGACCATCACAGATCTCAAACGATGAGGTCCTGGACAGTCTCGTATCGAAGGCTCTAGACACTTGGAGCAGCGCCATACTCGAAGGCAAGATATGGGTTGATACATCAACAGTCCATCCAGATACTGCAGCGAGGTGCTCCGAACGTCTTGCTAAAGTAGGCGCTACATTCGTTGCGTCCCCTGTCTTTGGAGCTAGCCCTATGGCGGCCGCTGGTCAGCTCATCTTTGCTATGGCCGGCCCCTCCACTGCTATCGAAAAGCTGAGGCCATTTGTGGTTGATGTCATGGGAAAAAGCATAATAGATATGGGCGAAGATGTCCGCAAATCAAGCTTACTCAAGATATCAGGGTGAGCATTGCATCTTATTATTGGCCACTGTTGGACTAAATCGGTCCGAGATTGGAATTTGCCCACAATACTAATCACATCTTTCTGGAACAGAAACATCTTTGTCATTGGCTTCCAGGAGTTGACCGCCGAAGCGCAAGTCTTTGCCGAGAAAACCGGGCTCGGTACCCGCCAGATGGAACAGTTCATCAGGGACATGTACGGCCCCGTTATCGAGAGCTACTCAAAGCGCATGACAACGGGCGCATACGCGCCACCTTTGGGGACACCCCCTGGCTTCGCAGTGTCCCTGGCGGCCAAGGATGCCGGACACGCGGTGAGGATCGCCGAGGAGCATGGTACGAGAATACCGACTATCGAAACAGCGTTGTCCCGTATGGAGGCCGCTAGGAAGTATGCAGGAGAATCATTGGATAGCTCATCAATCTATGGTGCAGCTCGGCTCGAAGCCTCTTTGCCTTTTTGGAACGAGAATAGCAGACAGTCTAATTAGAATGAATTTGTCTTTGAATTCATTCACTTGGATCGTTTTTCAGACAGAAAATTTGTCAAAATAGTACAAGAAGACAAGAAATCATTTCTACTGTCATGATTGACGCTTCATTCCCATCTCATTTCCCTTATACCTTTACAAACTTCAATATTGAACAAGCAGACATCACGGATAGCCCAGACCTTTCCCAGTAACACCAGACAGTGTACTGTTATAGGGATTTGCGTCACTCCAAAATACATGACTAGCTGTACATATCCCACAAAGCCAGCTAACCATGACCTACTGACCCGGATCCGGGGAGAGGGAACGGGGCTCCGCTGATCCATCCAGCTGGATACTAGCTCCATAGACAACTGTCATGTTATCTAGCGCCATGTGTTAGAGTGTGTGTCAAGGAGCGAGGAAAGGACTCGGAGATAACGGCAACGGCACTCAGCCGGGATATGGATGTCTCATCCCGTCGTACCCCAAGATTGCGGAGCTCGCTGCGTCGACCGGGCCAACCTCAAAATGCGGGGGCGGAGCTCCGTTGGCGTGCATGAGACGACGGTGGATCCAAGATAGCAGCATGACCGAGCTTGATGTGAAAACCCCCTATCTCAGCGATAACCAGCCCAAGCCACGCTCAAGTCGAGTGTAGCTGGGCTTGCTACTACTACGAAGGCCACCCCATGTCAATCGCCCCAAGATCAGCCTCAATCAAGATGACAGAGAGAGGACTGACTGCTGCTATTGCTCAGCACGGGACACCTATAAACCCCGAGCTTTCCCAACCAGCCCCTTAAGACCTCCTGGCATCTGCTTTTAGCCACTCTCAACCTGATCAGGCCAACCTCGACAAAAGTTTTGGCTCTTCGACTTTGAGGTAGACCTCTATTTGGGCCTTCCCTCTCTTTCACTCTCACATATCAAGAGGAAGACCTGTGTCGTGAGGGTCTTCGACCAGCACATCTCCAAACACCCACTACAGAGACCGTTCATCAGTACCTCACTCGGTGAAAGTTCCCAACAATGTCTTCTGAAACCAACAAGAACACAGCACAGCCAGACGGTGGCGATGTCATCCGAACCCATACCGACTTCGAGGACGGCAGCATGGAGAAGCTCAAGCATGGCGAAGTTGATCCGGCCCTGGCATTTGCCAATGGAGAGGAAGTCACCTTCACCCCTGAAGAGGAACGAAAAGTCCTGTGGAAGATTGACAGAGCCATCTTGCCCCTTCTGATGTGGATTTACGCTCTTCAATTCGCTGACAAGACGTCCCTAAACTACGCCTCGTTGATGGGTATTCGTGAGGATACGGGCCTCAACCCCAAAAGTCAGGAGTACAGCTGGGCTTCTTCCATCTTCTACGCTGGCTACCTCCTCTGGGAGTGAGTCTCATTGCTATCTCAGAATTGAAGACTATTTTGCTGATTACTTCAAGGTTCCCTACGACATATCTCCTTCGACGCCTGCCTCTCGGAAAGTACACATCGGCCAACATCATCCTTTGGGGTGTTGTCCTAGTCTGCCACGTCTTCGCTTTCAACTACGCCGGTCTCCTCTCGGTCCGCTTCTTCCTCGGCGCTCTCGAAGCCACCGTGACACCAGCTTTCGTCATCTTGACCTCGGCGTGGTACAAGCAGAACGAGCAGGCAAAGCGCATGGGTTACTGGCTCAGCTGCAATGGTGTTGCCCTGTTGACCCTTGGCCCCATTGCCTACGGCCTTTCTGGTGCCCACAACACAGTCCTGGCAACTTGGAAGGTTCTGTACCTGGTTCTTGGCTTGCCTACCGTCATCACTGGCATCTACTGTTGGTGGTTCATGCCCGACAACCAAACCAATGCCAAGTTCCTCAACCACCGTGAGAAGACAATTGCTATCGAGCGCATCCGTGGCAACTTCCAGGGTATCGGAAGTCGCAAGTGGAAGTGGGATCAGTTTTACGAGGCTTTCAAGGACCCCCGAACCTACCTCTACGTTCTCTTCTCGCTGCTCATGAACATCCCCAACGGAGGTATCACTGCCTTTGGCTCCATCATCATCAACTCTTTTGGCTTCAACTCTCGCCTTTCCCTCCTTCTCAACATGCCTACAGGCGTTGTTGATATTACCTGCAAGCTTCTCTTCACGTACCTCTCGGACAAATTCATGGATCGATCCCTGTTCGCCTTCATCGCCATCCTCATCCCGATGATTGGCGGCATCATGATGATCGTCATCCCCCTCTCAGCTCAAGGTGCCTTGCTCGTCGGCTACTACCTCATCGGAGCCGCGGGCTCATCGTGGTGCCTCGTCATGGTCATGATCTCAAACAACACTCTCGGATACACGAAGAAGGCCACTGTCAACGGACTCCAGATCCTCGCTTATGGAGCTGGTAACTGGATCGGCCCGCAGACGTTCCGTTCCAACGAGGCGCCCAACTATCACAACGGCAAGCTCATGGTCGCCATCATGTATGGCCTTGCCGCCTGCACCATCGTTGCTATTCGGCTTGTCAACATTTGGGAAAACAGGCGGCGGGACAAGAAGGCGGCAGAGGAGCCGGAGGTCATCGCATCAGGAACTGAGTTTTTGGATTTGACGGATTTCGAGCAGCCCGCCTTCCGATATGTTCTTTAAGATTGTCAAGTACTTTTGTCTGAGAGCACCATAGAGGGATGCACTGGCTCACTTTTATCATTGAGTTCTTTGTAGGCTTGAGGTTGTAATGTTTTAGAATATTGAGATTGAATATGTAAATGCAGACATGTTTTTTTTCATTTTCAGGACTTGTTCCAGAATGGACGCGCATCACCAGCCGACCACCCCTTATCCTGATGACACCAGATGTTGCATCTCTCGTGAATGATTGAGCCAAGTAACTGCGTAATACCAACTCAATCCTGTCAGTCTTGATACCGCACGTTGTAGGGAAGCACGTGATACCGTTCGCTATTAGACTGAGCCTGGAATAATTGCATCATATCCTTTTTATCGACTTTTAGGAAAACAGCAGACACATTCATCAAGCGCTCAATGACGTCAAAACACACGTTCTCGGTTGTTTTCCAAAAACTTTATACACGCTCTTCATATGAAGTTTTGTCCAGGGATGTCAGAAAGAGGAGGCTTGAAAAACTTAGGCTTCATTACGACGTCTCGTAAGTCTACGCATGTTTGTATTGAAGCCATTTCGCACTCAACGGGACAAAGAGACCGCCGGTTTGCAAGCAATTGCCCTGAATGACAAACGCAACAGGACGAGAATTATCAGAAAAATTGCTTGCAAAAGAGTCACTACGAATTAGCTGAATCACTGATCGTTGACCTGCAGGCAACATACCAAACCTGTGGCAAAGGATTGTGCGTTGAACGATTTCAATTACTCAAACAAGGGGCTTATATCCATGTTCTATTTGTTCATGAGAAACTCCTCAAAATCCTCGTCAGGTAGCGCAGGCTGCTCATCAACGCCATCAAGCAGCCCAAGGTACCAGGTCAAATCTCGGCCATCCTGCTCGCGTTGCGCAAAGCCGTTGCCCCAGTATCCGAACCGATTGCTCGTCGTATACTTGAGATCGTAGTCCTCCCAGCGCGGTGTGGCAATTGTCTCGAAGAACTGGATACGCGAGCCCGGCCACATCATGGGCTCCTTGTCCACAGTGCCGCTCTTGAACCAGGATCGGCATGGTGAAGTCCATGCCGTCCGCGGCAGGAACTTGCGTCGGTGCTCGGCAAAGTCGTTGACGGCCTCCTGCTTTGGGCAGAAGGAGGAGATCTCTTCCTCTGACATCTTGTGGAGCATTTGCATCACGTATCTCGCCACCGTTTCGGTGATGGGGAGGAAACTTCCGTGGCCGTAGGGACCGTAAGGACCGTTGAAGACTTTGATGCAGATGTTAGCCCGAGTTCTCGCATTAGACTCAAGGGGAGTGTGGTTAACTTACTGATGTAGTTCGGCATGTTGGCAACTGTCATAGAGAGGTAGGTGTTTGGTGTATCCCGCCAGTACTCGCTGAGACTAACACCGTCGCGGCCTATCGTAGGGTAGTGCGGCCTCCAGCTAACGTCGAAGCCCGTAGCGCAGATGATGATGTCGAATTCGTGTTCCACTCCATCTGCAGTCTTCATTCCATTGGGTGTGATTTCCTGGATACTTGAAGACACGACGTTCACGTTGTCTTCGCAGAGCGCCTCGAGGTATCCGTTTCCAGGAGTTGGCCTCCTACAACCGACGGCGAAGTCTTTCGGGATGATGAGGTCTTGGAGATCCGGCCTGCTGGCGAGCTTGCTGCGCATGTCTTCGGCCGCGAACTGATGACTTGTCAATCAAAGATCTGGCTGGACGAAGCTGGAATAGAACCTACCGCTTTGGCATCGGCCTGTTCCTTTGAGCCATTGAGAATGAAGCGGAAGCGGGAGTTCAACTCGGACTCAATCTTCTTCCTATATGCGAGGTATTTCTTGGGATCTTTTCGAAGGATCTCGTGTTGTTCTTCGCTGTCTGCAGTTACATCCGTCAGAAGATTGTCAAGAGTTCTGGGTTGTGATTTGACGACTTACACTCGAAGTTGCTGCCCTTCTTTCCAGCAAAGCGCTGACCGAAACCGCCGACGACCCAAGAAGAACTTCTGATGAAACAACTCAGACTGCCGACGACTTCAGGCTTGTTAGATTGATATCTTGTGGAAATATGGGGTTAGGGTTGTTGAAAAACATACTCGGCTGGATATTGGGAACGATCTGAACCGCAGAAGAACCAGAGCCAATCACGCCAACCTTCTTGCCCGTGAGGTCGATGCTGTTATCCCAGTTGGCGCTGTGCATCATCTTGCCTTTGAAAGTTTCTCTGCCCTTGATGGCGGGCCATTTCCACTTGCTGTAGACTACCGTGTTAGCCATAGACATACAACAATCAGGGAGGAATGCCACGTACTTGAGCACGCCGCTGGCGTTGACAAAGATATCGGCTGAGTCTTCGATCGTGGTGCCGTCTGCCTTTTGGATCTGAATGCTCCACTTCTGCTTCCCCTCGTCCCAGAACGCTCCCGTCACGGTGTGGTTGAGGCGGATGTACTTGTTGAGATCGTACTTCTCCGCGATGTCTTTGAAGTACTGCAGGATCTCCGGGGCACTCGAGTAGCTTTACCAAAAACACTGTCAGTACCCGCACACGAACGCCGGAGACGTAAGAAGGCGCTCGAACTCACAATTTCGTCCACTCTGGGGACGGCGCCCATGAGAACTGGTAGTTGACAGAGGGAATGTCGCATCCGCAGCCCGGATAGCGGTTCTCGTACCAGGTGCCGCCGATGGAAGGGTTCTTTTCGTAGCAGACGAGGTCCAGGTCGAGGGTCTTGCAGGTGTCGATTTCGTGGGCTAAGTTGAGAGCGCTGGCGCCGCCGCCGAGACACACGATGCGGAGCTTTCTTCCGCTTCGGCTGGGCTTCTCCAAGATCTGGTACTCAGCTTGGGCCGGGGGTGCGGGGAGAGAACCCATGCTTGCGGTGAGTTCGGGGGGTACAGAACGGTAGACAGGGGGTAGTAGAGTTGGGGTAACAAGAAGAGATCTGTGTGCTTTACTTGTGATCAAGACTGAGTGAGCGGCACACAAGTTCTAACGATGTTAGGGAGCTTTCAAGGACGAGTGATGGGGTCTAGACTATGGGTGTCTTGGATCGCCAATGTCTCTGAGCTTGAGTTTTGCGACATTGGATATGGAAAATGCGCTCTTATATGACATCTCCAAGTTTCAACGCGCATACAATAACCCATTAAGCTCACGCGTATTGCCATACCTCCATGTATAGCGGAGCTCCGCTCGTGCATACGGCGCCATCCCAAACCATCATCCCCACACCTTACAATCGCGCTCAGCTTCACTACTCACTACACCAACCCGCGGCCTTCACTCCGCCGCCGCCGCCTCCGCCTCCGCCTCCGCTGGTATCCTTCTCCCCTTAAGCCCCCTCCCTCCTTTCCCCGTCTCAGTCTAAGTCAGTCGCGCTTGTGGTCAGCAGTCGCTTGTTAGTTACGCGGGGTTATCAAAATCTACTCGAATACCAAAGACGGATAAAGATAGCAGGATAAGGATAGCGTGGTGAACCCGAAAGACCCCTGGCCAAGGATGGTTTAGCTAAAGAAAGTCTGTCAAGGGTATCGGGGAAATAGATTGTGGATCACCATCTGCTGCCGAACCAACGTCTCATTCATCTCGCTGACCCTCGAGTCGAGGCGAATGCCAACGAACAACGGAAAAACTTTATTTTGCTCCATTTGCCGAGATGAGGCGAGGGATGCCCCGCGTGCTGCGGACTTTGGACACTGTCCGAAAATGCATGTTCTTGAGCCCCAGCACGTTCAATATTCACAAACTCCCTTCGAAAGCAATCATGCAGGGATACCTGAACTATGGAAAACCATTGTGGTCTGCCAAGATCTTTTGGCCGGATTTCACATTCCGAAACCATAGCCTTGATGAGACGAACTTATCACCAGCGGAAGGCGTCACTTGTATCGATCAGTTCACTAACAATGAGTTCATTGGAACAATTTATTCTTTAGTTTCTCGTCACATTCATGAATTACCCCCCTGAAAGCTGGTCTGTTCATCTGGTTATCCCCGCAAGATCGTGCACATTAACAGCCCCCTTGAACCGAACCACCAACCAGCTCTTTCCCCTTGAACCCGTCTCATGATGACCTCAACAAATTTCCCACAACTCTACCCGTAGAGACTTCAGACAGCGCCCGCCGGCAAGAACGACATGTCAAACTGGAAAGGGCACTTGACGGCGGTGCAGATACAGCCGCTGCCCTTGGGAATCGCCTTGCAGCGCATGGCGGGCGTCTTGGGGTCGCAGCAGCAGCACTGCTCCTGGGTGGCCGGGTCGAGCGGGCACGCGATGAGCGGCACGGCGCAGACGCTCTTCTTGGCGACCTTGCAGACGTAGTTGCCGGCGCCGCGGTCCTCGAGGTCGCAGGAGCAGCAGTTGGCCTTTGGCTCCGGGAACGGGATCGCTTCGCGCGGGGTGAGGAGGTCACCGGAGGCGACGCCGGCTGGGGAGGCGTGGACGAGGGTGAGGGTGCCGGCGAGGGCGAAGAGGAGGGTGTTGATGGAGAATTGCATTTTTGGTAGGTGTTGTTTGATATGAAGTTTTGAGGCGGTTGGTTAGAAGTGGGAAGTGTTGTGATATTTGTGGTTTGAAGTGTGGTTTGATATTTGAGGTATGGATGTTTGGTGATCTCTGGTAATGATCATCAGTCCTTCGAGGCTCTTCGGCGACTTATATACACTTTCCAGTTCGTATAACACCCCCTTGACTGTGTCTCGTGCTTGTGAGAGTCTATCCAGCTATACCGCAACGATGACAACATCGCACCAAATCTCTGACCTCAAGAACCTGATTGGTCACCTAGATGAGCCATATCTACCCTCCCTAGACTTGCTTCATTACCCTTCCGTAGTCAAGAAAAAAAAAGTTCCACATCCAGAAAGGAGAGACACGACGATGTCAGATTGAGACCCCTTCAAGCCTCAAGCCGGCACCACCCGCGACCGGTGAGGTCTGTTTGACCCGAATTGGGCAGTAGCACGAACCGCTTAGCTTCGTCGCGCGGATCTCAAGCCACCTGCAAGAATTAGCATCAAAAAACCCCCGGATCTGCGCAGATATTTGCGGATCATTCGGTCGAAGACAAGAGAAGGGTAAAAAAAGTTTTCTGACCGGTTACCTACGGAGTGCGACCTTGTCTGTTAAGATCTTATGACCGGTAGGATGATTTGAGCTTTTTTGAGTTTATTGTTATTTCGGTTCACCAGGGGAATTGGTCCGCCGCTGTTAAGCGAGATTTTTTTTGCATATGCAAGACTGGTTATATGCTGAAAAGTCTGGAACCGTGTGATTATTAGGTAGGCATCGCAGGTTCATCGTCTTCACGTAAAGGGCCTAGAACAGGCGAGTCGTTGGCTTGATGCTCATGGACCCCGGTGTGCTGCTTTGCCATTGCTATGCGGGCTTGTCAGTGCCCTGTCCCCCGACCCGCGAGATCTCGGCGGGAGCCGAGAAAAGGGCCGATCACAGGGTTGACAGGCTAACAAGAAATGTCTCGATCAGTGTGATGTCGGATTCAATGTGGAGAATTTCAAGTAGACCGTGAGACATTCGTGTAAGTGTTGAAAAGTGTTGAAGGGAGAAGAGTTCAGGTATGAGTTGTACATCACCTCGCCAAGCGTTAAGAGAGAGCGTTTTCGTCCTCGATATGGCTGTTGTCTGTAAGCCGGAAAGCTTGGCAGGTGCTCACCCGTCAGCTCATGTCTCAGTCGAATCACTCGACAGACTCGGGCTCGCGTAGGGTCGATAACATCACACAGATAGACATCAGTATAAGCAATTCTGATTCCTTGATGGTACAGACTGTTTGATCTCATCTTGATTCTCCAAGAAAAGCTAGGGATCTGGTCAATAGGGTCCAAGGCCATCGTGAAGGCCCACTCCGTGGGGCCCTGAATCGGACTCCCGCTCTGCTGCACCTGGACCTTGGAGCTGGAACCCCTTTCGAAGGGCTCGCAAAGGAGGCCACAGGACTCCGGTGACATTCCTCAAAGGGTGAAGGAAGAATTTTAGGGTTGGGTGACTGAGGAAGAAGGCGTCCTGGGCATACGTGAGAATGACGATCTGCGGCCCGGCCCCCGGCCCCCCGGTCTACGAAGCTCCGGATCCGGTCGTCTTGGCAAGACAATTTCATTCTCTGTTCTGTATCTGCAGGCTTTTCTCGGCTAGGGACGGGCGACGACGGGATATACAAAGACCGTCTCTACGGATGCAAAACGGCTCAACTGGCCATATCGAGAAATCAGCTCGCGAAGAGACCGTTGGTGCCGGTTTTCTATTCTTAGAAGTTGGGCGTGCGGAGAAGAGGGTTTCTTGTGGATGACATGGCTTGCGGGCTTTTGCTAGTAATTTAATCGGCCGGAACTTTTTCAAGATGATGGGTAAAGTTTAAGATTGTAGATCTTTGCAGCCTCGTCTATCCTATCCGGGGAGCGAAAGCGGCAGCGAGGAGGGTCGGGGCCTTGGGGCGGTTCTGGTGGTCTAGGACTCAAGATGGGGCTTGGGTTTTCCGACACACGTTCGGCTGGACGGCCCGCATGGGAAGGACTGTTCAGTTAAGACAAGACTTACATCCCATGACAGTTTGCCAAACGATCTAGTTCGACCTCGGAATGTTTGGCGTCTACGATAGGACAGTTGCCGAGATGATCATATCAGGTCAAGCTCAATGATCAAAAGTGTTCAGAGGTAACAATAAGCATTCATTTCGACCCTTTTGCGTTCAAGGCCAAGGAGACTGACTACATAGGTGGCGAAGCAACATGACTTTGTTTTGGTTGGTTTGGTTTCCTTTCATGATCTCATCATTTCCCCGTTCCGATAACTTCCGTTGTGATAAAAGAACCGCGCAACCGTTCGTTGATGAAAAGTAGAAAGAACAGGATGTTTCGCACTCATAGCAATAATGCTTTGAACTCGCAAAGCACCCCTCCCGAATATTTAAAACTCGCCCTCTTTCCGTTGACATGTTAAAATGCTTGGTGTGAAAATCAAAAGTGTTGTTTGGTTGTTGTTGATGGGAGTATGTCCACTCCAATCCATCTGCGTTTTCAAGACTGCGTTGATTTCAAATCCGACTTTCCCCCTTTCAACTTCCACCGACCAGGGTATGTAAACGTAACAAAGAGGCTTCGACAGGCCTTGGGAGGTATTTTGCCAAAAGCGCATTTGATGATAAAAGAAGAGAAAAAAAAGTTTTGCAGTAGAATGATATACGAACCAGTTTTTTGTTGAAACCGATCACTTTTCCCTCAGTTCAAAGTTGGAGAAAAAACTTTTTGAAAAGACACGCTTATAGGACACACACAGCTAATGGTACACGCGCCAAGATGGGGCCTCTCTTCGACACAGACAGCAGGGTTGTCTGACTTTCTTCAGTTCGCCATGCGCAGGACGGGGTACAACGGCGCAGCCGGGGCAGGCTTGGCGTCAACCTCCATCGGCTCCGGAGACTTGAGACGGCTAGCCTCAGGAGACTTGGGAGCAGGAGCAGCGGCTTCAGCAGCGGCCTTCTCGGCGGGCTCGTCTGAGTACTCTCTGCGGTCGATGCGATCGCGAATGTACTCGCGGAGGGCCTCGATGGTACGCATGTTCTCGAGCCATTGGTCGTACTTCTCCTCGCGCTCGCGGGCGCCCTCGCTGGTGTCCGACTCGGATGAGGGAGAGCCGACGGATGAGGCGACGGACTCGGCCTTGGGAGTGGTGACGCTGGAGGAGTCCTCGTAGATGATGGGGGACTTTGGCGAGGAGGGCGCGGCACGCTGGAGCATACCTCCCGAGTAGCGTCTGCGCTCGTTGCTGTCGAAGCTGGGTCCGAGCGTGGAGGCTGTGGACTGGCCGGGGAAGACGGAGCTGACGGCCGGGAGGTTGGGGTACATGACTGAAGAAGCGGTGGAGCTGTGTCTGGACTGGGGAGACATGCCGGAGGAAGAGGGGCTGGGCGAGTGACCAGATGTGTATGACATGGTGCTTGAGGGAGGAGTGACGGCGGGGGTTCCAGTCGACGAGACTGCGGTCAACGGGGACGCCATGTGAGCAGCGGACACGGGGTAGCCGTCTTGGGTGACTGGAATGCCGGCGTGAGAGCCTCTGTGAACACCCGGGGGCGAGGGGCTGTGGCGGAGATCGAAGGTGTTCTGGCCGTGGATGTGGATTCCTTGCGTGGCCTGGTGCGAGTTCTCGTAGACAGTGCTCTGCATCTGCTCCAAGATCTGGTCGATCTGGACCAGGTCGTTCTTGGTGCGGGCGTTGGGCATGGGCGGCAGGTAGTACTGCTGGGACATGGGTCCGGGGCCGGAAGGAGGTCCGCCGGCCTGTTGGTGGTGAACGTGCTGCTGGGGCGGGGCTGCCATGTAGTCGGAGCCGGGCATGGGACCGGCGTGCAGGCCGAGAGCGCCGTGAAGGGGGAGAAGGGATCGGCCGACTTGTTGATAGGAGGTCGGGTCGACCTGGCGACGCTTGGCGTGGGCGAAGAAGTCGTCAACCATGTCGAAGGCGCGCTTGCTGCGGTTGTCATAGCCGCCGTGGTGGCCAATGTACTCAGTTCGGGGAGGGTTCAAGGGTTGTTGGTTGAAGTACAGTCCATAGTTTGTAGATGGTTGGGGTGCATAGTAGCTAGCATGCCCAGCCTGGTGTGCGAAGGCGGCGGAGTTAGTCCGAATGTGGCCATTATGATCATAGTAGCTAGAAGAAGCTGGAGGCAAATTAGCCTCTAGTTGGAGAAAATAGAGGACAGACTTTGGAGGGGTGTGCAAACTGAGCTCTACATACCTTTGCCAGGCTGCGCCCGGTAGCCGTTCAGACCTTGGTCCTGGGGCGAGCGGACGAGCACCGAGTCATCGGCGTGGGTCTGTCGACGTTTGTGAGCATGGCTGAAGAAGATGGCGGGAGTGGTTTGTGGGTTGATTTACCTTGACGTGCTTCTTCAAGTCTTGAGGGCGCTTGAATGACTTGCCGCAGAACTCACACTTGTGAGGCTTGAGAGGAACGTGCACGCGAATGTGAGAAGTGATGTGGTCACGCTTCACAGTGGTCGTCCTGCAGGAGTTCCATTGGCAAGTGAGGTTGAGGTTGTTGGTGCTCTTGCGGCCAACATGGCGTTCACAGATGTGCTCCTGTAGATTTTGTTAGTGAGATGTTTCGGGTGAAATAAAGATTTAGTGAAAATTGCCACTTACGTAGAGAGCCTCAGGTGAGACAAACTTCAGGTTGCAGGCGTTCCACTTGCAGATGAGGTTGTCCTCTGCGCTGGTGCTGTTGGCGGACTGTGAAGTGTTGCTGGTTGTTGTTGAGGGAGCGGGGGTGCTGCTCTTGGGAGAGTTGCTCGCAGAGCTCTCATTCTCTTGTTTGGCGGACATGGTGAGTGACCGGGGTGTGTGGATGTGTGCGTGAGTGTTGACCGAGCTGGCGGGCTCGGTGAAGAGAGTCCGGAAGATTGGAATGTGCCGGGTCCCGTGAGGCGCGTTGGGATTGGATGGTTGTGTAAGTAGGAGTGGGGTCCTTCTTGATGCTTCAGGTTGTAGATTGCCGAGAACAGGCGAGAGTATACTTGGGATAATACAAAGCTGAACGGGGGAAAAAGAGACGGTCAGCAATGCTTTTATGTTTTTCTGCCGACTCTCACAAGACTGGGTGTTCTCGAGGGAAATCAATCAGTCTGATCTGGGGGGCATGGACGATGGGCTCTTCTCTTTATTCATGAATCACATTTCCTCTCCGCTCTTCCTACCCTTCCAAGAGTCTTGGCAAAAGTCTTGGCGACCGGGGCTTGTGAGACCAGCCGACTTTTGATTGGTCCAAGGTGGCGAGGGCTGCCGAGCTGATGTCGCGGATGATGGGGGGAGACAACAAGGCAGGCAAGGTGCGTCGAGCCTCGCCTGGAATGACACTGTAGTCGGCATACCACAATCTAACACTTTTACCATGCAAACACACACAAAAGAGATAGCTGAGGCTCAGCAGCACAGTCCAATCCTGACGAGAAAACAGACAGCACCCACTGACACTGCAAGTACCTCGCCAACACCGCAACATCCGGGCGCATACGATGCCAAGACTCTGGCTGTCTTGGGGCGTCTTGGCAAATCTCCAGTTTTCACTCTTTCTCCCTTCGCCGAGACCTTGGCATTTGCACTTGGCTCCTATTGCTTCATCCTGCGAGCACCCGCGTCCATTTACGTTGGTCAATAGCTCGCCATCAGCTGATGACCGCAAGCGCAGCGTTTGATTTCCTGTCCTCCTTTACTCGGCGGCGGCCTTCGTACCGGTATGGCTTTTGCCAGCTTTCTGGGAAAACCTGGCCTTCTTTGTCCCTGCGACCGGTTGCCACGCTCATGGGAATAACGGCGGCACGCACCCATCATCGATGCGGCTCGTTGTGGGAGTTGCTCATGGCAATGACCATGTATTAGGTATTTCTGTCTACGGAGTACGGGTCACAACACTTGCGGCTCGTTGTGGGAGTTGCTCATGGCAATGACCATGTATTAGGTATTTCTGTCTACGGAGTACGGGTCACAACACTCTGTGTCGTCTGAAGAAAAAGCCTGCGACCGTCTCAGATGAGGGAGCACTGTTTCCAGCCAAGCAGGTGAGCCGAGTATTTTTGGGCCTTGGATTGCTTGGGGTCTCTGGGGGTCTTGGGGGGTGACCGGACGGGACAAAAGTCCAAGACTGACCTGCCTGAGAAACAAGCCGCCAAGTACTCCCGTACCTGATGTCACGGGCAAAGCACCCGTCGCACTGAAAGTACGGAGTACACTTTCAGGCGACCAGCCAGAGAGATAGGACGATTGACAGGACATGGGAGATGCCTGGTGCCCGATTGACAGGGTAAGGGGCCCGAGAACGACAAGCCTTCCACGCTTTTCCTTAGTACCTATTCTGTATACCAAGACCTCCCTGCTTCGAGTCCCAGACTCCCAAGAGCCAAGAGACCAAGTCTCCGTGCCTTCGTACCAAAAGAAGCAGAAAGCGAAAAGAGACACACACGACGCGGGGTGGGGACGAGGATGCGACGGCGGCCTCGGGCGCTCCGATAAGCGCATACCCCGTACATATTGATAACTCTCCATCCCATGGAGCCGGCCCAAGAATAACGATCCGCACACGGCAAGACGGGATGCAGCCAGCTCGTCATTTCCGTAGGCCGCACCGAAGCTGCCACGCTGCGAGGGATGGCAAACCCGCAAAAAATCACACAGTTGCTTAACCGAGCGATTCGCCCTCCACTTTTTCGACTTGCAAGTTGCGCGCGTGTGTGGAACAAACTCGACAGTCCGGACACACAAGTGGCGCCCGACCCTCGATAACCTGGGGGACGGCACCCTCGGGGGGGCAGGTGACTTTCGGGTGACGGGGGGGACGCTGGAGATTCTGACAACGTTTTGGGGCAATGCCCAAGAGCCAAAAGAAGCTTTCCGCTCCTCTCTTCTTGGCCTCTCCGCCGCAGCCAAGACTGCCAAGTCCTTAGCGCCAAGGGCTACGCGCAATCCAAATGCCCTCGCCTGTGGTCGGCTGGTTGTCGCCCCCTCTTCTCGACAGGTCCACGATACAGTCGCCGCTCCCCTATGGTCAGCCAGAAGCCGTTCAAACCGGCTCGTCCAGAAAGTGTTGCGCAATACCGCCAGTTATGGCCCACGCAAGGGAAGCCGATGTGCCGGGCGTTGGTCATCGCATTCGGTGCAGGTGAGATGCGGTGGGGTTCGCCAAGACTTTAAATACGTGGATGAGGGAACTCGAACGTTTTCCCTAAACCGAGAGCTTGAAAGCAAGGACAGATGTGAAATCGAAAAAAGATTGGGTTGGGGTGGTGGGCGAGGGTGCGGCGTGGTGAGGAGGGTGAGATGCCGTGTGCCAAAACGACGCAGCTGTCGGGGTCCGAGGGATACGTACCTCCGAATAGGTACCTTACTGTGGCACTGCGTGCCTCGAGTCGACACCAATGGAAGTTACCAGCCTCGATCCGCCAAGACTCATTTCTGGTAATGGCAGGTACCTCTCGAACCCCCCCCCCCTCCCCCCTTCCCAAGATCATCCCGTCCCTACCGGCCATCCACAGATTCCTCCCCAGTGTGGCAGTTCACTTTCTCCCATTATACTCAACCACCACTCAACTCCCTACGTCTACGTTTTATTTTGCCTTTCGACTATCTAATTTGCCTTCTCGTTGTCGGGTTCCCACCACGGCACTTAGCAATTTGTGTAATACACTACGTCGCAAACGCACCGACACAGCCATCTTGTTCTTAAGTTGGTCGATCCAGCCAGATGTCACCCCGTCGATTACCTTAAAACATGGACTCAACGTGCCAACGTGCCCGAGGCGCGACGCCCGTCCATACATAGTAGTGTCATATTCACAAGTATTCAGGTGAGCGGGTCGCTCAACTCTTGGCAGTTCGACCCACGACGGCGGTACGCCAATTGGTGTCAGACTGCTCTCCTACTCCCCTTGGTGAACAGTCTCGTCGACCGGTCGACTTGGCCTTTTTCCTCCTGTCTACGGCGCCAAGCTTGCTCGACAAAAGAAGACATGAGCCCAAGAACGCAAGCCGTCTCACAAACCATGCCATCGCATCATGGCCGACCCCGCCTGTCCACGGGATCCCGCACTGGCACGGTGTGTTCGCTGCAGACCATTCCCAAGAACTCGAGTATCAGCCAAACCTGACAATTTGCCGCTTCAAAGCCCAGCCAGACGAAAGCTGGGCGTTCTTGGCTGCAGATACCAAGCACCTTCAGCCTGTATCCCCCATCCTGTCCACCTTGCGCCCGCCGCTTCGCCGTTCAATGAGGCTGTGCAAGCAATGCCAAGACCTGCGAGGATGGGTGGTTTCGCCCTGGCTTCAACTCTCGCCAATCCAGGGGGGGGGGGGGGCCACATCGCCAGCGCTCTACACTCAATCAGAGGAGAAGCAATCAAAACGAGGCCTTTAACAAGTCTTGGCATTGCTCCTTTCACACTCACTGGCCGCCACATGCATTCTATTTGCGCGATTTGTGAGTTTGTTTAGCCCGTCTCGACGATGCTTGAGTCTTACCACATCCTCCTCCATCAACAGATTGACTTTCACTCCCTCTACCCGAATCGGTGATTGCTCGTCCCACACTCTCACTAACATGGCTCGAAGAATTAAGGTTCTGGAAGGAATATCCGCACACTTTGTGCAGTCCTGCATGGTCATCAACCATTGGCTGTGCCGCCAGAAGGGTCGCCGATGTACCACGAGCCCGATGAGCCTGCCAATGCCACGGGAATTTACCAAGCTTTCCGGCGAAATCTTGGATGCACGACACCCGAGCGAGAAAACGACCGCACCATCAGCAACATGACTGCCCGCACGCCCCAGATGCAGCTACGGACTACAATGACTCTTTCGAGTTTTGAGCCATCATCCACGCTGGAACTCTCCACGTTTGGTCGCAGTTATTCCAGACTCAATCAGACCACCATGTTCGCCTCCCCAGACGATTGCGACAACCCCGGCAGTTTAAGGACGAGTGGTCCCCCGAAAAGCCCCAGATGCGGAGGGTCGAATGGGGTGCTTGTGTTCGGACGCCAGGCCGAGATTAGGAAGGACTCTGCAAGTGGTGTCCTGGCTCGGCGGGATCAGGCCAAGATGCCAGTAGGACTTCTTGCAGAGTGGGCTTTGCTCCATTCCCGTCGTGCCCATGCACTCTTGGCCTCTTCTTACGAGCTCCAGACTTTGAAGGGCCTTCTTGGCTTCTGTCCATGGGCCGCAAAGCGCGTGGGCATGGTATCGCGTTGTGCAACCATTTTTCGGAACCTCTCGGCGTCTTGGCTTTAGCTTGAGCGCTTTCTGTCTGGCCTTGGATTACATCAAGTCTCAGCACCGACTGGCTTACAGGTGGAGTGGCCAAGGCCCACAGCCATCTTCCAATTTCATATCCGTACTCCCTTCTACCTGCCGTAATTGATGCTGATGGGCAATGCAGGAGAAAAAGAGCGCAGAAAGGGAACGCCAGGTCACATATCAACCTCCGTTATTCAGAGGCTCTGAAATCACAGCGCAACCCTACGGAAACAATCTTGAAATTCGGGCGATATTTTGAGTATCCGGAGCCTCTCACACCCAAGACGGCAACGCCTTGGTTTTGGCCTTGGCTCCATCTTGGCCGGGCAATTTTGACGATGATCAAGAGTAAGCCTTGAGTTTCGGGGGACTGAAACGGCTGCCGGGCTCCGGCACCCGGGTGGACAACAGACGAACGTCGACGAGTGGGCCGTGTTGTCAACTGGCGATTAGCAGTGCTATCAATTGGGAGAGCAGCGACCTATCTTTTCTTGGCGTTTGCATGCCAAACGACGATCTCTATTGCGACCATTTGTCTCCTGTTTGCCAAGCATCCTCACCAGCGTTCTATCAAGCGACTTACGAGTAGTCGCTCGTCAATGCTGTAGGCAAAGCAGCTACCTAGATCTGGGCCAGATGCCCGTGATCAACCAGAAGCGGAGTCTTGGTGAGCAGATGCGACCTAGCTCCGACAATAGCTGCCGCTGTTCGACGGCGATGGTGAGAATTTCCGACGAGACGTCGGTCCTGGCACACGACGTTTCCTCCGGACTGCTCCAATGCTGTAGTTTTCGGTTCAAGAAGCTTGCTACTGTCGTACTGGACCAGAATATCCATCTTGCCTGTGGCCAGAGGTAATCCCCACTTGCAGAAAATAGCTGCAACCCAACCCCTGGCCCCCTTTCTCCTTATCGTCGTTTTGTTTGTTTCCATTACTGTTTCCAGCTATTTCTGTTTCCCACTGTTCATTCATCAAATCGATCTATTCGACCCTCCGAAATGACCCGACCGTTCACACCCCATGAGACGCCAAGAATTAGGACTTGCCCCAATGCTTGACCAACATGAACAAAGTCACCGACTGAAGGTGTCTCCGCCTCAATCTGCGGACCAAATTTCCCTCATTCAGCAAAGTCGAAGTAAAGAGGTTCAGTGCATCATTAGCCTGGACATGGCAGCCAAGTGGGCGGCAAAATAGGATGTTAGCTTACAAGATTCTGACGCTTACTTGCCTGTTTACTATGCCTGATCTTCTTATTCTTCTTAATGTTTTTATTGTCACTATTATAACTATGGTTTTTTCTAAAATCCTATGGGAATACCCTTTAAAGAAAGAAAGAATAGGGATAGGGATAGTAGGAATAGAAATAATACGAAAGGAGCTAGAGAGGGTATCGATAGAGCGGCAAGCGAGTGTGCTACCCACTTGGCAGCGTAATGCAGACCACTGTCGCCTTCACCCTCAGACTATGGCATGATGCAGTTCTAGGTCATGGCTCCTTCTCAATGAGGCCTCCTGTCCCTTGCTTCCGCGACAGATGCAGTGTCCAGCGTGTCACGTCTTCAGAAGAAGAAATCTAGTGATCTGCTCCTGAGTGCGGCGGACAACTGAAGGAAACATCTGGACAATCGAGTGGCAAATTCACGCTGCATGGGCTCGATGCAAAAGTGAGGAGGGAGCTGCAGTTCCTGGTTCAGATAGAGACGATGGAATGCTAGAGCGTCCGTCGCTGTGGCTTTCGTGGTCTTGTAGGCTTCGCAGGCTTCGCAGGCGATGAGATACTCGCACCGGTCTCATCTGCGTCCAACATCCTCTCTCGCTAGTATTGCTATTGCCATGTCTAGTCTTGCCAGCTACAGGAGCCACCTCATGTGGAGGCCGTCAGAGTATCTTCGTTCCTGCTATGCAATCATCTGCTGAATCTTCTTTGAAGTGGCCATTGATCTCTCGTTGCTCCCTTACTTTGAACCAGTTCTCCCTGCTCCTGCTCTCTGGGAGGAGGCCATCCTCCTTGTAGACGCCCTCGACCACAACGAGGCGATGGTGCCTTCCTCTGTGTATCATGGCCACTCATTCATGTCGTATGCTAGACATAGAATACGAACCAGAGAATCAACGGGATCCCTTGAAGATTTGAGCACGCCACACTCTACGTGCTGCTATACTTGACTACTGAGGTGCCTGAAGAAGCCACGTTGAGCACGACGATCATCTCGCAGGACGCTTCAAACACGTCTGCCAATGCTGGATGCGAGTCATCTTACAGTACAGTCCTTCTCTACGCCATGCCCATGATTCAACAATTGCGAGACGGCCTACGCATTGCCATTGACCACTTGTCATGCTGTCTCTTCATCGTATGTGGTAACGGTTATTGCCCAACAACAAAGGCGAATAGCCCTCGAACACTCTTGGCTTTGTAATCTTGCTAACCCCCTGACAATAGCCGCGCCTCAAAGATGCAATCTACAGATCTTCAGTCCATGACCAGCACGCTCCTAAAGCGCACCTTATTCGACATCATACGCTCCACCGCTTCAGGCGCCTCGCCCAAGGGAAACTTCTCAATCAGGCACTTGACGCCCTGCTTTCTCGAGAACTCGATCGCGTCCTCCGAATCCCCCGCGTGCCCGCTAGGCCAACCGTGAACCGAACAGCCGCCCGCGATCAAATGCAACGAGTTGATTTCGATATTCCCAACCGGCGCGAGCACCAACAACTTGCCGCGCGCCCGCAGCGCGCCCGTGAGGGGGCTAATTGCCTTTGCGTTCGGCGCCGTCGCGACCACGAGCGCGGCGCCGCCCAGGGCCTTGAGCCTCGCCACGGGGTCCTCGACGCTGCTGTCGATGAAGTACTCGGCGCCCAGCTCAGACGCGAATTGCGCTTTCGCGGCGCCGGAGCTGATGGCCGCGACGCGGTAGCCCATCTTGGTGGCGTACTGCACGGCGAGGTGGCCTAGGCCGCCGAGGCCTTGGACGGCGACGAGGCTTCCCTGTGGGATCTCCATCTTGCGGATGCCGTTGAAGACGGTGACGCCGGCGCAGAGGAGGGGCGCCGTCTCGGCGGGGTCGAGGTCTGCTGGGACGCGGACGACGGCTTCGGCGCGGAGGGTGACGTATTCTGCGTAGCCTCCGTCGCGGGTGACGCCGTTGATTGGGCCGTTTTGGCAGGATTGGAATTGGCCTAGCTGGCATGTTGCGCAGGTTCCGTCGTGGCCTTGTATGGACGTCAGTTGAGTGTGCTTCAACATGATATCCCTCTCCAAAAGATCCCCTTCATCTCATGCTTGTTGTTGATCCAAAGGGAAGGTTTCCAGAGAATACAGACTCACCTCCATGCCAAGCTCCTCCAACGCGCTCGCCACCCGTGAACCTCGACACGCTCTCGCCGACGGCGACGATGTCGCCTACAATTTCGTGTCCTGGCACGCGTGGGTGGACGGGGCCGAATTCGCCTTTTTGCATGCCGACGTCCGAGTGGCAGATGCCGCAGGCGAGCACCTTGACGAGGACCTCGCCTTTACCCGGCGCCTTCGACTCCACCGTCTGGAGTTGCAGAGGGGCGCCTGCCTCCTTGACCTGCCACGCCTTATACGTCTTTGGGAGAGACATTGCTGCTGGAGTTGTATGTCGAGAGAGAGGATGAGTAAGTAACTGGGACGTTGCGATGTTATGATTTTGTGTGGTTATTCTGTTCCTCTTAACTACATCTTGGAGAGGGGTCTCTTATATAGCCGTAGCTCATGTAATTGCTGCCGAAGGCAAAAAGCCATGGCAAGCGCGATACAACTTTCTCGTGATGTCAATGTTTGATGATTTAGAGGTGAGGTCTGGTAAAAATGGATCTTTGATTTGTGATCCGGCGATACTGACTAACAGAGGCCGCGCCGAGAGCCCACTTCCCGGTATTTACGTCTGATATCCCCGTTACCTCCCCTCGCATCGACCGGCTTTTAGCAAGATTTAATCTCAAGCATTACTCCTCAAGTAGAGTTGTAGGTTTTTTCAGATCGTTGCCGGAGTTTGTGTCCTTCCACGTTGGGGCATCGAAGCACGGATGGAGTAGCCGGAATTATGTCCTACTATGTTGGGTATTGTAGCAGGGATAGGGGAGGTCGCATATGGAGTAACCCGTGAGGCCGTGTATGGAGTAACCCGTGAGGCCGCGATAAGCGGAGAAGTGATGCATTCTTGGTAGATTTACAGAAGAAGTAAGTGATGTACGAAAAGGCCATTGGCGAAATAGGCCGTAACGGCTCCGGCTGAACTGGATGGGGTCGGCTCGGCGCCGACTCAAACCACCATCATCCGGCTTTGAATTATCTGCCAACGAAGACCTCCATGCTCAATCATGCTTAGAGGTTTCCATGACTATCTCGCAATCAGAATAGTAGGCTCATACACGAGTGGAGATGCAGACGTGGGACCTGTCATGTACCGAGGTTAGAAGATGGAAGCTCTGGGGAAGTGAAGAAAGTCTCGTGAGGTTCTTAAACTGAGGTACTCGGTGACAATATTTGAAGAAACGAAGATTCGATTACGCTCTTGTGGATATAGTCTTCTGCCACTTACGGCTCATTTCAGTAATAAATTTAACAACCAAAACCAAGAACGCGTCAAAAATGAAATCAAGATGCCGCTCTGGATCACGCAACACCACACCCCAATCATTCACTCATACACCACCCGCCCCTGAGACCCAGAATCTAGGCCTTCTTAACCTTTTCCTGGCCTCTTTGGAAAATCTTCTTCTTAATCACCGCATCGTCCAACCCCGCTCCCCCATTCATGGTCCCATCAAACACCGTCCTCGGCCCAAACGCATTCAAGAACCAAACAAGCCACGCGTTCGTACCCTTCCACACATACGGGCTCCCGCCGCTCTTAAGCACGAGCGGCACGACCTGCCGCGCAAACTCATCAGGCTTCATCGTCGTCTTCTCGTGCGTGGCGCTGCGCTCCCGCACCTTATCCTCGGCGTCGACGTACAGGCTGTCCCTATCGAAAGAAATATTGTTGGCCTGGATGATGGAGGTGGCCACCTCGCCCATGTAGACCGTCAGCACGCGCAGGCCGAGGGGCGCGACCTCGAGGCGGAGGGTGTCCGAGTAGGCCGCGACGGCGGCCTTTGTGGCGTTGTAGCCTGACGTGAAGGGCCCCGGGAGGCGGGCGAGGACGGAGGCGACGTTGACGATTGTCGGTTGCTGGGAGGATTGGGAGGTGGAGACGGCGGCGAGGAGGAGCGGGGTGAAGGCTGTCACCATGTCGAAGAGGCCGAAGACGTTGGCGTCGAACATTTGGCGGGTGCGGTAGGAGTCTGCTTCTACTGCTGGCGCTTCGTAGACTTGATGCCGGAAATAACCATGTCAGTTGTCTTGATCTCGAATTGCATAGTTGGAATGCCTAGAATGAAGGGGGAAGGGGGGACTTACGAGCACCAGCATTGTTATACAGAATGTCAAGGGTACCGTCTGTACGTCTTGAAATCTCCTCCTTCACGGCAGCGATGCTCTCTGAGCTCGTCACGTCGAGCGTGAGAGTTTCGATGCCCTTCTCTGTGAGGTTCGCTACCGACTTGAGCGAACGGGCGGTTGCAAAGACGCGCAGGCCTTGGGCTGCGAATGCGAGCGCCAGCGTGTTACCGACACCCCCTTGGGAGCATCTGTCAGAGGCGTGTCAGCGTTTCAAGTCTGGGGAATGCAAAGTAGAGAAGCATAGAAGCTATCTCGGAGGTAGCCACACTTACCCTGTGATGAGGACTGTTCGCTTGTTAGGTGATGACATGATTGCAGGTTGGAACTGAAACTTGGTCGTGAATGGTGAGAACTTGGAAGATTGAACAAGCTGGATGAGTTGAATAAGGTAATAAGGTGTCCAACCATACAATCTCGACGTGAAATCCCGTACGACTTAAGTAACTACATGATAGATGCAATTTGGAATACCATGGCCCCCAATTGTTACCGATGTATCTTAGCCATTATCCAAATCGCGAAAAAAAACAGTCAAAATTTAGCCATGATGACATATCTCAAGCTGTGTGCGTCGAAGTCGAAGACTATTGGTAAGCTCGCAGAGAAAGGCACTTTAAAAGATTAGAGCGAGTGGCGTGTGCTTTCGGAGCCTTCAGATGCTCCATTCCCCGCCGTCTTGAAAGGCGCCCGGGCAAGCCATCGCCCTCTCCACGTCTTTATCCGGAAGGAGGGGCCGGGCAGGGCCTCGGGATGACAAAGACTGACATCCAGCACGTAGAAGTCTTGGTCCCATTCTATCGCCTTGTCTACTATACCGCTCGCGTGTGGTGAGTAAACCATAATCGTCCCGGGCGCTGTTTAATAATCGCCCCCGATAAAGTGGAGACTCTCCGGCGCCGATTTGAATGCAGCCGTAGCCCGTCAAATGTGGGGCTTCAGTCCCATCCGCAACTCGTTGGTTGACCGTCCGTCTGTTGTCCGCAACTCCGCAACAGCGGCAAGGCGAACAGGCCACTTGCGATTCGTGATTGCGCATCGTGGCGAGCGGAATGTGCTTAATAATGTTCAGTTTTGGGTTTCAGCATGAGAGAAAGCATGCGGAAAGTCGAGCATAAAATGACAATTGAGGAACCATGTACACGTAACAGATTCCGATATCCTTCTTCATTACCACCAAATTGCAATCAATCTTTCAAGCAAATACACGGAACCATTACGTGTACACAAAAATGTCTTCCAACCACGCCATCGTCATCCAGGGAGCAGGCAAGGCCTCAGTCGTCGAGGCTTCCATCCCCAAGCTCCGCGACGACTACCTCATCGTCAAAGTCAAGGCCGTGGCCCTGAACCCCACCGACATCCTCCACATCGACCTCTTCGCCGTCACAGGAGCCCGCGTGGGCTGCGACTACGCGGGAATCGTCGAGGAGGTCGGCTCCAAGGTCGCAAAGCCCTTCAAGAAGGGCGACCGCATCGCCGGCGTCGCGCACGGGTCCAACGCCGTGCACCACGAGGACGGCACGTTTGCCGAGTACATCACCGTCAAGGGCGACCTACAGCTCCGCATCCCGGACAACGTCACGTTCGAGGAGGCCGCCACCCTCGGCGTCGGCGTGACGACTGTGGGCCAAGGCCTGTACCAGAGCCTCGGCCTGCCGTACATTGATCAGCCCAGCACCGAGAAACTGCCCGTTCTCATCTACGGCGGGAGCACGGCGACCGGAGCGCTGGCGATCCAGTATGCCAAGCTCTCTGGTCTACATGTCATCACGACGGGCTCGCCTCACAACTTTGACTACCTAAGGAAGCTAGGCGCCGATGTGATTTTGGATTACAAGTCTGCCACCGTTGTAGAGGACATCAAGAAGAGTGCGGGCGGCAAGCTGAAGCACGTTCTGGACTGTATTTCCTCCGAGTCGTCTGCGGATATCAGCGTCAAGGCGATCGCGGAGGACGGCGGCGTCTACTCCACCCTGAGGCCCGTGCCGGCGGAGCTCGTCTCGGCGATCAACAGCAAGGTGACGCCCAAGATGACGCTGGCGTATACTGCCATCGGCGAGCCCTGCCAGTTTGGCCCGCAGGCCTTGCCGGCGATCCCGGCGGATTTGGAGTTTGGGAGCAAGTTCTGGGCTGATACCGAGCGGCTGTTGGGAGAGGGGAAGATTGTTGCTCACAAGCCTACTGTGAATGAGGGTGGAAGTGGTCTCGAAGGCGTTCTCAAGGGTCTTGATCTAGTTAGACAGGGCAAGGTGAGCGGAACCAAATTGGTTTACGTCGTTTCGTAGTAGTTCAAAGTTCAAAATAGCGATAGGGACTCGCAAGAGTTATGAGTAACTATCAGAACACTTGAATATGAAAGCTTTATAGGCGGAACTTGGGTGATCTAGGTAAGGTTGGTCAACTTAAAATGCCAGAGTCAAGCAGTGTGGGTGACGGGATCGGAGTCCAAGATACCGGAGCCGAATGCTACAGGGATGTAGTCTCCCGAGCCCGAGCGCCACTTGCCCGATTCGTCCACGGACGAGAGCCCATTGGCAGTAAATATTGCATAACTGCAGATGTTTTGCAGGTCAGCGGCGGGAGGGAGATGGTGTGGCGCATGCAAGCAGTCATGTACTTGAAGTGTGCCGTTTGCCTATCAGCACTATTGTCTCTTGCGACATGTGATATGTGTCCATGGATCTGAACTCTTGCAGAAGTCTACGATGGAAAAAGTCACAAGGTTGAGTATCTCAAGTTATGCAAGCGAACACTACCTTAGTGCTCCTGTATCCCAAGAGACGTTTGCGCTTTGTGGGAGAGTGCCCATTCAAGAACCCAGAGAAACTCGTAAAGTCGGAGGTAGGTTGAATGCCTATCGAATCAAGTATTGCGCTGCATCGGCTACACATCCTCTGGAGACACCATTCCGCACTCCCATACTTATGCCACCTGACTCTCCACTTGGTGAAGCCAAACATCGATAGGCTTACTTCCAATCTGATCCAATACCTAAGACCGAGTAAAGTACCTCGGCTCCTGAATTGGGCACAAGGAGGCCTCTCCTGTTACATAACATCTCAGTTGCCGATTTCTGACCGATCGCTGCCGAAGTCATGCACGGCGAGTCTGAGCGAAATTGAGCCTCCCCTTTGAAGAATCGATTGATTGATAAGACAACCTAACATGACTTTAACGTCATGCAACTAGTTCGATAGCCTACAGGATAGCCTATGGGAGGCGAAGGGGAACGTAATCATCCACCCCAGTACGGAGTACAGCAACGTTCGCATCTCCCCCGCAGCCACGCACCCACTCACGTTTACTAAAACTTTTTTCTTCATCAGAGGCTTAGAGAAGAACGCACATGGAAGAAAGCTGTTAGAAAATCCTTCACAACCATTGGACACCACACCCCGGAAAAGAAGAACCTTCCTCATGCGGTGTTTAATGGCAATTGACTCCGTCAGATAGGTCCGATCAGTCTTGCATCGGAGAAGTTAAGTTACGGCAGCTATCCGAGAGTAGCCCTTTGGTGGGGCTGGTCCGATCGAATGGCAACCCGCTCAGGAACCCAGGATGTCACCCCCAACGGGGGGGAGAACTTCTCGACTTCTCCAAAACAAGCTCTTTTACACCCGCAATGTTCCACTCCGCCAAGACTATGGACCGCTGCTCATGGCGGAAAGCGGCAATTGAGCGGGAAGGAATACGTCGCAATCGTCATGGAAGCCAATAAGATTTCTCCCCTGGGAAAAGATTCAGACTTCTCGATATCCCAGAAACGAGTACCTCGCAGTGCCGATGTCCAGGACCCTGGCTGATTGCTGTGAAAGCTGCTCCTCTTCCTGGGTCCTTCTCGGAGTTCTACTATGTGCGAGAGTGCTGGCGATGGCAAAGTCGAGCCATCCTCGAGAAAGACAAATACCAGACGAAAGATTGTAGATGCCCTCGGGTCTCTTCTCTCTCTCTCTCGCTCCCACCACCACCTGTCTCTCCTTCATTTCAAAAGCGGTGTGCCTTCGCCACCCAAGCCCTTCAACATGCGGTCGTCACTCCTTTCCTCCCTCGTCTGCCTCTGCCTGGCCACCTCGTCGGCCTCGGCCCGCCACGTCCACCAGCTCCGCGCCGACTTCAACCTCGCCTCCCTCCCGCAGACCCACTCGGCCCGCGGCCTCCCCGCCGCGGACGGCAAGAAGGGCGTCCTCCTCATGAACCGCATCGGGCCCTCCACCTCGGAGCTCTACATCGCCAACGCTGACGGCACAAACGAGCAGAAGCTCCTCGGCAACGCCTCGAGCTTCGAGTACCACGCCGCCTTCTCTCCGGACGGCAAATACGTCACCTTCACCACCGAGCGCAACGGCGACGGCAACTCGGACCTCTACCGGTGCAGCTTTTCCTCTGCCGGCACCGGTAACTCCACATCTGCCTCGTGTTCCAACCTGGAAGAACTCATCGCCACACCCGCTGTCGAAGACGCGGGCGCCCTCTCCCCCGACGGAACAAAACTCGCCTACGTCTCCACCGAGAACGGCTACCGCGCCAACATCTGGGTCCTCGATATCGCCACCGGCGCCCGCCGCAACCTCACAAACACCCCCGAGATCGCCGGCGACCCTTTGCTGCCCGACGGCCACTTTAGACCCAGCTGGTCCCCGGACGGCGAGTGGATTGCCTTCGCCTCGGACCGCAACACGGCCTGGAGGGGTCACGGCAACGGTACCGGCTGGGAACACACCCAAGAGCTCTCCGTCTACGTCGTCCGGCCAGACGGCTCCGGGTTCCGTCAGGTCGCCACAAAGACGGGCTACTGTCTCGGCTCGCCGAAATGGAGCCCCGACGGGAAGCGCATCCTCTACTACGAGATCACCACCGAGCAGACGTGGGACGCGCACCGGCCCGAGTCCCTCGCCGCCGCCATCTCTCAGATTGTCTCGGTCGATTTCGAGACGGGAGAAGACCGTATCGAGCATACCTCTGGCGCCAGCGTCAAGATGTTCCCGCAGTGGTTGGCTGGTGACGATAGCACCTCGGATGGATCCAGCAGCAACAACATCGCCTACCTGATCAAGGGCGGTGACAACGAAGGCTTCAACTACACCTCAGGCGTCCACGCGCCGGTCAAAGCAGCGATCCGCTCCCCAGCCTGGTCCCCAGACGGCCGCTTCGTCATCTACGAAAAAGTAGGCTTCGCCGCCCGCGCCATGGAGAAGCCCCTCTACAGCTGGGACGCGGACTGGGAATACCGCTCCACCGACGTCTTCCCCCAGCTCTCCCTCCAGGGCCGCCTCGTCATCACCCAGAAGCAGCTCGGCAACTCCTCCATCGTCTCCATGAACCCGGACGGCACCGACCTCAAGCTCGTCTTCGACTCCTCCAAGACGGGTGAGATCGACGCCGCCCTCGTCGCAAAGGGCCTCGCCGGCGCCTTCCAGCCAGCCTGGTCCAGCGACGGCCAGTGGATCGCTTTCGGGCTAGGCTCCTGGTTCCAGTCCCGCGCGACGGGCAAAGCCCGCGTCTACCGCACCACCTCCAACGGCAGCTTCTACGAGGCGCTCACAGACGGCACTGTCCACTCCGGGTTCCCCTCCTACAGCCCGGACGGCCGCAGCCTCGTCTTCCGCGAGTGGGGTGTCCGCTACGGCCTCCGCGTCATCGACCTCGAGACCAAGACGGTGCGGAGCCTGACCAACGCGACGGACAACCTGCCCTTCTGGTCGCCCGACGGCGAGCGCATCGTCTTCACGCGCAAGACGTCGGCGACGAACTTCGACGTCTGCACCATCCGGCCCGACGGGACGGACCTGCAGACGCTCACGTCCAGCGGCGCAAACGACGCGCACGCCGTGTGGTCGCACGACGGGCGGATCCTGTATTCCAGCGGCATGTACGGGTTCCGGGACGAGGCGGCCATCTATGACCAGACGTTCCAGCCGTACGGGCAGATCATCGTCATGGACGCCGACGGGTCGAACAAGCGGATGCTTACGGATAGTTTGTGGGAGGATTCTATGCCGTTGTATGTGCCCAACGAGTTTCTCGTCTAGAGGTACCTTCTTCGGTGGCTTGGAAGTATGGTCGCTGTAGATTCATTGCAATATATACATGAAAATCTTTGTGCGAGTACTTCCTTATGGGTGTTTTGATTTCGAACGAGTGACCAAGTTGGAAAGAGGGTGAAAGCCCACAAAAGGGGCTCATCGAGTGGACAGAGGCAGAGAGCTTTGGCTTTGACTTTGGCCAGCCAACACTCTGGTTATCTAGGTCATTCATTCAGCTTATCAGATTACGAACTCATAATGCTCGTGATAACTCACATGTTCTGCTTGGTATAGCGGATGTAGTTTTGCCACAACAAATTCAGAGCAAGCCGTGAGATATTTTTCATGAGGCGGCGGAACCCCTGAATGTCTCAAGATCATAATGCACATTGGAAAGCCTCTCGACAACATGTAGCCACAATCAACCCAAGAATCAGACCATTCTCACTAGCAACATCAAGGCTACCTGAGCAGCAGTGTCTCTCCATGGTACAAACGATCCATCTCGACATTGGTACTGTTTCACTGAGAGGAGACGTCAGCGTACACAAATCACAACAACGCACCGAGTAATCGCACGACAGTCAACACAACGAGGATGGGACGAAAGAATCAAGAGTTCCATTCTTTGAGAGCTAGACCTAGCCGCCCAATCCCGGAAAACCCAGATCCCGCCGTTCACAAAAAAAAAAAAAATAAAAAAAAAATAGAGGGAGGTAATTTCTCTTTTTCCTTTTTTTCTTTTTTGATTTGGTTTCAACTCCTCTGCTCTTTCTTATGTCTCAAAGACATCGTGCTCTGAAGCCGATCGTAAAGGTAGGCAATATCAGCGAGCCAAGCATCACCAAGGTTCCTTGTTTCTAACTGCGCGTCCTGTCCTCCGCGAGAGTTGCCAAACAGCCAAGCTCATGCTGACTCTTCCAGTTCGCAAACACAAAATCAATGTGTCGTGTGTATTCAGTGTTCATGTGACAAGAATAATCTTTTCGTCGTCTTCGTCAACCCCAAAACTAATTAAACAGGTGTTGGTGTGAAACGCGCAAAAAGGGGCGCGGGGTGTGATGGCTGACGAGGTGAAGCTCGCCCAGCGCTAAATGACGTAATCCCCCACGGCGTGTTGAAGTGGGGAGATGCAGATGTGTGAACAAAAAGCAAAAGGGGGTATGTGCAAAATGTGGTATACGCATGAATGGGAAAGAATCGAAGTGTGTGTCTGTGGGGAGGTGGTGTTGTCAGGCCAGCCCATTCCAACCTGTCGTCGACGCCACCGCGTTGCCTTGGTCTCAACCAGCCCGATGCTTGGGGAAAGCCGAACAAAGGTTGTGGTAAGGGCTCAGATTCTTCGAACTAGGTACCAAGATGAGGCCAAACAGGCAGAGGCGGGGAGATGAGACAACAGTCCCCAAGATAGCCAGCCGGCCCAAGTAGTAATGTGTCGAAACGTGTTGATGACCAAATATGTCGGGGTATCCTCCAGTAGAGCCATGATCGTAATGCAAAGTGGTGCTCAAGGCCACAATGATTGCCCTTCGCGCGAGGGCGTTATTTGCCGTTCCAATGCCAGGAACGCCGAACCCATGTAGTGTAGAACCGCCGTGCCATGACAGAGACCAGAGAATGGTGATGCATGACCCAGAGCGCGCCGGCTCGGTCAGTGAAGTCATGACACGGTATCCTTGGTTCAGCCAACCCAGCCAACCAGTCCGAATCCAATGAAAAATAGGAGACATGCTTTCTCATCGGTCAAACAGACCGATCGCACAGCGCAGACCTTCCATCCCCAACGCCGTGCTATGCAAAAAAAAAAAAGGTATTATACAGAACCCAGGCGTAACAGAGCCTCAACCGCCTCACGCTCCTGCGCGTCAGACGGGCCCTGGAGCGCTGTGAAGTCGAAGGGCATGGGCTGGAGCGAGCGTGCCATGCCAGTAGAGACAGTTCGCATGCCTCCCGAGTTATATACACCGGTGGAGAGGAAGCTGCGTCCAGCAGACTGTGCGGCTGCGCCGGCTGTGTTGTAAGACTCGGCGCGCAAAGCGGCAGCTCCAACGGCAGCCCAGTCCTCGTCATCGGTGGCGTCCTCGGGATCATCATTCATAGCGATATCGTCGTCATCCGGAGCCTCGGAACACGAGGCGGAGGCCGAGCCATCCAGGGACATCTTATCCGCTTCGCATTCCATCATCATAGCGTCGCGGTCGTCGTGAGAGAAGACGATGGAATCACCAGCGCTGGACGAGGCGACGTTCAGGCGAGACCTATCGGCGCCGCGTCCACCGGTCTTGTTGATGGGAATGCCAGATCGGTAATCAGTTGGGGGTGTAGATCCGCGCGCGGCCTGACCACGTCGTCGAGCATCCCATCGACCCCAGCCCACCTTTTCAAATTCCACATCGCCGTCCGGTCCGCTGCCCTCGCCTCCGCGACCCTCCAAGGCGCCCACGACAAGGCGACGCGCCTTTGTCGGCGGGATTCCGGCGAAGCCCGGAACGGACGTTGTCAGGTAGCCCATGATGTGACGAATAGCCAGAGGGCCGTGGTTGAGGAGGATCTCAGGGAGGTGGTGCTTGGCCAGCAAGGTGGTGCTGATAGCACCGGTGGCATCATAGGAGGGTGACCGCGATGCTTGCCTGCGACCAGTCGGGTCGTCGTGCAGGTCGAGGTCCGAGTCGATGGGCTCGAGCCTGGCCTTCTGAAGCTGGGCCTTGAGGCCGTGAGGCGGAAGGGCGGGAGAAATAGAGTTGGGAGGAGTAGGGAGGGGGTGAGATCGTGTCACAGTCGTCGCAGGAACACTCCGAGCCGCTACAACAGTCAAGTTGTCTCGGCTCATGTTGGAGGCCTGGTGGATATCGCAAGCAGCAGCTGCCATGGTCGCCATGATGTCGTTTAGACGTGTCTGGTGCTTCTAGACGTGTCTGTACGCGATATCGATGGTTAGCTACAGGTGCTGAGTAGAGGAATAGTGATGAGACTGGTAGAGTATGTGGGAGGAATCCCACGATGAGAAGTGGTGGTGTTGAGTCACCAAGGTGGGAGAGGGAGGAGGATGTGACGCAGTTCAGTGCTGTGCGGTAGGATAGGGTTTACTGTTGACGTACAGCTAGAAGCGGAAGGGATGCGATGCAAGTGTGGAACTGTGCAGGTAGGCTCAGTTCGACGGGTCGACTAATAGACTTATTGGCAGATCAGGCTGGCGTTGCTGTGGCTGTTGCGATTATCGTGACTGTGACAAGAGAATCTCGTCAGTATTGGGTTGTGGTTCTTCGTGATGTTGTATTTGCGTTGAAGAAGAGAAGAGAGGAAAAGGAAGGGGAGGGTGAGATGAGTGCGACGGCCAGGGCTAAAGTAAAAGGGACCGTGGTGGTGGACGGATACGGAGATGGGATGGGATGGATGGGAGTGACAGACAGACTCATACCTGACTGCCTGTTGAATGACTGAGAGCGACACACACACCAGACTTACGCGGTACCTCCATCTTTTGGTGTCGGCTCTCTCTCACCTTGTTTCTCTTTGCTGGGCTGAGAAGTGTGTGTGTGTTGTGTGTAGGAGAAAGGGAGGTACATGGGGTACATTGCAAGACCTGGGGCATGTCAAGAGACGGCGACCGGGGGGCAGGAGGTACCCACGGTACCGGACGGATGCAACCCAGGATCCAAGGTATCCGCAGTAAACTGCAGTACATCCATGTACCTCGCTCTCTCTCCTGCTTCCTCGGTATCTACTCCGTACCTCTCATGCTGGTGACTCCTACACGCTTTCTGTGGCGGGCCAGTCTCTTTTGGTACAAGGCAAAGGGCCCCAGAGAGCCAGTCCAAAGGGAGAGGAGAAGGAGAATGACTAACGGACAGACATAGAGCATGTTGATGCAGTGCAGCTTGGCTTTGGCAAGCCCGGGTGCTTTCTCCAGCAACACGCAGCCAAACCTGACGCCCGTACCAAACTCAACCGCCTGCAGAAGACAAAGGCCCGTGGCGGCGAAAGCAAGGGAAGGCGATGGATGGATGGCCGGATCATGGACGGATGAGCACCTGGCACCCTCCAGTCTCAAGCACCAAAGAGCAAGACCAAGGCAAAAAGGCAAGACAAGGCCTGACAACGCAACAACAACTACTACGTATGGCGACAACAGGAAAGGAGCAAAGAGACGGACGCCGCTGGCGTTGGCGCAGGTGATGGATGGATGGACCATTGAGCGATGAGCAAGGACAACGCCACTTAGATACACACCCCGGGGGTGGCAAGTTGCGGCCACGGGTGTCAAGTCTTGGTCACCAGGTGTCGACTGACGGTATCTGAGTGTGGATGGTGTGGGTGTGTGTGTCTGAAGGACGAGGTATGTGTGGCTGGGCCGCTGATACCAAAAAAAGGAATCTCCGGCTGCGAGAGGAGATGGGAAAACGGCAAGAAGAGAGAAAGAGGGGTGTTGCTATCCTCCTACTATCTCTCACACTCCCACCTTCACCTTGTTGCAGTCCGCAGAGGCATCTTGTACACAGTGTGTCGCACACTACGTACACCTCGTACCTCTTGCCTCCAAACCTGTGCTTCCGTATCTTCCCTTCCCATTTGATTCCAGTTCCCCTGGGTCTGAGGAGGAGTCATCGCTCTTGCTGATGACAGGCCAGGCAGATGAGGAGTTGAAGAGACTACCTGCTACCTTCTTGCAGTCTAGAGACACTTGCCTCGTCCGCCTTGACCTTATCATCAAGAGATCCTTATCAACCTTTGATCTGATATTCTTTCATGATCCTACCTGCCACCAGGATGATCTGACCTTAAAGTCCAGCGCTGGGTAAGGGGAGAGAACTCTCGACTTTCCTAGACTCTAAGACCATTTGATCCAACTGATTGCTTTTCCTTTGATCAAAGTACCTTTGCAGAAACGATACCCAATTTCAACGCCGGATACAGCTTCAACGCACACCGCACACAAACCGCAAACCGGAACCCATCAAAAAGGAAAATACCCACTCATCGACAGCTCTAAACCCCATCCTAGACCTCCAAACAATCCACATGAACGGAGCTTGGGCGGGCTCCATCTTGTTGTCCCGTTCCTGTCCCCGAGCTTGACCGCCGAACCAGCCATCGATGCGAATACCTCGAGATACAGAGGTTCAAGCCTTCAAGGTCCAAGGTCCCATGCGATCCATATCCATGAATGATTTGAAGCGTCCGCGACACAGCAGTTCCACGACGGACCCAGAAGACACGTCCCCCCATGCGCCGGCGCCGCTCACTTTGGTCTTCTTTCTTCTCAAGTTCCCATACCCATGCCCCATGCCGAACCCGAAGCTACTGAAACGAAGTTCCCACAGCGTTGTCTTCCCCGGACTGCCGATAGGGTCGGCCGGTAAGTGTGATGATCCAAGGCCTGGGAAGAAAGGCCCCAGAGGCCCCAGGGCCAAGGGTAGGGGAAGGGGGACAGCAACCCGTGGCCTTCCGGAATTGCAGTCAAGCCCACGCACTTGATCCCCGGCCTAGTCCACAACGCGCTTCTCCATTCGGAGTCCATTCCAATAACCAACTGTTCGACCTTCAGCGTCCAGACCCTCTCTAGACAGGTCCATAATAAGCTTGATGCAAGGATCGAGAAACGACGGTGAAAACGAAGAGACCCGATCATCGTGTCAAACGCCGCACTATCGAGAGGTAATGCCAGGGCCCAAGAGTCAAGCAGACGATGGATTGCCAGTTACAAGTTACAACAAACTCCCAGCGCAAGGCAAGCAGCAAAGTCACCAATTCCCTGCCAGCCTCAGCGCATCAATGTCGACGAAACGGACACACACAACAACACACACAAGTCATTAAGCTCTCAAAATTGCGACCTACCACTGCTTCCACTCACCCATGGGCCAAGCCAAGGGCCAAGGGCTGCTTCTAGATGCGCATCAAACCCGCGTCGCCGGCGCCCGCGTCAACCACAACACCACCAAGCCCACCGCGCATAGTATATCCCAACCGGTGATCCCGTCCTATGGCACACTGGGCACGGTAAAATGGAAACCTTCGTCTCGGGTACAGCGTGCAAGCCCAAGAGCTTACCAATCTGTTGGAGATCTCGCTCACTCTCTTACTCGTCTGTCATTTCTGTCACGGTACCTTATTTCTGAGGTACGTTGTCGAAAGATTCAGCCATGAAACTTTGCTTCCAAGTTGTCCCTGTTTCCATTTCCGTTTATCCCGTCTCATTCCTATCCTTTCCTATCCATGGCACCCAAGCCCCCTTGGAGGTCCACCCTCGATAGCACGAACTCCGACTCATGGCATTTTGACTCTTTGCCCTTTCCTCTTGCCCCCTTCATTCACACACGATTAGGAGGTTGTGGTGGTAGGGTTCGAAAACCCCAATCGCGATCTCTGCTCCCTCCCACATTGCACACACAGTTTGACATATATCCATATCTCATTATCGTCAGCCTTTGTCAACCTCTGATTCATTACCCGTTCCGTACCCGCTAATAACCCACCCGCTTCCTTTGTCCGGATCCCGTGCCAATGCCATTGCCCCCTGTCAAACCCCCCATGTATCGGTACCCATGCCCCCACCATAAGTCTTTCCCGCCAGCAAGCCGCTGGGAGACGCGACCACGGGACCGGTGTCCACTGAAGCAGCTACAGCTTTGCGGGCAAGCACCAAAGCAATGCAATGGTTGGCTTGGTGGAGAGCTGTAGGAGTGTGCTTCCTCCTGCTGCTGCTAACGCTCCTGCTACTGCTGCTATCCCAGACGGAAACAGCAGAAACGGACGGACGGGGTTTGAAATGGATACCTCAGCGGCCGTCAAGTTTGCCTTGCTGCTACTGATGCTGCGGGAGACTGGAGAATGCGACAGTGTCGTCATCAATCGCAAACCTGCAGCTTCGCTCTCTCAGTCCATTTCTTTCCTAGTGCAATGTACGAAGTACTCTCAGCCCAGCAACCAGCAACGTGCGGCCATACCAACACAGACCGGGGACCTTGTCAAAACAACCAGGGCCAGAGTGCTAGAGAGGGCCCTTCATCACCGCACAGAACACAGAAACACACACACATTTTCATGTTGTATTTTTTTGTCGCCATCATCCCCCTATTTTCGGACGTTGCAATTTTGATTTTGGAGTAGGAAATTCCCAAAGCTTTCTGGCGCTTCGGTCAATCGCAGCGATCGAGATGCTTCGAAAAAGAAAGCCAGAGAAAACTCTTCCCTTTGGCGAAATTGACATTCCTCTTTACCCTGGAGCGCCTCTTATTCCCTTGACCTTAATACCCCCTTTTTCCGGACGGCGCCGTGGAGATGGCGGAATGGAAGTCTTGATGGAATCTGAGTAGAACCCATCCCATGTCTCCATGCCTTCATGGTCAGAGAAAGTGCAAGGGGGCGTGTAAGTCAAACCGAGCCTTTGGCAACGCGCAATTTCGTGCAGATTTCCAGCAGCAGCAGCCTGAGCAATGACAGGTTCGAAATGTCTGGTTCCTGTATTTCTTCATGCTTTCCCCCTAATTATTTCTGGGTGGTTACGAATGATAATGAACATCCGTATGCCGGCGGGACGATCCAGACCGGAAATGTCTGAGACACGCGCTCACTCAACTTCCAAGAAAGGAACAAGACGAGGACTCGACCGTCATCGTCCATTTCCATGGCCTCCTTTCCTTGGATGAGATCGAGACAACGAAGCTAGTCTCAAGCAAACCATCTCACAACTAAGAAGACATATTGTATACCACGGGCTACTCTTTTACAGAGAGGCCTTAGTCCGACGTCGCCGACGCGACGACGTGTCCTCTTACACCAGGTCTAAAACCGTCGCGTTAGAGATGATCGACACTCCAGACCTGACTAAACCTGCGTCCCAAAGTCACAACCACGAGCTTTCAGCTGAAAAAAATCCCCGGTTCAACACACTGCCCCTGCCCCCTCGCTCATCTTTCTTCCCACTGCGATTCCTTTTCTTTCGAATATCGTACCGAACATCTATTTTACTTTTGACCTCGCACCCTGCGCCATTCCGGAGAAATGGGCGCCAAGATTACCGCCATCAACCAGTGACCACGCACAGAGTCCACCAGCAATGGCTTCGTGACAGGTAAAGCAATTGGAAACTGGACCTAGACTTGGACCAACGGGGAAGGGGTGTCTCTCTATCAATCAGCTACTCCTGAGTGTGTAGCTGCTTTGTACCCCACGGTACAGCTGAAATCCATCCCATCCCGCGTCCTTCTCTCTTCCGCCCTGCTCGCCCTGCCCTGTGGCTTTGGCTAACTCCACATCAAAGATACACAAAAACCAACTGCGCAATTTTGGACACTGTGGTGATGGCAGGTGCAGCTGCCTTATCTACAATCCGTTATCATTTTACCAGATTGGTGACCATCAACCGCCAGAATGGAACATTGCGATGCG